TGCCTTTGGCTGCTCAGTACTACTTGTGTCATGAGAAATGAAATCCAGGAGAAAAAAAAAACAAAATCGAGGCAGTTTGCAGCATCATAATGTCTGCATTTATTTCAGATGAAGCATTTATCACTATTTTCAATTCATTATCTTATAACGAAAAGCAATGAGTCTTATTCTGCCCTTGTCTTTATGGGTATCTGCAAAAAGTAAGTGATAAAATGCAATTAAAAATAGACATGCTACTCAACATATGCATACACTAACAGTAGGTACCCTTTGGTTAAACCTTTACTTCTGGACAGGGAAGATCTGTTAAATAAAATTACAACGTTTTTATTCCTCCATGTTCCTGATAAGTTCAGTTACATAAACAAGTCTTGTGTAAATCTCCTCACCTGCTGAACATTTGCTTATCGATAAGCACTACAATTTACTGATATTCTTTAAATGTCTCACATGCAGGATAAATAATAGCCCGATAACTGCACTACAGCAGCTCAGATAGGAATGTGACCAAAAATTTGTTGGAAAAGACTGAAATAAGGTGAGATTTAACCAATTTTCATCTACATGGACTGTTTTCTTTGAGCTGACTTTTCTTCCAGCAAACATCAGTACTGCAAGCGAGCATGTTCGTTTAATTTGGTACGCTAAAATCACTGCCTTAGAACTATGTTAGTCATTGTGACTGAATGTAGTGTGCTATTTTTTTTTTTCCTTCTAAACCAACTCAGCCGCTCCTTCTTGACCAGCCTCTCCCACTTTCTCTGGCTTTTGTCTTTGGTTATAGATCATTTTGTCATTGGAGCACAGTAACAGCTAAATAGATGGTTTCACATGTCTGGTAGGAAGAGACTGACTGAGCCAGTAAAGGAGAAAAAGTACCACTTTCAACCACAGTTGCTAGCAGAGTAGCTACCGGTGCCGACTGGACGGGCCAAATTAGAATAATGCTCATCATGCCCTGTCACAATGCGACCTTGTGAAATTTCTTCCGTGTACACTCTCAAAAAATGGTTGCATATGTGATTATTTCTGTAGCAGTCTGGAGCCCTGAAGGGTGCTTGTGTCTCCAGAGCGTCAGTACAGCAGGAAAATGTCTTGTCACGTGGATGTTGTGTTTTCTGACTGCATCCTTTGGACAAATCTTAGAAGAAGACCGTTTACTAAACTGCAGCAAACACTACTTAATTTTCTTGCAGCCATTTTTGGTGGATAGCAGATTAGTTACAGTGAAATCGATTTTTTTGCTCATATGGTGACGAGAACAAGAAAATACCAGCCTTCCTAGGTGGCTAGGTAAGTTACTGACCTAGAATCAGAACCCCTCTGCTGTTGACCTTGCAGGTTAAAACTCACTCTCAGCCTGAGAGGAAAGGACTTTCTACGTCTGTTCGGCAGGCACCAAGCACACCGACCTCTGTCCCTAAATCCATTTCCACGCAACAGCTTGGGGCTAAAGAAAAGGTAGCTTTACTCCGTCCCTCTCTGTTCTACCTTCAAATCACGCTGGGCTGCATCTGTTCTCACAACTTCTAACAATCAAGACGACTCATCGTTGAGCTCATTGGAGTGTAATTTCAGATTAACCTGCTCCTTTCTAACCGTCCTCTCTTGAAATTGAAGCCGTCTTTTTCTTAATGAATAATAACCACTCTTTTCAGCTGAGCATGCCATTCTTGCCTAACGACTGAGACCACTTTGGGACGTTTACCTCTTTCCTTGGAAGGGTTTCAGATGATTTCTTCTAACCTCACTTTGTCTTTCATTGACAGTTCTCTTATTGCTGTGGTGGTAACATATTTGTCTTTTTGCAGGTACCTGAGAAAGCCTCACAGCAGGACCCAGAGGGCGACACTAAAAATGCTCAGAAAGGTGAGATGATGGACTGTTCTATACTAATATGTATCTCACACACACACACAGGCTGGAAAAAGACTGTTTTCTACCTATGCATTTTTATTCTCCAGATAAGGGTCTGCTGGTTGAAGTGCGTGTCAATAAGGAGTGGTACACCGGCAAAGTCATTGCTGTGGAGGCAAATAAACAGAGCGTGCGCTGGAAAGTGAAGTTTGACTACGTACCTCGATCCACCCCTAAAGACCGATGGTGAGATACAGGGTCTGTGTTGCTGCATTCTGCTCATGTTTTTGTCAACATGCCAGGTAATTAATGTCCTATACATCTATGTGTGTCTCTGTAAAGGGTGTTTAAGGGCAGTGATGAAGTTCGGTTGATGCGGCCACCGTCTCCAATCTCTCAGACCCCTGACACCCAACAGGAGACTGAGAGGGGGCTGGCACCCATGGAGCCAGACACTACTCAACCAGGAACCAGCCGAGAGGTGACTGACAGCCTGGTCACTATGTTGAGGTGAGCTGGTTACAGTGAATTAGTGTTATTACTGCACACTTTGGAAATTCTGCCAGCCAAGGCACATAGTTTCAGAATGCTTCTCTCTTGAAGTGTCTTAGTGCTGTAGTGCCTTCACTGTGCTGTTCATGTGTCCAGGAAAATGCTGCGCTACTTCTTCCCTCCTGCTTTTCGGATTCCAAAAGACGACGTGAACAGCATGACGGCTGAGGAGTTGGTGGCTTTTCCTTTGGTGAGATGAATATGAAATTATTTAATAGGTTGAGAGATGAACCTAAATGAATTTACACTGAAATCAATAAAATGATTGGAGAATGTAGAACTGCACCTCCTGCAAAATGGATTGTGTCCAGCAATAGTACACATTGTCCAAACAAACATGTTTATTTGTTTATACTGCTGTGTGTGCTTGTCTAGAGTATTGATTTGTTTTTCTCCCTCCGTGCAGAAAGAGTATTTCCAGCAGTATGAATCTGGTCTCCAGTCATTGTGTAATTCGTACCAGAGCAGAGCTGATGCCAGGGCCAAAGCTGTAGAAGAGAAGAGCAACAGCACTGAGGTCAAACTGAAGGAGGCAGATGAGAAACTGCAGAAACTACGAACAAACATCGTAGCACTTCTGCAGAAAGTACAAGAGGTAAGACTGTTTACTGCTTATTCCTCTCTAGAAAGTAAACAAATATACAGTTTCTAATATTTGATGAACATGCTTTGTTTTTTTCCCCACTTTTAGGACATTGACATAAACACAGATGATGAACTTGATGCCTACATAGAAGACCTCCTTACCAAGGGTGATTGAAAAACACAGAAACAAAAGAAATCTAAAAGAAGAGGACATGGACATTAACAGACTGGTAGTTCTCCTGACCTGTTGTTTTGATTTTAGTCCTTTTTATATACCTGCTTATATATGTTAATCTATGTTTAAGACATCCCTCTCCGACTGAGCTTTGGATTAGTTTGTGTAGGTTTAATACGGTGTAATTCCCCTTTTATATAGTCAGCTAATGTTGTGATAAATTTTATTTGTTCTTCATTTCGGTCCATCGTCAGGTGACAATTGCACACACCAAGTGGCTCAAGGACCGGTCTGTGCTCTGTACTGCACACTGTACCTAAACAGTAACTTTTATTTTTGTACACTAAAAACACCTCAGTGTTGTCCATTATCTTCCTCCATCCTGGTCCGCAAATCAGGTTAATCTTTTACAGTTGGGTGATGTGTCACATCTACAAATAAGAACTACTTACTGGGTTTTATCAGTATGAATATTCCCTTAAATCCCTTCTGCGTTTAAGCTATGACTGTTCTGTGTTTATTTTTGGAGGAAAAAAAAAAAAAAGAAGTCAGTCGAATGCAAAAATGTGTGTTCATAATTATTCAGTGCCTGTGTCCTTGTTTTGAACAGATTTTTAACATGTCATGGAAATGTTTTATTAAACAATGCATGCTTTCAGTCATTTTGTTCTAACCTGAACAAAGGATTCTGTATTTTTGAAAAACCTTTACTTAAAACAATAAAACAGGTTCAGCAAAATATTTTAATATGCCTGTGTGTGTGATAAATTCTGAAATGCTGGTTGTGAGAACTTACATTTTGTAAATGATGTGAATTATTCATGTAAAAAGCGAGCCATACATTTAAATGTGGATGTCACTTAAGTCACTGGACCTCATGGAGGCAGTTGAGCAGTATCTGTGCCCCAACAATAAACCTTAACTCCAAAACATTTACATTTTGTACTGTGTGGAGGGAATGACACTGGTTTCAACTGTTTAAACACTAATATAGCACAAAATCCATTTCATTAAAGCTTACATTTATGCATCACTTGTATATAGCCATGAAAATGACTGTTTACTGTATTAGATTTAATATTAAGCAGGGCTGAATGAAGTCTGACCTAAAGGAACAATATAAAAACATACATAAAAGGCCAGTTTTGTCTGATAAATAATAACTGAGCTCCTTCATATTTTTTGTATATTTCTTTTGCTGTCAAGTTAGTGTAAAAAAAATCACAATAATATTACTTAAAGGTCAAATAGTTAAAAATATCAATTCTCAGTGACTGCGTTACTTCTCAGGTGATTTATTGTATTATTTAAGAAGAACACACAAATGGGTTTTGACAGAATTTTAGTTCATAACTGATCTTATTATATCCTTTCCCATCTTGGTGAAGTAATGAGATGTTTCAGTTCCTCCAGCAACTCTTTCCCATGTGGATCCATGTTGCAGACATAGAGATAGACAAAGCCCACAGGTCCAGAACTGAGGAAGTTCTGGTGTTCACAGGTAATTTTTTTTAAAAAAGAAAAAGATTCCTGCTGTTATTACTGCATTAGTTAGTACTTAGTTTAGTTTCACTGATCACAGGTGTACTCACTTTAGTTGCATTGAGTTTCTACTCTGTGGCCTGTATATTTAAAGTCTTTCTAAAGGAACTGTTTTGGGTTGGTCATAAAACTTGAGAGGAAATGCAATTTGAAATCACATTCAAGACTAATGACTAAAGTTTCCTTGCCAGCGTTAATAAAGTGACAAAAAAAAAATAAAAAAATAAAAAAAACATGTATGAAGAAGAGTCTTTTATTTTGAAGGAGCGCTTGCAGCTGTGGACGTAAACACAGCTCGGTTACAGACAGGTAAGACTGCTGGTACATGTTTGACATCTGAGAAGCTTCTAAGTTTGATTTGCAAATACTTCAGAGTTGAAGGAGGTTTCTGTGTGAACTTGGTAAAAGCTCACCGCCAATAAATCAACTAGAGCTTCGTTAAAATGCTTCGTTTGTTCGCAGCTTGTTTGTTTACTGGGTTGTAGAGAGAAGATACTGAGTCTGTTAAAAGAGTTTATCCTAACAGTTCACTATGTATGTTCGTATTAACCCATTAGACTAGTTTAACCACATAAAATAGAGCAGCTAGCACAAATAAGGAGCTAAAATCTGCAGGAAAAGGAATCAACGGAACTAAATGAACCTTGACCCACTTTTGAGCTCGATAGTAAGCTAGCTCGCTACCTGACGTCTTTTTTTTTTCTTTTCTTTTCTTTTTTTTTTTTACATTATTACGCAAGTTTGGCAAATATCCTTACTTAACTAGCGATGAAAACTAATAACCAAACAGTTTTCCATTTTCTTTCTTTCTTGTGAAAGTTCTGCACCCAGCTGACGTTAGCTTGGTTTAACACATGTCTCAGGATAACAGACATGTTAAAGATGTTTGGGGCAGTTAGTGTCTCAAAACTAATAAATATGTAAAGGAGAAAGAAAGAACTGTTTTAATCTAAAGCTGTATGCAATGACAAAACTGTGTTTTTGCTGAGGCTGAAAAATGAGTCGAAATATTATTGAAATTGCAATGTGGAAAATCCGAAACTCTTAAAATGTGTCACATTAATATTATTATAATGAAATATTTTGCTCTTATTGTGCAAATGTAATGGGACATTCTTGTTTGCTATAGACAGTAAAAAAATCAAAAATTTAAAAAGTAAAAATCCCAACATCACTTTTATTAAGTTATTTATTCATTTAATCCTTATAAATTCAAATTTTTCATACAATGAAGTGTGGAGGCCTCATTTACTTTAATGTAGCCCAATAAGAAATCAAAAGACAATAAACTTGAATATCAATTTTTTTTTTTAAATCTTAAAAGGCAAAGTTGATAAAACAGTTAAAACATTAATGGGAGCATATAAGTTTTTAAAAACAAATTATGGAAATAAAACCAAAGCAGCTGGATGTTAAATAAGAATAAATTAAAAACCTCAATTTTCCTAAAGACAAAAACAAGTCAAGCGTTGTGTTGTTGTGCGTGTTATTCCAGGTTGCAGATGCAAACTGAGGGATGGATTTTACAAGCTCAGTTAAAACAGAGACGTGTGATCCAGTCATTTGAATATATATGGCAAGAGCCTACATTAAAAGACAGCAATGAGGTAAAGTAAGGGGGTAAAAAAGTTCGTCAGGGCCTTATGAATAAATAAAACTAAGTGTCTTTCACACCTTCCATTAAGAGGAGAATTTTAACTATCATCAAGTCTTAATGCAGAGTGATGAACAGTGGACTTAAGATTTGCCACTGATGCAAACATGTATGAAATGTCACTATAATCCAGCACTGTGGTGGAAATCTGCTGAAACAATGCAACTCAAAAATGTCTTTCTGGTATTTTATGGGAGCATTTGTCAAGGGGCTCATGAGCATGTGAAGGTCAAGGATCTTCACAGCAAAGAGCAATATGTTATAAAACTTTTACGCTTGCTAGTTAGAAATTTAGGGCAGGACGACCGCCACAAGTCTCCTGCTCACTTATTTATTTTTTAACTTTCTTGTGGCTTCAGGTTCAGGTCAGCCTGAATGAAAGAGCCCAAGATGTTTCCCATGAAAACAGAGAATGTGACGGCATTTTTTTTTTTACTGAAAACAGGATAAATACACTTAATATTTATATTTTCTAACACAGTACTATCAGAAAAGTTGACTCAGTAAGCAGTTTTCTACAATACAGTGGGAAGCATGATTTATTCCTGCAAAAGAAAACCATCTCTGTTGTAATTTAGTCACCAGTTTGGACACATAATATGTTAAAATCAGCCTCTCAAGTAAATACCCAATTTCTATTTGTTTCAAAAGAAGATGAATGTCAAAATAATCATTCCTGCTAAAATTGTGGCTCATATTTTGATTGCAGTATCTGACAGAAAAATCGCAGTATGATTAATTTTTTTTTTTTTGCATATCGTTCAGCGTTAAGGTTTATCCAGCTCAGCATTTGAATTCTTAACCTAATATTATTGTGTCGACTTCCTCTTCTTTCGTCAGGCTGAAGGTCTTGAGCCATGTCAGCGTGCTCAGCCCTCCTGAACCGGCGTGTGGCCGGAGGCTGCCGCAGAATTTGGTCCGGTGTTCCTGGACCACTGGTCCACATCAGATCAGCCAGTGCAGCTGAGCCAGGCGCAAGAAGGTCTGATGAGGACCAACTGTGGGAGGCAGCAGGCCACCCGCCATTCACCAGAGCCAGGATAGGATCGTTCTTTCAGGAAAAGGCGGTGCTGAAGAACCCGTTTCTAGAGGATGCCTTGCTCAGAGGATACCTGAGGAGACACCTGCCGCAGGAGGTGAGCACGGCGCACAGCGGAGTCTTCAGCTAAAGTTATAAGTATACCAAACAGTGCTACATTTAGATTCTCTAAAAGTGTGTCATGATAGTAGAGGTGAAGAGCAGGAGGTAACATTAACTAGTGATGTACATTTAAAGTGTATACTACAATATTATAATATGGTCCTTAGATAATGTGCTAACAAACTGGTGAGCTGGAACACATGACAGAGGCTACTGGACTAATTTATTTTGACTCATTTATTAAATGGAACCTCAGTTACATGTGCGATTCATGTTTTACTTTAGTTATGCTGCCACAACATCAAGTAAGTCATTTTCTAACAGCCAGTAACAAAGCACATTTTGTTTCATGGTCCATCTTCCCAGTATTTCCAACTGAAAGCACCTAAAGTTGTGGCAACTTGAGCAAACAGCTGGGCAGGATCTGTCTTGTCAGGCAGAACCGCTGAAGTCTTGTTCCTTATCTGTGTGACTGTATTTGTATAAACTTGTTCACAGGTGGTTTTCTCAGACTTGTGTGCATTTGGAGAGCGAGTTGCAAAAGAGGTGGACGGTTGGGGCAGAGAGTGCGAGGTCAACCCTCCACGACTGGTGCACTTTGATCCCTGGGGTCGCAGAGTTGATCACATAGTGACCTCCGAGGCCTGGAAACGCATGAAAGAGCTCTCAGCACAGGAAGGACTGGTCGCCATCGGCTATGAGAGAGCATTTGGGGAGTGGAGGTTTGAAGGCTGCTGTTTTTCAGTTTAGCTTCTATGTCATTCAATTTACAGTTTTGTCAGTTTCTAATAGGATCCACTGTCTGTGTGCTTGTGTGTTTCAGTCGTGTGTACCAGATGAGCAAGTTGTACATTTTCTCTCCGTCGTCTGGTCTCTACACCTGTCCTCTGGCCATGACTGATGGGGCTGCCAAGGTCATCCAGGTGTGTTCAAACGAGTGACGCAAACATGACGAACACAGTATCAAACACTTTGCAAATCTGATATTCATTATGAAGTGTTCTGATCAACTGATCCCTGTGGACTCAGGAATCTGCAGACTGTAACGACAATGTTAAAAATGTGAAGAGATTTAGGTGTATTTATGTCGATTACATTAAGTAGTAAGCAAGAAATCTGTTTTTAATGTTGCAGCATGATGAAAGGAAATGTACTCTTAGGGGCTCTTTTCAGATTTACACTAAAACTGAAATCAGAAAGTCTTAGAATAGCTTTCTACAGCTCACAAAGTCATGCTCACAGTAAAGACAAAGGCTCTTTGATTTTCTCACAGTGCTTCATCACCGATAAAGGAAACATAAGCTCTAAAAAATGCATATAGTTGGAAGAGTTAGATATTTAGAGTCAAAAATTACTGTGCAGCTGCATGTTAAAGAGGATTTTAAAATTGCAGTACATGTAAACATATCCTCATTTTAACCTGATTTATCCGAATAGCTTTTTGACCCTTGTATGTATGCATGGTTGTCTGGCTGTGTGTGAAGTCCGTAGGTGTTTCGTGGCCAGTGGAAGAAGCCTACAGTCGTTTGACAACCCGTCAGCCTGAACGTTTCTGGACGTCTGGACAGTGGATGACTGAGAGACAAGGAGGATCAGATGTGGGTCAGTATTTGTTCCATGGGAACCAGATTTCAAAGCGCACTTTGTGTGGGTTCAAAGCTCATGACTTTTTAAAAATGTCATTAAATGATATCTATATAGGCCACTTAATTGTCATCATGTGTTATTTGTAGAGGAAGTTCTATATTTACATACCCACACAGTTCCTGCTTTTTGGTATTGTCACGCAAATCAAGAGTTTTTATGGTAATACTTAGTGAGTTCCCTCTCTATCGCCTTCAGCCAGCGGCACAGAAACAGTGGCTGTCCCCCAAACCGATGGTTCGTACAAACTACATGGCTTCAAGTGGTTCACTTCTGCGACAGACGCAGACATGACTCTCACACTGGCCAGAGTGCAGGACAGAACGGGAGCAACCACATCGGTACATCCTGCATCTGCACTCCATCACTATCTGTCAGCGTGCACTTTGAATAACTGATAAACAACAATGCACTGTGTGTCGTCTCTGTCCCGCAGGGCAGCAAAGGTCTGTCTCTGTTTTATGCAGAGGTGAGTCGAGATGAGGATGGCCGACTGAGAGGTATAGAGGTTCAGAGGCTGAAGGACAAGCTGGGAACACGACAGATGCCGACTGCTGAGTTACTGCTGGATGGTCTGCCAGCACACAGGGTCAGTTAGACACACCGGGTTATCGCAGTAATGATAACCTCTAATCTGTGCAGAATAATCAATGAGTGTGTTCCAGCAAAGCCAGGGGATGCTCAGTAAAGTGAGAACAAGCAGAACTGTTCTTCTGCCAAGTGGAAAATTCACAGTGGTCTTGTTCTTCCTAACAAAGAGCTATTGACGGCAAGAAGATGTCAATCACACACATTTACTCCTCAGAGCAAACAAGCAGCTTCATTTCTGATTAACTTAAATCCAATATTTAAATAACAGAATTATTAAACCACATGTACTAACAATATACCACTTCTCTCTATTGAGTAACAACATCTTTTAACCTTCACCAACCGAACCACAACACAATCGTTTAGTTTCTTATCTCTTGTCGTTATGTTCTTGGTAGTAAAGCTGCTTACTCAGTGCAGCGTCCTCTCTATTTACTTTGTGTGTTGCATTGTGGGAGAACATTATCCATTGACAGGTCACTCACACCAAATAGAGTAATATAGATTTGAGACGCAGCTCTTGTTTATACTGAAAGACCCCAGAATCCAGGCTGGTGGTAGTTTTTTATAACATGTGTCCTGTCTATACAGCCAAAGTTATGAAAAAAAAAGCTCAGCCAATGAAAAAATAACACAGAAAATACCAGTACAGCTTCTGACCTGTGACTGGATCAGCAGACTACAGCACGCCCATAAGAGCACCCGCTGCAGATCGTCTCTCAGAGCATGCAAATCAAGTAAAACAGAAACACTGTCTCACTGCTTGACAAAAGTCACACATTCAAATGCATAACCGACTCTAACTTGTATGAACTGGAACAAATGAGTGTTCTAGTTGTATTTTAGTAAAGTTTTCGCACGTGCAGCCTCTCAAGTTTGCAGACAGCTGTGATGCTCTGGTTAAATCACGTCCACCTCATAAATAACAGAAACTTTACTATATAAGAGACCTGGCTGTTGTGTAGGGTGTGTGTTTGTTTTGTAGCAACATTATGTCATTTGAATGTACGAGGTGTGTCAGAAAAGTTCCAGGACTGGTGTCACAAAAGATATATTTCGAACCCAAACTACAAACTAGGAGTTTTCCCCTTCAGACCATCAACCAGCTCGTCTACAAAGAGATCCTGCAGCGTTTGCTTCGTTCAGTGAGTGAGAACAGGCGAGAGTTGTGGCAGGACAAGTGATGGCTGCTTCACCATGACAACACGCCTGCTCACAACGCCCTGAGCATCCCACAGTTCCTGGCTTAGAAGAACATCATCATGATGGAGCAACCTCCCCACTCCTGGCTCCGTTGGATTTTTCTCTCTTCCTCAAGCTCAAGGACCCTAGGGGACCCGTTTTGAAGACGTGGACGACATCAAGATGGCTGTGACGACGGAGCTGAGGAGGATCCCGGAAGAATCCTTCCAGGAGTGCATGGCGGCGTGGCAGAGAAGGCTGGGAAAGTGCGTTAGACTCCAGGGGGATTACTTGGAAGGGGAAAACTTGTACTTGGTGGTTTGGATTTGAAATATATCCTTTGTGACACCAGTCCTGAAACTTTTCTGACACACCTCCTATATAGACAGTGGTGCAGAGATGTTTAGCATTGTGTTCTGGTGCTACATTTCTTAAATCACAGACTGTAGATTTATCAACGTTTGTGTCCTGCTGCTCTCAGATAGGTGCAAGGATTTAATAATCTGATTCATAAAGTATTGAGCAGCTGTGGACAACTGATAATGTAACAGTGGCTACAATGTAATTGTTTTGCAGTCCTGGAAATCATCTGTTATTTTTAAAATTATTATTATTTTAATGGTTTCCAGGCCGACTGTGTATGTTTATGCTCCAGTGCAACCACTTTTATCATTTGGAAACTCAACACTACATATTATAGAAACAGGACACCTTTCCCTTGTATTTTAATCTTGCGGTTAAAACCACACTAACTGATTTGTTTTGACATTACCTGACATCCTATTTTGTTTTCTCCAACCACAGCTGTCAGATGAAGGCAGAGGAGTGGCCTCCATAGCTAACATGCTGACTATAACCAGGATCCACAACAGCATCTCTGCAGCATCTGCAATGAGAAGGCAAGATATTGCTTGCATTAGTTCACTGAATCCTGCTCTGATTTTCAAAGACACACTATAAGTAAGCTGATTAATAATGTGTGCATTTGTGTGTAATCACAGGGTGCTCCAGTTAGCTCGTGACTATGCCACTCGCCGCACTGCCTTTGGAAAGCTTCTTAAAGACCACCCACTGCACATGCAGACTCTGGCTAGGATGGAGGTGAGCAGGCAGGGGGTCAACAAACTGCACAAAAACTCCAAAGTTTCCCATCATGCCTCACCAACGTCTTCTTCTGGCATAAACAGGTGGAGACTCGTGGAGCCTTTCTGCTGGTGATGGACGTGTGTCGCCTGTTGGGCCGAGAAGAAAGCGGCATAGCGACACAGCTCGATGCACACCTCCTACGCCTGCTCACTCCTGTGGTCAAACTGTACACTGGGAAGCAGGTGGGCAGCTTGTGTGATGTGACAGTAAACTGGCATGTGGTTGTTTTGTTTGACTTTTATTGATGTTGTGTTTATTCAGGCGGTGGCTGTGGTGTCGGAGGGTCTGGAGAGCTTTGGAGGACAGGGCTACATCGAGGACACTGGGTTGCCCGGACTACTTCGTGATGCACAGGTGAGGTCATAACCGAGCATTTCACAGTCTTTTACAGTTTGTACTTTTCAGACTTACTTCTCTTTTTCTCTCTAAGGTGTTGAGCATATGGGAAGGCACTACAAATGTTCTTTCTCTGGACGTGTTGCGGTGTGTGGCTCGTAGCTCAGGAATGGTTCTTCATGCTTACTTCACCCATACAAAGGTACGAGGACAGATCCTGTCAGACAAGTTTGGTCTTTATAATCTGTGATGTACCTGAGCAGGAATGTGAAGTGCACTTGTTTTCTTCTCCATGCAGTCCCTGCTTGCAGGCGCATCAAGTGTTTCCTCCCTGGCCCCGGCTGTGAAAGCGGTGGATGGTTCTCTCTCTGAGCTGGAGGAGTTTGTTCAGGTAGCCGCTACCAGAGGACAGAGCTACCTTGAGCTGGCAGCCAGAGACCTGGCATACAGCCTGGCGCGCATCTACACAGGTACAACAGAGACACACTCGGATACAATAAGAGCTGCAATGAATAGGCGATTAATCGGTCACCAGAAAATATATTGGCTGTTTACATTTTTTTATATAATCAATAAATAGTTTATGCTTTTTGAAATTTAGAAACATTACCTTGGGCTGACAGACATTCCATCCTGTAGACCAAATAATCATTTGACTCATAAATAATGAAGTCAATCATAGTGTCATCCCTACAAAAGTCCCTTTTACCTTCATACACCTCTCTCCCTCTCTGTATGTTACCAGGTGCCCTTCTCATCGACCACGCATGTTGGAAAGGAGCTTCTCCATCTGACACCTACGCAGCTCTCAGGTAATAAAAAATACTTAAAAAGTTAATAAAGTACAACTTGTATTTTGCATTTATGTCTCATATATGCTTTCATCTTCCTCTAACAGGTGGTGTGAACAGGACATGTGTCCTGTGGCAACTAAACAGAAGAGAGGCTGCTATGATTCCAGCACTCCACCACTCGATGCTGCGTTGGTCTACGATCAGCTGATAGATATCTGAATGATTGTTGAATACTGGTCAATGTATGGCTTGATCTGCTTTCGCTGAGCCCCAGTCTAGCAAAGTGCCACACAGAGTTACTGTATCCCACGTTTGTAATTTTATAGATGACTGAGAACTCGTGCTATTAAAGATGAAAATGCAGTCCTGAATAAGCACATGAATGAAACTGAGAATAGGATTTCAACTGTAATCTAGTCTGTATATAGCATTTATGTTGTTTAGTATTTTTTGTAGTTACTTATGTATATACCGTATTTACATTCTTTCCACAAGAAACATGAAGCTATAGGTTGACTGTTTATGAAGCGTACATGTGATTTTGGAGGACTGAATGTTTAAAAAGCACGTAAATATAGCGAGACCAGGCTTTTCACAGTCATGGCCATTCCCACGGTTATTCGATTTCGAAGACTTGAACAAGTAAACATCAACAGAATAACAAGATCACAAGTCAGAGGGAAGAAGGGACCCAAAGCTGATGCTGCTCTGTTGGAGCGTCACATACATGCTGCCTTCTAGTACTGTTGGAAAAACTACAAGTGTGATCTGATGCGTGAGCTTCAGAGCTGTTGAAACAATGGTAACATAACCTAATTCTTTTGACTTGTGTTGGGATGAATTCTCTTGTGTGTTGAGTCTTTTTGTGTCATTGTGCCTTCAAGCTGCATATCTGAAATGTAATTAAAGCAAAACATGCTGACAGAGCTGCTAAGGGATGCACATCTTTTTAAAAACAAATGAATAAAGACTACATTAAATGCACAAGTAATGTTTTCTAAACTCCTCTACAGATTTTTGCATTTACTGTGGATATTAAATCATGGTACCTGACGAAGTATACTGTATAGTACAGATTTGCAGTACTTGCACGTTACTTAAAATTTACCTGATAGCTTTAGTTACTAATTACAGATTGATGTTTTTCTATTCTAAACAAGAGGAACTTTTAAATTATGATGTTTTGTTTCAGATGAAACCACACAAGATTACTCGCTAAGTTGATGTGAAATTATTTAACTACTTTTATAGTAATTTTTCATTAAAAATGCAGAATATTCCACTGGAGCAGATCTATGCAACTATTTAGCTCATTCGTTTTTTTTTTGTTTTTTTTTATTGGACCAAATAAGCACTGTGAAAATGTCACTTTACATCCACTATGTGCAGATTTTAAAATAAACCAAACGTTCAGTTATTCAAGCAAAATAGTTAACATATTGGACTTAATATTTAATAGTTGTAGCTAAAGCAGGAAAATCCTGCTTTAACATTCATGGTGAGGCAATATTAGTCTATTGGCATAGCACACTATGAACAAAGACTGTTTTCCTGCATTGAGTTATTTCTGTACTTTATTTACTTTATTACATGAACATGCTTTTACTAAACTATTTTTTAAAGGAAGAAGTTTCACTATTTTCACAGGGTGGTATTTGCACTTAAGTAAATGATTGAGCAATCCCCTTATGCAGTTACTTTTTATTTTTTATTGAAAACTTGACAAATACAGACAAACAAATCTTTCCCTTTAGGCTAAGCAAGTGTAAAACCAAATGCAAAATGGGCATCAATTAAATTTAAAATGAAGATATAGGAACACACAAAAGGCAAGAAATTCAGCATGTTGTGTTGTTTCGCCCGTTTGAAACGTGAGTTTACGAGGCGTCCTTGAACGCGGCGCAGGTCTAAACCAGAGGAGGAGCTCCCGACGAACAAGGTGGACAGAATGTACACGGACACCGAGTCCGAGTCCACACGCTGTTTACGGGCTTAAATACCAAGTAGAGCCGCGGAACTGAAGCTACCGCTACATCAGCACCGACATGTACGAGTAGTTTCGTAAGTTTTTCTTTTTTTTTTCAGCTGACAGGTCCGGACCGCCGGAACCAAACCGACCTCAGTCCTGCTGAGCAGCAGCAGAATGGACGCTGGATAAACTCAGCATGGATCTCAGAGTTTTGCTGTCACTGCTGCTGTTTTCGTGTCACCGAGGGGTCGCTTCAGGCTCCAGGATCCTCAGGAACCAGCCTGCTGGACTGTCCTCAAACACAACAGTGACCATGACGTCTGAGAGCAGCAGCGACGAGGTGAGGTTTGACAGACAAACACGCTGTTGGTGTCAAATGTTGTTGATCAGGTGTGTGTGTGTGTGTGTGTGTGTGTGTGTGTGTTGCGGTTTGATCCGGAGCTTCCAGGTTGTCCGCACGTTTTGTTTTTCTCCAGCTGTCACATGATTGTGTGACCAGTTTCATATAAGATGCATCAGGGCAAAGTTTTATGTACCAGGGGGAATCTCCAGGTGCAGGTGAAGGATCAGATATGCTGCAGCTAAAGAACATCTCTAATACTTCCTAGATTTAAAAGTAAATGTTTGTTTTGTCCACAACTTAAGATATTCAGGAGGAAAGAAACGAGAAACTATTGACAGGATCTTTCCCCCCCCCTATTATCAAAATAGTTGCCAACCAGTTTCAAAGCTGACAACTAATCATTTAATCATTGCAGCTCCATTGTCTGTATATACTGATCATCAGAGTGAGTTTTTTCTTCTGTAATTAATTCTAATGACTGAAAATACAGTTAAAAATAACTACTCCTTGCCTCACACACCCTCACATGAAGGTTTAGCATTTGTATTCATAAATTCGTTATTCATTCATTTAAAAAAAGAAAAAAAAAAAACACACACAATCTTAATTTATCAGATCTTGCCAAGACTGGTTTATCTTTTAGGCAAAGCTGATCAAACACCCAGAGGTCCCACAGGTCCCATTTCCACTGTGAGGCATTTACTTGGTGGTAATCTGATTAACTGCACTTTTATTTAGGAATATGCACCATTAACATTATATCTTGAGCTGAACTGGTGAAGTCAGGCCGGATTCACAGTTTTCCTCGAATCGACTGCGTCCTCATCCTAAAGTCTTTCCTTGTATCAGTTAATATTTGATGTAGCTGATGGTAAACACACTCTCTGGCTCTCTCAGTTCAATACAAAACCTCTGCCTCAAATTCTGCCTTAAGAAGTTTATAGTTGCTGTTTTGTGCAACTGACTGTGTGTTTGTTGCTGAAGGTTTAGTTAGTGATGGTGTTGATCTGGACTCTATCATAACTGTGTTTCTGATGTTCTTCCCCCTACATGTTTGTAAATCAGGTGGGTTAGAGAAAGCTCCTGATATAATGCTGTCTCCTCGTGGATGGTATAAATCAAAACACAGCATGTAAATATAGACTGTATGGCTGACTTATATTTAAACACATAGAGTCTTAAGTTACGACTGGGTGTCCAGAGCTATGTCATTTTAAAAGTGTGGCAGCAATATGTTAAGAATCTTTGGGTAGATTAAGTTTCACCAATGTTTTATTTTGCAACAATGCAGTGAAGTTTGTTTCTCTGTCAGGTTTTGTCCAAATGTCTGGTCAGTTTACAGGTTTACATGCTGTTACATATAGTGAATGCTGTTATGTTTGATCGAGATGCAGAGACATGCTGTATTTTCGAGCATCAGAGCACTGCCGCATGTTGAGTGCAGTTTGTGCTTAGCTTTGAATTTAAGACGCTTTAACAAGTACATTTTTTGTCCACTTTACATTCATAAACCTCCACAGCAGGGGTGCCCAATCCTGGTCCTCGAGAGCCCCCTATCCAGCATGTTTTAGATGTTTCCCTCTTCCAACAGACCTGATTCACATGATCAGGATCGTTATCAGGCTTCTGCAGAGCTGGATGATGAGCTGATCATTTCAATCAGGCTCTCGAGGACCAGGATTGGGCACCCCTGCTCTACAGTCATGAGAGAAAGAGACTTGGTTTGATTTCATTTTATTATGAGGATATTCCTAAAATAAAATTAGTCCCAAGATGTACGCTGCTCAGCATGAATAACAGCAACATGATATTTAACCAAGCAAAAAAAACAAATAGTTCAACATATGCCTTATCAGACAATACAATTGAATCCGCTGAATGACTCCCTTCATCCTCACAGGGACAATGAGACCGACTTAGAACCCAGACTGTGGTGAAAGTTTGACCAAAAGGAGGAACAAAACAGTTTGGAGCTCCGTTCACATTTTATTACATAATGCTGATAGTTTTTGCTGTGTCAGCTGTCTCAGCAGGGATTCCCGTATCAACACTTTGAGCAATGTTGATAAGAAATTGGAACACTCATGTGCGTGTTTGTGTGTTTTGCAGTGCGACCTTGTGATGAACCGCAGTGCAGCAGATCGCTGTGCGTTCGTGAAGAACACACCGGACTGCTCCATGGAGGATGGCTTCATCAACTACCTTTACACTGCCTTCTGCCTGCTACCTCCCAACCTCACACCTCTGGCCATCACTCTCTGTGTAAGTGTTTGGGTGTGAAAAAGTTGTCATACATCAACACGAAACTCTGCATCTCATAGCATCGATGAGGAAGTTCGCTGTGGGAGAACCAGGCGTGACGTAAAACACTTTTCACTGTTTGCCACATAACGGATTTTCATATGAACGTTTGACTTTTTCGTTTCCTCTCTTCGCAACATAACCAGATTGTGTTACTCAAAATAGCATTAAGCACTCCGCTGGGGCGAAAACAGTACGAGAGAGATCCTGCAGACAAAGTCCACCTTGAAAAGTGTGCTGTCGTAGGAAATAAATGTCTCCGCTGCAGATTAGGAACAATGAGATCAGGGGAGTCAACTCAGGCCAATGCATTCAGGCTAATTCTTGTTTATGGAGCTTTTGTCTGAGTGCACAAACTCCAGCAGTACTTTGGTTTTCTACAAGTGTGTGTCACTAAAACAACAGTTTGAGTGACTCTGCTTTCTTCTGCCTCTCCACAGATTATATGGCTGTTCTTTCTGTTTGTAGTTCTTGGACTCACTGCTTCTAAGTTGTAAGTGTCTCTCATGTTGCCACAGTCAATGTGTCCCGTTTTTATGTGGACGTAGAAAATGAAAGGCCACATTCACACACCACACACACACACACTTATTCCCTCAGCTTTGTCAGCTTAACAGTCACATGAAGAAGAGTCACATGGCTCACACGCACACACACACACTTATTCCCTCAGCTTTGTCAGCTTAACAGTCACATGAAGAAGAGTCACATGGCTGTGGAGGGTTTTTTCGTCGTCGTTTCACTTGAGTTGTAAAATTGTGAGATTTCCTCAAAGGAAGCACGGTCATTCCCACTCTCTCCATTTCTCCACCAGTGCACAAATAGTTAAGAAGCTGCTGTTGGTTTAATATACAGTAAAATGTCCTGAACTATTACGATTTATTCATGTTTATTATGTTTATTTTTTCTTCCAGTTTCTGTCCCAACCTGTCAGCCATCTCCTCCACCCTACACCTCAGTCACAACGTGGCCGTATCCTTTCTCCTCGTCCTCTGAACACCACCCACACCTCTCAGTTTAGCATTTCTTTTCAGACTTGTTGGACTTCTAAATTACATTTTTTTTTTTTGTGAGGAATAGTTTCCTTAACTGCCGTCCGTGCTGAGGGCGTAACATTTCTGGCTCTCGGCAACGGAGCTCCGGACATCTTCAGCGCCATGGCAGCGTTCTCCCACCCACACACTGCTGGGCTGGCGGTCGGGGCCTTGTTTGGTAGGAACAGACCGGGTTTCGCATAAACACCAAGATAAAATAAATGAAACAAGCCTGAAACTGCGCAACTCTCTTTGCTCTTTCAGGAGCTGGTATATTTGTCACCACAGTCGTGGCGGGAAGTGTGGCGCTGATAAAACCATTCGCTGTGGCCTCCCGCCCATTTCTACGTGATGTTATCTTCTACATGGGGGCAGTGTTTTGGACTTTTCTCATGTTGTACAGAGGAACTACGACGCTGGGAGAAACACTGGGTATACAAGAGTTTGTCTGTTGGTCCTTCTTGGTGGACACTGACGGTTAATTTGCAGAGTTAAACCAACTTCTGTAACACTTTGAACTCTTACTAGACTTGACAGAACATTTCCTTCTCTGGGAGCCACCCGTCCATTTTTATTGTTATTTTTTTTATTACTTCCTGTTTGTTTATATGTCGTAAGGATATGAAAGTTTCTCTATGAGTCAAGAAAGTTCTGTTGGCAAAGATCCAGGAAATTACTGCTACTACAACTGTTGAACTTTACTAAAAGAACTAAATCTGGCTCATGTGACTTCCAATCAGTGTGTGTTCTTGGGTAAACGCCACCATCCAGATGTCGATTTTAAACAAACTCAATAGTCTCTTTTATTTCCTTAAAGAATCAGAGGATTTTGTAGCTTTGCAAATTGAAGACTACAAGCATTTTTGTCCCTGAATGCAGTTCAAAAACACAGCAGTACTTTTCTGTGACTATCCTGCTCTGTGGTGGCACATACAAACACGTTTGTATATCAAAGTATGAAACTCGGATTCAGAACTCCGCACACTGAGAATGATTACTTTAGAGTGATAGCTACAAATCATGTGAAGCTGAGAAAAGCAGGAGAAAGTGCTTTCACACATTGCCTCGTTTAAGTATTTATTGTGTTTTCAGTGATTAAAGTTTTGTACATTTCATAGCTTTCTTATTTTTATGTATTTTGGGGTTCTTGGCAGCTTTGTGCTTGTTTAATACTTATGGTAACATCCTCTAGCTGTGCTTTTTGGGTTTCATACACGACTCTGAAACAAACAAATAACACTGTTCCGAGTCCTGTGCACAGAATGAAGTTGATGCATGTTTGTATTCGTACAGGAGGAAAAGAAGTGGGAAGGAATATGGGGGGGAAGAGGGCAGTGGCACTGAGATAGGCAGTATATCTGGCACAGCTAGCTAAATATCAAGTTTGTTGATTTTCCTTTGACAGCATAATGTTTTTAAACCCCACACAGACAGCGGACTGCATGCCACTGTATCTAGTTTTAAGAACAGCTTATCCCCAGCTTCTGACATTGCCATATTTCCTTTTTCCAGGCTACCTGAGCCTCTACGTGGTGTATGTCCTGACTGTCATCATCAGTGCCTACATCTACAACCGGAGAAAATATTCAGTGAACACGAGCATCCAGAATGTTTCACATGTTCCAGGTTAGACACATGCAAGTGTAGAAAAAACAACAACCAACAGGTTTCCACGGCTCCCTGTGGTGATCTTGTGTTTTTCTTTCTTTGCAGCAGAGTTTAATTCGTCCGACTCGTCAGATGATGACGTTCCCTGCCTGACTGGTGGGGCTATCCAGCAGGACTATGGTAGGAAAGCAGCACCTGTCAACAAATTAATATATCTGTTAACATGCAAAAAGACTTTTTTATGAAGAGGGCCATAACATGCACATGTGCTGGTGTTGCAGAGTCGGAGTACAGGCCGCTTCTGCCCTACTCCGAGTCCACGAGTCAGATCCTGCTGAGCTCTCTGAATCCAGTGGACCACAGAAAGTGGAGGAGGAAATCATGGAGGTGGAGGGCTCTTAAAGTAGTCAAGGTATATATGTGTGTATAAGCCGAAGCAGATGAACCCACTTGAGATTCTACTTGTAATGTAAATTATTTGGGGGCTTTTTGTCTTCTGCCCATCAGACTCCTCTAGAGGTGCTGCTGCTGATCTGCATCCCTGTGGTCGACCCTGACAAAGAAGACAAAAACTGGAGACGCCCACTAAACTGCCTCCATCTGATCACTGCTCCGCTGGTGTGTGTGCTCGCTTTCCAGTCTGGAGCATGTAAGTCAAGTCACCGTTTCTCTAAAACAACATCTGCTGCACCAGAGTGCTTTCTGGTAAAATATATATATATATATATATATATATATATGATTGACAATAATTGTATTGTTTTTATTGTTTGTATTGTTTTTATTAAGGCACTATTCTTCTCTGGTACTTGTATTCTTATTTTATTTACTTTTATTTTTTACTTTTTATTTTTATTCTTATTTGGAATTACTTGTTTACTTTAACTGTTTTGCTTGCTTTAACTGTACTCTGGCAAAACAATTTCCTTCGGGATGAATAAAGTTTATCTTTATCTTTATCTTTATCTTTATCTTAAAACAACCTAATCGATCAGATTTATATAGCGCTTTTGTCAGCACTCAAAGACGCTTAACACTGTCAGTTATTCATTCACACACATTCCTTCGATTCGCTACAATTATAGCCACAGCTGCCTACGGCCCCTACGACCACCACCTCAAACAATCCATTTATACGCATCCACACCAGGCAAGGTGGGTCAAGTGTCTTGTCCAAGGACACAACGACCATGACACAGGTTACAGGGCAGAATTGAACCGCCCGCCTTCCGATCGTTGACCGACTCGCTCTACCACCTGAGCCACAGCTGCCCAAATCAACCTAACAAGTTTAAATATTGGGGTTAAGACCCTGTAGTGTTCTTTATGGTGTGATTTCAATCAAGTCATTTACATTTTAGCAATTAAAATCCTACAAAAACTTTATAAAACACCACTTTACCGGATTATTACACATAATAAAGTGGAGTATTGTTAATTATGACCTTACCAATGTATACATTTCACAAAAACTATTCAGTCTTATTAAATATAGAGCCTAACTTAAGTATGTAAGTGGATCAACTTTCAGGGTAAAGGTAGCATGACAATATTCATCTAATTATGGCTACATTATAACTCCTTTTCAACTGCTGTCTAGATGGAGAATATATGATCCAAGGGCAGTTTCCTCTCTGGCTGCTGGTTCTTCTGCTGGGACTTTTCCTGTCTGCTATTGTCTTCTGCACAACCACCAATGACTGTCCTCCCAAATATCATTCAGTAAGTATATAAATATATTAAAAAAAAGGAACAGATAATGTCCAAAACATACAGGGAATACGGGCTTTTGAGGTGTGGGGTGGTGAGGGTTAAGGATTACCAACTTGAGATCTTGTCTTGCATAATATCATCATAGTCCACAGTCACGCTAGCAGCTCTGTGAGGCTCCACGGAAGCACAGCAGTGCTTTGATATAAATAGCAACATCAGATATAATGTCTAGCTTTGTGTGTTACCATGTCGACATTAACTGATTAGCGCTGAACACAAAGTGCAGCTGACTCTGACTATTTATTGATGGTGCTCACAGAATAGTCAGAGGATCACCAGGTCAGTAGGATTCCTCCTGGGAACTATGAACAGTGAGAAAATTTAATGTAAATGCATGTAATTGTTGAGATATTTCACACTGCCATCCATCGAGACCTGCTGCAAACAAAAACACATGTATTTATTATAAAGCCTTCAACATTAGATCCACATCGCTGCTCTTAAAACATTTTTGTTGTAGTTTTGAGTGTGATGATGAAATATGTTCAGTTGCATGTGATTCTCATGTTGTTTTGCTCTCTCCAGCTCTTTGCTCTTTTGGGCTTCGTGGTGAGCGCAGTGTTAATCAGCGCAGCGGCCTCCGAAGTGGTCAGTCTCCTGCACATGCTCGGGGTGGTGCTGAGTCTCAGCAACACTGTGCTGGGGTTGACTCTCTTGGCCTGGGGCAACAGCATAGGAGGTGATACCTGAGGTTCTAGTTTATAAAAAAATCCAAAATATAAAAAACTGATACCTGGACTTGAAATGATCTGTATGTCTCTTTTTTTTTCAGACTGCTTTTCTGACATCACCATCGCCCGGCAGGGTTACCCACGGATGGCTATATCTGCCTGCTTTGGAGGCATCATTTTCAGTATCCTTAATTTCATATGAGAGTCCGTGTCAGTATAATCTGACTCACCAGATGTAGACTGGGGGTATAAGCCTACCACTGGCCATGCATGTCACATGGTTTTCCCCTTTCGCTATCAATAGTCCCTTTTACTACAGGAAACAACCACCACCTTAGGACATTAACCTACCATACTGACAGTTTCAAGTTTTGCCATAAGTTTGCATTGAGCCATAAAGCAGTCCAGCTCTCTTTATCAGTTATTTAGCTGTTTTAATAATAGTTCTTGCCTCCTTGCATGCAAATGTTCCACCAAAACAGTTCTCCTGTCACTTTTTTTTTTTTAGATATGATTTCAGAAATTTGAGTTTTTTTTTTTTTTTTTAGGGGCACATCCTGGACTTAGCACCATCCAATATAATTGATTGGTTTAACATAAAAATACAAACTCACTCGAGCTTCCCCTCCCCTATAGCAGAATGATAGTAAGGTGCAGCCTGACTATTCTGCACAGCGCTATGGCTGAATGAACTGAACAGCATGAATGGCTGTGTGAGACTAGAGTCTGTATAAAAACATGACTAATGGATGAGCTTGTAAGAGGCTGGTAATGACTGTGTCCTTGACTGTAATCTCTTCAGACATGCTGCTTGGAGTGGGTTTGGGATGTTTGCTGCAGATGGTTAAAACACAGTCGGATGTGCAGGTATTCTTCTCCTCACACATGATCAATCATGCAGAGAAATGTAGAAGTCTCAGTTACATATGATGGTTTTGGACCCAATGAAGATAATTTCTTTTTTTTTTTTTCTCCTCAGTTTGAAACGGAGGGTTTGTTGACGTGGGTTCTTGCAGGATCTCTGGGTTTGTCTTTGGTCCTGTCTTTTGTCATCGTTCCACTGTGCCAGTTCCACTTGGGTCGAACCTACGGGATCTTTCTCCTCGTCTTCTATGTCATCTTTCTAATCGTTGCCCTTCTCACCGAGTTCGGCGAGATCCACACTATATCGACCTGACACTGTGGCCCGTCTGAAAAAATGAGACGTCGCCACAGCATACTGGAGCAGAGGCTGCGATGAGTGCAGACAAATGCCATCTTCTTCTCCACATAACTTTAATGAACTATTTATAAGTGAATCAGAAGTACATTTTGTTGCACTCACAGCCAAAGCGTGGTTTGCTAGTGACACTAGGCAGCAAAGGAAAGACTTTTCTGCTCAGGGAGGCATGAACCTAATCACACTGTGCCTTTATTCAGCTTCTTGTTTGTGTTCACTGGAGCTGTGATTGCACTTTGTGAGTCAAGAGAGACAACATGGGTTGTAAAGTTGTAATTTAAAACGTTGTAAATTATCTCAATGTACTGTAAATCAAAATGTTAACTACCTTGTACAAAGCTGCTTTTGGGATAATTAAATAATTTTGGTTTGGTATTTGTTTTTAAAGGTTGTATGCACCTCATTCCTCACTTAACTGACAGATGGTATGTTTATAAGGAATTGGCAGCAGTGTCAGAGGAAGGCACCAAAACACAAATACACTTGACAATTTAAACAGTTTATTAAAATCCCTTATTAACTCAAATACATTACAGAATGAGAAGTTATATAAAAGTAAAATACTTTTAAGTCTGCTGAGACTTTAGTTAGGAGAAACTGTACATAGCAATTTGCTGGGTTGGGCGAAAAGGAGTGTCAGTTTTTATACTTTTGGTCTTTAGACAGCTTAGTAGAAGTAGTATCCATGTTAATACTGATCAGATGAGCCATTAAACTAAGGCATCAGGTTTAAGTACTACATGATTTACAATAGGGCACAAAAGGCCTACAGTAGTATACGTACACAACATATTGTGGTAGTACAGGCTTCCTCATAGCTTTTGCTGCAGTCTTTAAAAAGGCCAAAAAAAAAAAGGGGCAACGTTCAACGCTCCCATCTGAGCAACAGTTCAGTACTGTTGTCTCTCTGTCTTTAAAGATACCTCAAGGAGGGAGTCACCATTGACTCGTCTCATTCCCACATCGGTCCAAAAGAGCCTGGACTGGTTTCCCATTGTGACAAACGGTGAGTGGAGGGGGACTGGAAAAGGCCAGGAGTGATGGGCGTTCTTTGCATTGAAAAACACTGAGATGATCACACTGATGTACCGCTTGCAAATTGCATTAGTTAATGCTCTGAGGTCCAGTCTGTGAGTTGAGCTGAGGCTCTGGGAAGGGAGACGGTTCAGAGAGTTCGGGGCTGTCCAGGTCCCGTTCCAAGCTTTGGTCTGGTTGAGGCAGGTTTTCCCTTGAATATTCTGCATACCACTCCTAGAGAAACAAGACGTACAGAAGATCAAGACAGCCCAAAGACTACCATTATTTACAAAATGATTTCCTCCGTTTCTCACCTGTATCTCCTCCTCGTACATTTTCATACTGAGGTCACTCTTGGTCCTTGATCTGCGACCTTGGTACACAAGAGACGAGTGCTGTGCACAACGAAACAGCAGGGAAAGCCAGTTAGTGGAAATCTTGTGAAGAGCAGACGATTAGGTGTTTATATTGTGTGTGGCAGTGTTCTTACCCCACTCCTGTCCATAGCTTGTAGGACTCCCTGTAAAGAGCTGAGAGAAGACAGTCCCGGGCACGTCTGTTTGTACAGCTCAAGAGTGGCCAGAGCTTCATCACGACTCACCTCTACTTCAAACACTATCCCATTCTCCTCTAGAGCACGTGAAAACAAACATATTACAGTTACTTCTTGACTGCTAATCCACAACAGCTGCAACTCAATGTTAATCAAATGAGCATTTTATCTTTACCGGCTATCTGTGAAAGAAATACTGAAGAAAACGGGAAAGCTCCTGATGTTCGATCACCGACTACATCAAAACCATCAAGAGGTAAAGTGAATAACATTGATCATCTTGTTACAATGCAATGTTCTGCTGGGAATTTTGCATCCTGGCATTCATGTGGATGTTACTTTGAAATACCCAGTTAACCAGTACTGCAGATCAAGTAAACTACTCTATGGCAATGGCAGTCCCTCAGCCCCACGCCACACCACAGAAACTGCTCACGTACAGCTTGAGAAATACAACAGAGAGTCTCCAAACTCTCCAGATCCTAATCTTATCGAGCACCTAAACCACCAAGGCTTCACCACAACACACACTCAGACCCACCCTCTGGATTATCCACTGGTTCTCGGTTCTTGCGGCTGTAGTTCATGCGGAACACAAATGCATCCAGAATAAACGCCACGATGATGGTCATCACCACCTGTGGAGGGCACAGAGAAAACATTACACGCATGCAGGGTCACACTTGCACACACTGAACCTTGTGAATCTTGAACAAATGCACAGATAGAGGCAAAAATGCAGCAGATATCACAAACCATCAAGCACATATGACCGCACAGGACTCACCATGGTAACTATATAAAAAGTCATGAAGTACAGGCGGCTCCAGTGGGTTGTCATAGAAGTCACTCCTTCCTGTGAGGGAGTGAACACAGCAACGGTCAAACAGCGACACCTGCTGGTCAGTGACTAGATTGCAGCGTGACGACAGATAAACAACCAAAGATAAATAACTTGATCTTACCATAGTGATGTACCAGTTGTTGACCACAGTGAGTTCAAACAGAGTTACTAGAGATAAAATGAAAAAATATTGTTTAAAATTTGCTAAATGTACAGTGAGGGAGAGAAAGCATGTAAACACCACCTTCCTGTCTGCAACCCCCTATGATTCCAATACAAAAACGCAATATTCTGACAGAAATCAGACAGTACTAATAGATGAACTAACTCATATTTGATCTTTTTTAATGGGATTTGTTGACAGTAACAAAAATATAGACAATTATTAGCCTTATCCTTTAAAAAAAAATGGAATTACCAAAGCTGCTGAGAATGTTGTTGAAGTTATTAAGATAATAGTAGCCTTCTTCCAGCACTGTTTTGTTGCCGTATGTGATGTTGATCTGTCTGTAGGAGTCTGCTACTGTGCTGGTGCTGAGAGAGAAAAGAGTGAAATAAAGACTTAGTTGAAATACACACAGTTTGTACATTTGTGTCGAATGCAGAAGACCAGACTTAACGCTTACACATCTAAATGTATATGCAGAAACCAAAAAAATAAATTCTACCTCATTGCAATTTTGATTTCAACAGACGATAACACAGCATGACTCACTTGCAGCAGTTTGGGTAAACCACATCTGCAAAGAACTCCATTCCAACAATGGCGAATGAATAGTAGAAGATGATTAAGGTCAACCCGAGACTTGCCATTCTGGGGAAGAGCTCAAACATGGTGTCCAACACATTACGGTACCTCTGCTTTATCTTAAATAACCTGCGAAAGACAGAAGACCAAAGTTTGAACATTAACCGAAATATAAATTTTTTAAAAATGGCATATGTAAATGTGCACTCTTAAAAGTAGAGAAGAAAAGCTCACCGGAGCAGCTGAAGTGGTCTGAGAACTACGATAAAGTAGAACGGCTCCATATCGAAGGCAAGAGCGATCAGGCCCAGGAAGGCAAACACTGTCACCGAGAAGTCAAACCTAGACAGACGAGTACAGTATGATTACCACCAAGAACACAGAACCAGTGTTTGGTGCATTTCCAAATACATTTTTAGAAATTTTAGCTACTTTTCACAAAACATTTAAGTGAAAGTACTGAAATATTATCATCAATGAACTGAAATTTGTCAAGAATACTGAATCCAAACTTCCTCAAACAGGCTCTACAAGAGTGCCCATTATGGATCAGTTTGAGTTTGACGTTTTGGATTCGATATACTTTATTAAAGAATTTCAGGTGTTACTCACAGATTCCACCCTGAGCTGAAATAAGCCATTGGCCCCAAGCCGGATATTTTCAATAACACCTCTACACCATAAACTGAAAGTGGAAGCACAGAGTTAGAGTTAGTGTTAGTGCATGTAAACATATGTATTTAATTCTAGACACCCTCTTGGATCAGTTCTAAAGCGTGCGAATACTGATTTTCTACTCACTGGTCAGGAAAACAATGTAACTCCAGGGAACAAATCTGGACCAGGAAAATCCACCTGGAGGAGGAGAGGAGGGTAAGAAACCTGTAGAGTTAAACTCCTCCCTTCAGTCATGTGTGATCATGCTATCAGGGTAGGTCTTACTGTTGAGCGTGTACGTCTCCACGAGGATCCACACACCATTGATGGCTACCACCACATCTGCCGTTACAGGAAAAGATTAAAAGTTCTGAGATGAGAACGTTTGCTCAGGATCTCTGAGTGTAGCTGGGACAATGTAACTTATTACACTTACACATGGCATATTGGAAGGCCTTCGACTTCACCAGCAGGTTGATGCCTATTACAGAAAAAACACTAAGAATGAGGGACTGAGGTGCCAAAATAGTTTAGTGTAACAAACGGAAAAAGACAAATGGAGAACTTGCCTTTGAAAATGAGGAAGGTCGTGTGCGGAAGATCGTCAAACCAGTGTTCTCCACTGCGACGTGCCTACACACATAAACAGAACATGTACATTACAACCATTCCAAAGGACACAAAATAGGGTGAATTGAAACAACACAGTGCAAATGTAAATCAAATTACCTTCCATTTAAGGCCAGTGACCTCATAGAACTTATAAAAGTCCTGCAGGCTGTAACAAATCAAATCAAACTTTATTTATAGAGCAGTTTTCATACACAGAGCAACGCAAAGTGCTTTACAGCATTAAAAACATTGTCAAAGAAAGAAAAAAGAACAAAAAAAGACAAGAAAACCCATCCCTCCCACCCTCCATGTATACACATAGACATACGGCTACGCACACACACACACCCACACACACACTCTCACCACTGACTGTATGGAGACATGGCACTGAGGCTCGTGGAAAACGCTACCAATTTTAAAACTTAAACAATACATGTAACAGTGTGTATGTGACAGCTACCTGAGCATTGGAGCTCCTGACGTGTTGAGAGCTTTATACGTGAGGAAACGATCTCTTGCAGACATCCGTGGTCTGTAAAAACGCATCAGACCATCAAACTGTTTCAGCGACACACCCATTGGCCTCTGGAGAGCAGACATTCAAATGTAAGACAGGCAGTGGTTACAAACGCCTCACAAATTATTTAAACCAAAAAACAGGCATACCTGCCGGCTCACCAACAGCTGGAATGCATGGTCGATAGCGGAGCGTTTGTGGAGCAAAAGAGATTTAAACTTCATCTTCTCAACATCATTAAATGTGTCAAACACCACTGCCAGGAGCTGGAGGGAGACACAGGAAACAACAGCGCAGTGATGTTGATGAGTAATTATGTAAAGGGGAGAAAACTGGAGGCCGTGCCTATTTCTAAAGGACCTCAAATGTTATGTTCATTATATGTAACTTGGCACACTCAACAGCTGTTTTTATTGCAGACACAAATCTGGCTACGTAATTTAGAAAAGGTGAAAATGAGCCTATTTGTACCAGGTTCATGATGAAGTAGAGCTCTATGGAGAGGTAAACAATGAAGAAAACACAGGACCAGCGGTTCTTGGAGTATGCTGGCATCATCACATCAGGGAAACTACAAGAGAGAGGACAAAGTGTGAAATAAATCAGTCACATGACACAAAACTAACACATGTGGTGAGACGAAAGCTGTTATGAGCTCTGAAAGTAGGAACTACTGCTTGCATGTCGTGTGTGTAAAGATAACCAAACAGTACCATGTGTGCCGCTGTGCTTACTTTGCTGTGGTCAGCAGCACAAACAGGCTGACAAGGCTGTTCTCCAGAGTGTTGAAGTACTGTGGCGAGAGGATGGAGTGGAAGTCAGGAAATCAGAGCAGACAGGAGAAGAACCACCCAAGTCCCTCAACTTACACAAGTTAAATAAGCTACTATCAGCCAGAGTAAAGTCTCAACATACCGGGTCGGCAGAGTTTGTAGAGAAGAGGCAGAAACCTGGAGGACACAAAAGACTAATCAAACACACAGTAACAAACACAGATTGACTCAGAGGTCATATTCTTCTGCTATATATGTTTCAGTAGACGAGGAAACAGCGTTTATATGCTTTACAGTAATACACATTCTTACCCAGTATGGCAAATATAACCATGAAGAAAAGCAGCAGCAGGAGGATGTCAATAAAAGGAGGGAGGGACTGGAAGATCTGACGTAAGTTTCTGATTGGATAAAATAAGCTCGTCAGTGCAAACAGTATAAACAGAGGTGTGTGTCTTCAAGGAGCAAATAATAAGGATTAAATAAAACACACAAAAAAACTCTGAGGTAACCAATTCACAGCATAGTTATATTAAACCCAGATGTCAATAGCAGTAAATGTAATGTCTGAAAGACTTTTTGCCAAAGCTTTTCAGTTTCAGACACAGCTGACTCTTTTTGGTGCAATAACAGAAAACACTCTCAGTGAATTTCCAATAGATGAGAAATCTTATTGAGCTTGTATTCGCAGAAAAAATTACATTCAGAATGTTTCTCTGAGGTGCTCTTACCTTTGTCCTCTCTAGTTTTCTCCAGTATGCAAACAGAAATAGTTGATTTTTAAGACGATTTCTCAATCAAGGAAGGAGATTTTTCTATTTTGTGGCCATAACCCAGACCTGACAGTGTGAATTTCTGTGTACGTGTGTCTGTGTGCATTTGTTTACGGTGTGATGTACCTGCGCACAGCACCACAGTATCTACAATCCACCAGGAATATGGGTCTGAGAGCTCTGGTTACTCGCACGTGAGATGTTTGTCTGATCAAAACCACTATGGCCTCCACAAACTGCAGCAGCAACACGCACGTCTGCACAAAGAAAAACAACATGAGCAATACAGCAGCGGCGAAAGCTGAGTCCCAAAGACTGCCCTCATATGACAGCCAGCATCCAGCATGCCTAAGTGAATGAAAACTGACCTCTGACCTCTCTGTAGAATGAGGCCAGATAAAAACAGGACTACTCTATGCCTACTGCAATATTATTACACCATCAGGAAGTATGCAGCATGTATCACTTACCTTCACCATGGTCCTCTTGTGCCGTATAAAGGTGTGGAAGCCTAACCAGCGGAGCTTCATGCAGAGCTCAAATGCCACCATGACCAAAGCCAGCAGCTCCAGCGTGGCATGGACCTGCACAGGCATCACAAACACAGGAGCTTCTACAGAAAACCGGCTGTCTGAGGACGGGTTTGTAAAACTACGCTTGTGTATGCGTTCACTTACGTAGACATCCAGGCGCAGCGAGGGTACAGCAGGAGCTTCACACAACGACAGCATCATCAGCAGCAGGCCTGTGAGCAGCTCCATCATGTAGAAGAGGTGGTTGTGGGCAAACAGGTACGCTGCCAGTGCTTTTGGGTTTCGAGGGTGAGTGAAGAACTTGTCATTGTTCTCTCCTTCCTGTATACGAAGTTCAAAAGATATATATCAAAGAGATATAGCTGTTGGAAAAACACATTGTAAACACACTGCAGTGGCAGAAGCAGTATTGATAATTGCTTCATGATGTGTTATAACAGAGCAATTCCAAATATTATAAGCTCCAAATATGCTTCTCCTGATATAAAAAGTCAGTTTCATATTTGTGCGTCCCTGCTTTCTTCTTCTATCTTAAATATTAACAAATGTACTACTTCCTGCAGCTGGTTTGATGTGAATATCGCTGCTGGGAAGGGTACAAAGTTTAGACATCTACCAGTAACCCAGTTTAGAGGGCATAATAAAACCATTACGTAGTCATGTGCATTCGGAAGCAGTTGCTCTGTTCGCTCAGTGATTAACAAATGCCACAGTCCATGGCTTGTAAATACCTGCAGGTAGATGGCTGCCTCTTGGTAGTTCATCTCCCAGCTTTGCCGTAATGACACATTCTGGGCTCGGTGGTTTTGTGGCCCAGGTGTTGAGATCACAGCATTGTTCACGATGTCATAATTGCCTCCATCTGGAAGAGAACGGCTGAGTGTCAGTGTGTTCATGCAGCACTTATTTACATGGATAAATATAAGAATGTGGAACTGAAATTAGGTTGTTCTTCGCATAGCAACATGAGTCCATGTCACACACTCACACACACGCATAAAAGCAGAGCACACAGAAGGTCATGTGCCTACCAATGCAGGCTAGTTCTAGCTGGCGGACATAGGAGGAGATCACTACTGGATTCTCATTATGGAACTGATCCTCATGGAAACCAGCTGCTTGTCCACATATGCACTCCATTGATCCCTTTGGATTTGTCTGTGTGCTTCAGCTGTGTGAACGTATTAAGGTCCCTGAAGTCCACAGCACAAGTGTGTGTGTGTGTGTGTGTGTTTGTGTGTGTGTGTGTTATTCAGAGTACGCTGGTCTTGCTCCAGCATCCACACACATCTGGAGATACAGATGGCCAAACATTCCACTCAGGCCTGATGCAAACATCGGAAACAGAGTCACAAGTGGAGTCCGGATGAGATCCTCACAGATCCAGGAATGAATTGAAGATCAAAACAACTCTGGAGACAGAGCACTGTTCAAAACTCTAAACAATGCATATATGAAGTTAAGTACTTCTTTGACAACCAGTTGCTTATTTGGAAAAACAGGCACCTTCAAGAGAGTTACTGTCACCAGAAACAATGAAATGAGACTTTAACACTGAAATTATCCCACTGACTTAGCAACAGAGGCTGAACTTTGAACCCAATGCAGCCAGTCAAGAAGAAAGTGTTGTGTTTGCACTGATGTCACATTGCCTATTACGCCTCCTCCCTGCCACAGACAGGATACAGACATGAGACAGACAAACCACAGGAGGAATTAATCTCACGTTATAAAACGGAGAGTGACTAACTTCAAAAGACAGGGAAGACATCTAGATTTGTAACCACAGAGAGAAAGAGCAGGCTGTTACAGGACATAATAGAAAATCAGGTGGTGTCTCTCTTCTAAATGAACTCAAAAAATACAGCCGAAAAAAGATGAAATCCAGACAAACTCAGAATTCTCTCATGGCCTGCATTTACAGATTCAACAGTGGTCTCTCATAAATATTAATCACAGTTTCTTCCTTGAATAAACGTCTCTCCATGTGTCTCTCTGCAGCTGCATATTTCACTCCTGTGTGAGTCTGTCTGGGTGCCCTTCCCACGCACTGTACATCACATGTTTCTGCTTCAGGCACGACTCCTTGGAATTAAATGTAGCGCAGGCCATACGAGTCTCAGAAATGCAGTCACAGATGTTTTCGGTCCACCATGACAGCAGCAGATTGAGCTTAAGTGTGAAGATCAAATTCCAGTCCAGCGGCAGCCTGCCTGTTATCCTGACAGGCGTCGACCCCGTGTCTGCTGTGTGCCATTCTCCAACCCCTCATTTGTTTGAGAACAATAACATGTTTGGAGCTCCCGGTCAACAACACGGTGAGGTCAGGCTCACAGAGACGCCAACAGACTCAGCAGTCATGATTGTCTCCCAGAAAAAAAAATAAAATCAAGTTTTGTGATCATCTGGTTTCCTTGCCACCAGCTATAAAAACTAAACTCCACACCTCTATCCAGGCATGTGACTGGTCATTGAGTTCTTACAGCACAGCCCTCTTTCTCAGTCTCCAGGTTCAAACTCCCTCTCTTTCCAGAAGACTCCAACAGCGATCAGCAACAACAGGATGATACTTCCCACTTGCGCACCACTCCCAGATATCCTGAGAACAAAACTCCTCTCCTCTTCCTGTTCACCCCCAGAGCCAGAAAAAAAAATGATCCGGTGAGCTCACACACACAGACAGACACACCTACACACAGGCTGCAGACACACACACACATGCTGTCCGTGAGCACCCGGGAGGGGCTGAGGGGTGCAGGGTCTGCTGAGCCAGCAGTTTCTCAGATGGGTCATTTTGTAGCTTATATGTGAGCGAAGACAAAGGCAGCAGGATTACTATGTTGAGTGGATGCATGGATACCCATACATGCTGCAAACACAGACACACACGTGATCACAGAGTCCGATGGACAATCTCGTCTCTCCATTAAAGCAGTGTGGTTTGGATGTGCAGCATGTTACCAGCTGACTCTCAACATACCGGCCTCAGACTGCACCAGTGCAAATACGGTGAGTAGATGAACGACATATGAACATAAATATCCTGCTATACTAGTGCCAACAATTTATACAAAAATAGTAAGTACTCCTCTGTAAATAAACAGAACAGTAATATATAAATGCAGCATCCAAACTTGTCTTTTCTGACTTCAAGAAAAAGTTTAACTTCTGATTTCTACTGTTATGGTTAAAAAGTAGTTATATTAGCCGGTCATGCACAAAAACGTTTTTGAGTTGTTCAGCTGGTGAGATTCTCGAGGACCGAGTTAATCCACAGTCTCGCCAGGTGTGGCTTCAAAGGACAATCATCAGATAGCACCGCCTTAAAATGCAGCTTAATCTAAATGACAGGATGCCAAAGATTACAAGAGAAAGTCGAGAACAGGCTGTTGGCATGTTGGTTGCTGCATGTCTGGTGTCCACAACTACACCATTTATTGTCTAAGAAATCGTTTCAGCCAGCTCTGGATGGACGTGTTTGACAACTTGATTCTGTTACACAAGAAGTCTACCAACTTCGCCTAACCTTTCAGGAAAAGTAGGACAACATTAAACAAGCAGCATTGACAGCCTCATTTACTCTATGTGTCACAGCTGTGTGGCACTATGTGATGCAAAATGTTGACACACTGACATGTGATTTCTGGTAAATAACCCCACTCTCAATGATCCTATTATCATTTCCAATATAGTGCATAGTTTGTTGTTTTATTACGCCCATTCTGTTGTAGAGATGCTGTGTCTGGAAGAACAAATACTTATTTCCTTTGTTGACTTTTAGTCAAGATGAAAGCGTATCTCTTCCCCAAAGACTAAAAAAGTTATTCATGACTTTATTACTATGCAGTTAGACTTTTATTTAATTTTATTGTTCATGCCATCCTGTTGAGCAGAATTCTTGCCTCATCATGCTGTGGTTAGAGAACTGAGGCTGACTAATCAGATCCTCTAGGATGTTCTGAGATTTAGGCACAAAAATAGAGGTGATCGAGCTGCTCCTAATCTCTGGAAATGTTTATCTTTTCATGTTAGAACTGCTCCGGCTTTAGAAACTTTAATTCGCAGCTGAAGAACCAACTCTTCATGTTGGCATTCAGTCACAGTAAAGTTCGACACCCTGACTTAATCCCTTATTGACTTCTATCTTTTACTTCTTTTTATTTGATTGTATTTTACTCAGATTTGTTTTACTGTGTCTTACACATGCTGCATTTATATATTTGTCCAGTGGGTTTAATTAAAAGCAACATGGAGTCAAATATGTACAACAAGAAGATCACCACACAGGTGAGAACAGCTGTCAAACAATACACAACCATAGGCTTAATTAAAGCAAACATCTCTGTCATTCTATACAGAATCCCTTGTACAGAAAACAACAAGCGTGAACAGCATATAGTCAGTTGCCATTATATTAGGTATGCCTAACTTTTCGAGAAGCAGACTCTAGTGAGTTCATTTATGGAATTTTAGAAACTACAGTTGGGTCATTCTGTGAAAAATCAATGAGTGCCTCCCACCTGACCCATGATTCCTTCTGTGTCAAATCATTTTCTAATAAAAGCATATTTTGACATTCACAAAATGTAAAACTAAAACCACAACAATGCTGATTGAGGGATCACTATACATGTACACAACAGGTGGGGTTTGCAAGTTTAAGTTCCATCTTATGCTGATGCCCAGAGCAACATAGGCCTGTCTTGATAAGCATGAAAACAGTGTTTCCTCAACTGGTGATCAAGCACAGCCTCCATAGTGACCCTTCATGAAAGTAGAGGTTATTGCAGAACTATCACATTAAACTACAACAGCTTTGGATTGGATCACTTTAGTTTAAATTGTAAACCTAAACCGGTGCCCACACTAAAGGGCCTAGCTATGCACAGACATAGTTTCCATAAGTCCTCTACAGAAGCAGGTGAGGATATCACAGCAAGGACTCACTCTCGTCTCCTCTTTCAGCCTCCTCGTTGAGCAGACCGCTGTTCGCTTCGTCCCAGGTTAAGATGAGAGGCACATCGTCGTCAGACTCCATACTAGCAGATAAACGGGCTGCACCCAGCCTCCACTTCCAGCCTTCACTTGGTACGAGCTACTAGCTAAACAAGGTTTGTTCTGCAAACTGAAAGACAGCAGCACATCTCACGGCTAACGACAGGCTTGCCGTTAGTTGTTTGCTAGTAAACTGACTACTTTAACACTAAGACGATCGCTACATATAGATTAAAATGTCCCCATTACATTAACTAGCGCATTTTAAGTGGTGTGAGGGGGACAGAAGGTCGGCTGGTTGCAGATTTGGTCTTTGTCCTGTCACAGATGACATCTGTCACCGATTCGGTGCTTCACTGTCACTGAGGCTAACGAGCCCAGACTGTCGGTCTGCGTCCATCACGGCATCGTCACCGGACACCGGGCTATCTCCTGCTATGGAACAGACGCTCAGCGCGGTTTGGTAGCATAAAACCGATAACCACGTACAGCCAATTTATATTTGGCTTTTCGCAAACAACATTCCCCGACACAAACGACACCACAAAAGCTCTGCAGACAGGGACGGATAGATCAACAAACTTTCACGACACTGAAGCAGTTCACGGCAGGCTGGGCGAGCGACCGTTGCCAAATTTCAAAATAAAAGTGAACTATTAGAAGACAGTGCTTTACATTCATTTAAAGCTTCCACATTACTGTATTTATTAATTCATTTAAAAAAAAAATGTAATTTATATTTTTAGATTTTTTTTTTTCTTTTCATAAGCTATGGGCAGTATGAGCCAGTGACCGTATTTGGCGCTGGCACCTGCCGTTGTGGTATCTTAGCAACAAAGAAACACACTTCTCCTAGAGGCGAGTAAACAGGTATGTAGCTTAACTAGTTTACAACTTATATCTAGACTAACATACGCTAAAGTCACAACAGTCGTTCTCTGCAAAAGAAAAAAGAAATGTGTTTTTAAAAAAAGACATGGAACGTTCCTTTCATTAACCTAAGCTAAAAACTAAGCAAGTGATGTTCTTTTTTTTCATTTAGCGACTTGAGAGCTTCTGATAACAATTTAGGCATAAACGGTGTTTTTACTGGAGCTGTTGGATACAGGTTGCGAATTATTTTGGAATAAGATAATAAGAGAGCACCTGTTGAATATCAGTCAACTGCATACACTTGAAATACATGCCTTTTGTTAATATTTCAGCTTGTGATGCTTGTAACAGACAAGAAAGAATGTTGAGGAATGTCGAATTCCCACATGACACACTTGTTTTTGAACAATACAAAACATGTAAATCACAATCTATAATTCCTATAAGCTCTGCAAGGCCAAGAGGATCAAAAGTTCAAAACCAAAAGACATTAAATTTACAATAAGATAAAACACATATCAGCAAGAAAATCAAATTAGAGAAGCTAAAACAAGAACATTTTCATTTTTGCTTGATTAATTGATTGTGTTTTATGTTAACTGACTTAATAATTGACTAAATATTCATATAATCTCTTAAACATAAAGTTGTTTCATGTACAGACATTTTGCATTGACATCAGGTGTTTCCAGGACAGACTCTTTTATACTTTTATACATATACAAATATCCATATATTTTAGATGTTTATAACACCTCAAAACACTGTTTCTACCTACATTTCTTTATTCAAATACATATATAATTAGATTTTTTTCTGCTTATATATGTTTTATCTTATTGTAAATTGTATGTCTTTCGGTTTTGAAGTTGTCCACATATTACATATATTACTCCAATTGGTAATATTTACAATTGCTACCAATAGGAGTCAGGACCATCAAACAGTTGGGGAGCACTGACCATATAGCAAAAGCTACTCCCTATACACAAAAGCTACTAGATATATTGCAATCCAAGTAAGCCAATATAGACAAATACTGCATTTTTTTACAGACAATGCCAAACAATATTTACAACAATGTTTTTTCTATTTCTACCATCAACTGACAGTATGGCCGCAAAGTGGGCAACAGGTCCGGCAACGACCCAATCAGACGATGCTCTGTTGTTGCTCTATCCTGAGGCTGAACACATCTCAAATGTGCTGGAAAGCTGCATCAGTCAAGCTGAGATTGCAGCAATTCTGTCTGCTGTTCTCAAGTCAAACAGCGTGTCTGGCATTGAGGACCAGGAGTTGCGTAAGGCACTTCAGGAGCACCAGATATTAGAAGAAAGACTGGAGGGACAAGCCATGGAAGCAAGCGATCAAGCAAGGGAGCAGCTTGAGTGGAACTTCAAGAAGTCTTTCAGAGGTGCGCTCAGGCTTTGTCAAGCCAATCCAGGTGCCATTTCTGGCTTGAGGGCAGAGCTAGGTATCGAAATAGAGGAGAGTGAAAATATACTAATTAGAGAGCTTAAGATGTTTCACAGCAATATGGTAAAAAGGCTGCTGACCAATCTGGATAAGGAGCCTCAAAGTCCGGAGGAAATAATTTTACTGGAGAAAAGACTTGCTGAAAAAATAAAGGAAATAGACAAACAGGTGAGGCATCGAAATAGATATTAAAAGGAATCTGTTGGTTACAAGAGTCTTGTTTGACACATGCATTACTTCCTAAATTGGTGCTAAAAAATGTTTTTTCCCCACTTCTTACCATTCGTATCTTTCTTATTATATCACAGGTTGCTTTCAAAGAAAATGAGATTGAAAACATGCAGAATGATCTACAAATGTGCAAGGCAGTAGAAGAAGAAGAAATGTCACTTCTTACAGACAAACAGTGCCAGCCACAGGTCAAGACAACGAGCCTGAAGCAGACCAGACTACAACAGGAGATCGATCAACTAAACGATCAGCTCTACAATTTAATGCTTAAAAGGAGACAAGCAGAGAGAATACTCCAAGAGGTTAGTCAAGTGTAACATTACACTGAAAATGTTTCATATTATAATCATAGTAACATATTTACTTTTCATTAAAACTCATGCCATGTTTGTTGTTTTTCTTCCTTGGCAGAAAAATGAAGAGGTGGAGATGAAAATTGAAACCTTGATCCAGAGTTTTGATGCAAAAATGGAGGAAACACAGGTACAAACTGCTAAACAAGGAAAAATAACTGAGTACAGTCTCAACACAGGGCCCATTTACAGGCTTTTCCTAGAACCAGTCCTCCAATCTGCTGAGATTAATGATCAACCATTTTCAGGATGCCACCCCTAAAATATTTTTGCATGGACACTATAAAAAGCACAACAATGCAAGAACTTACGCAGTCAGCAAAACTTTACAATAAACAGAGTAAGAGGTATTAATGTCACGGGATCCCTCCGGATTCTATCATGCCAAGTATGTTTCAGAATTACAGTACAGAACAAACAACATACAGTTGGGTTCAAAGACAGTGAAGATAAGACTGACACACAAATGACGACTTTCAGGTATATAAACATGTCAAGATGGCACAGGGTAAACATTTCATTCAATTTGTCATTTAAAATGATGAACTGAAGCACCTTAAGGGCTTCCGATAACATTTCAGGCATAAATCTTGTTTGGAAATGCTCACTTTTACATTTTGAGAACATTTGTTAAATATGATTCAACCATGCCTTCACTTTTAGTAAATATATTTTGTTCATATTTCTGTTTGTAATGCTAGTCATTCATGTAACATGCCATCAGGGTAAAAGGGTTATAAATGTGAAATTTCTAAGTAATGCCCTTCCTTTGAACACCAGTGTATGTTGTACACATGTGACAGCCCTCTGATGGAAAACTTTTGATTGCCACAGATGACTGGAACAGTGTGGAATTTCACGTGAACACAATAGACTGCAATGTACAGTTATCACAAGTTCTGAGAGCTCATTTGATTAAAAGTCCTAAACCAAAAGATAGACATTTTCATTAAGGTAAGACAGAAAAACAGAACATCTTTGCATTAGAGAAGCAGAAGCCAGGGAAAAAAAATCATTGATTAAACAATTACAATGATAGATTATTTTTAATTTTGTGTTGATTGACAAATCAGATAACTGAATACTTATGTAATTTCTAAAATATACACTTGTTTTGTGTATGTAAGCCTTCTCATTTCACACATTCACTTGAGGTGTGTCTTCAGTTTGAAATTCAGCACAGATGCATTGACACTTCGTCTGGTTTGTCCATCCATGTCATCTTTACCTGCTTATTTAGCTGATTATTCTTTCAAGATTTCAGGAAGCTCAACAGTAGTGAAATTACCAAGTGAAAAATATGACCTATCAATCTCTTTTTAACACCTCAATTTTGTCTTTTTTTTTTTTGTCTTTATGGTAGGAAAATTCTTCAGTGGAGTTTGAGCTGCTCCAAATCAATACACAGAGTCGTCTCTTAAGTCAAAGCAAAGTTTTACTTGCAGCAAGGAATCACATGCACAGTACAGATTCTGAACAAGTGACTCCAGAGTCAAGAAATATTGTAGCATTTATACAGGCATACAAAGAACAAATGACATCAGAGTCAAGAAATGTAGCATTTATACAGGCATGCAAAAGATCTCTCCTCTGCTCCCATCTGCTGAGCACAGGCTTGGTTACTTTTTGCAAGTTCTGTGCACACTATCTTTCACGGCCTTCTGTATTTCAAGAGTTGGACAAAGAGCATTGAATCATGACATATAACACTTTCTAATATTTTAACATATGTGTTTTGTTTTTCCACCGCACATCACAATCCACCACCATCTCTCTCTTCTCCATCCTTCAACGCTGTTACTGCCACAATCACCTGTCACAGGCCAACCTGGACGTGAATGAAACTGGTTACAGAAAGGAGGAGGAGGAGCTGAGGAAGCTGGAGAAAGAATTTTCTGTCCTAGAAGTAGAGTGCAACCAGATCCTGGAGAGGCGGCGGCAAGCGGAGGAGAAGAGAAGGGAGGAGATGAAGGAGCTGGAGCTGAAGACCAAAGCTGCTATTTTCGCCCAAGCCTGGTGGAGAGGCTACAGTACTCGCAAGGCCTTAAAGAACAAGGGCAAAGGCAAGAAGGCCAAAAAGAGCAAAGGCAAGAAGAGCAAATAAAATAGAGCAGGAGTGTTCTGGGATGTTTTGTTACAAAAAAAAAAAGAAAGAAAGAAAAAAAAGAAAAATTTAAAAGCCTGATAAGCAAATAACATTACATCCCAGATTCATTGTGGTTCCCATTTATATGTTGTTTATCAATAAAAATCTTTGTATTTTAAACTAGTATTTACAATTTCTGTTAACTACAGTGCAATACTTTGCTATGTTTTGTGAACATTTTAAATGCTGTGTTGACGTACAGGCATTATTAAACAAGTCACAAATGAAGAAACAGCAACGTAATGTACCATTTTCATTACTTATATGTTATTATGTAAAGCCAGTAGACAATCACATGGGCAGTTTAGACTTTTTCTCAGGACTTCATGGGAGTGTCTTTACCTACATGATTGACATCTCTGTATCCCGGGTGAACAACTTTAGAATTCTTGCTTGCAGTTACTTTTATAGCCTTAGCAAATATTCTCGCATAAATATACTCAGCTTTTAATGTTGAACAAGTCCAATCAGCCTAATAAGTTAACACAGGCACTGATGTATTGTATGTATGAGTTGCTGTTTCCTATAATAGCCATAGGGGGGCAGTGCAGACCCCTGTGTACTGAGTTATCTACATTACATTTATTTGGTCACATGGGCATCAGGAGACTGCAACTTCAACTGTAAAAGTTTTCTAGACATACGGTATTTACAAAGTTAAATGAAGCCAACTTAAATGTTATAGTTAACCACCACCAAAACCAATGTATGGCCAAGCTGCAGTGATCACACTGAGAAGCTCAATGAATGTCCTCCTGACCGTTAATGAAACTCATACGCTGTATTAAGCTACATTGTTCGGTTGTTAGCATACTTCCTCAATCATTGTGAATGTAGTCGCTCATTTATGGAACAAAAATGACAATAATACAGATTATAATGACCGTCAGTATACTTCTTACTACTGACAGAATAAATATGCAGTAATTTCAAAGCAGATTCAACTATTGTAGGAATCTTTGTCAAGATAAATCAGTTGTTGATTGCACATTATTTGCAGTTCACTGCCTTCTGGTTTAAGTTTAGTTAACTTTTTAAAATGCTACTTCAGTGAATTAAATTTTAACGCAACAGGTAAACTGATATCGAAGTTTATTTTTTACTTGAAATATGCTTTTTTATATTGAGTCTGATGTGCTTTTTTGGCCTCCTCTAGTTTCTGTCCGTCATTGTGTCTTTGCAAAGGCGATTGAAGTTGTTTCACCATGTCATTGTGGTCTTCGAAGAACATCCTCACCTATGAAGGAGACAAGAGGGAACAGATGGTCGTTTTCCGTTGCTCTGGCTGTTTGCCACCATTTCTGCTCTGTGAGGATACATACCTGGTCCAGCTGTTTCTCTGTGTCATTCATATCCACATCTCCCTCGCCTTCAAAACTCCCACCTGTTGTTTCATAGAGGTTCAGGGTCACCATCTTAATCTGACCCAGTTTGAGTGTTTTCTTTGCTGTCGTCTCCTGAATGTGGTTCCACCTCCTTTCCTGTATGAAGAGAGGACAACTAAACTTCAGTCAGAGGCTCTTTAAGCCACATTTGTTCTAGTCTTAGCTCTGATGCTGGACTTAGACCCAGGGTGATGTCTGGTACCCATGTTAGAGCTTCAGAGCGAGTCCTCTCTAGCTTGGTCTGGAGTTGGGAGAACCGGTTGTTCTGCTGCAGCCGTAGCAAGTTGTGCTGGTCCTCCAGAGTCAGCAGCACTTTTCTCTGCTGGTCGATCTGCTCCTGCGCCTTATTCTCCCTCTGAGAGAGCTGCTGTCTGACGTGGAGAAGACTCTCCAAATGACCCATGAGCGCCTCGACATGTTCAAACTGTAACACAGAATCACACACACACACACTTTAAGGGTGTAGCCCCAAAAATAACGTCACCATCTACTCCAAACATGTCAGAGTTTTTGGAAGAGGTGAGTCATCTTGCCTGAAACAAAGACCAATCCTTGTCACATCATTATTAGTACAATTACTGCACTTTTCTGATATAAAACATTAACCTACAGCGAGAAAGAGCAAGACATTTTTTTAAAACAGCGATGTGTATATAGGTCATGAGTGTGGCTACTGTTTAGGCCATCATCAAGAGGCAAGATTAGACAGCATTTAGGACAGCCTACCATTACAACAGAACAATTTTCATCAGCCAAAATAAGCTTAAGCTTATTTCTATGACTCCTGTATCATTAATAAATTCACATTTTTTTCCATGTTATGCCATGTAAAAGATATAAAAACTTGCCGTACCTCAGTTATTTTGCACACCTGCTCCATGAATTGCCTGTACACAGAGTGTCTGTGCACCTGACGCTGTCGCTTTTGTTTTCTCTCACTCACTTCAGCACACTCCTCCTTTAGCTTCGTCATCTCTGCCTCCTTCTGAAGCACCTCTTTCCTGTCCCTCTCTGCTTTCTTGGCAGTTTTATCAGGATCTTCATCCTAGGTGGAGATGGAGGGCTTTAGTTAGTTTGCTGTTGCAGTCGAAAACGGGAGTCGTTGTGAAAATTGCCTCTCATTGTACCTTGAGAAACACGTCAAAGCTTAAGTGTAACTTCTGCGTTTCCTTAATGTTCTTGTGCAGCTCCTCTATGCGCTGTTCCAAATTCTCCAACACCTGCAAGTAATAACAACACACATATATATATATATATATATAAAGAGCTGATAAAAAAATGTTTTGTTGTAAAGTAAACTTCTCAACAGTATGTATAAGCAGAGCTGAACTGCTTGGTCAATACACTGATCAGTCAACACAAAATTAATCAGTTAACTATTTGATAATTATGCAAGTTTCTTGCAAAAAGATCTGGGGCCTTTCCTTGAAATAATTTTAGTAGTTTCCATTTATTATTAATAATTTTGAGGTTTGGGCTATTGATTTAATATTGTGATGGTGTCACTTTTGGCACAGGCAAACTGTGATGTGAATTTTTATAAATCAAACAATGAATTGATTCATCAAGAAAATAATCAGAACAACCTATTCGATAATAAAATAGTTATTTGTTTAAAATGAGCTCCACCTCAACCAGCTACAGTAAAATGCTGTTTACACGAGTAATCTAAAAATGTCATGTATTAACTCAGCACTTCACTTTGAACACCACAATCATTCTGGGCCTGTGCTCTCAAACAACCTCAGTCTTTGTTGGCATGGATTTCACAAATTCTGGGAAATGTTCCTTTGACTTTCTGCTCCATGTTGACATGATTACATTACGTCATTTCTGCTTATTTGTCAGCTGCACGTTCATGCTGAGAATCTCCTGATCTACCACATCTCAAATGGATTCAGATCAGGTTACACTGGAGGCCACTGAAACACAACAATCTCATTATCATGCTTGTGAAATCAGTTTGAGATGACTTTTGCTTTGAAACGTGATGCACTGTCATGTTGGAAGTGATCAATAGAAGATGGGTAAATTGTTGAAGCATAAGATCAGCAACAGTACTCAGATATACAGTGACAAATCATGACTGACTGGTATGAAGGAAAGAAAACATTTTCCACATCATTACACAACCAGCAGCAGCCCCGACTGTTGACATAAGGCAGGCTGGGTCTGTGGATACTGCTGAAGCCACAATCTGCCTCAAGGTTCAACATGTTCTTAATTCTCTGATGCTTTCCTGCTCACTTGTAAGTGGATTTCTGAGTTAACTTTCTCTGCTTCCCTTTGACCTCTCTCATTAACTTAATTAAGTTGTTTTCGTCCGAACTACAGCTGCTCACAGGACGTTTTTGTTTTTAGCACCATTCTAAGCAAATAGTGTAAATCCCAGAAGATCAGTAGTTTCAGAAACACTCTAACCGGCCCGTCTGGCACCAACAGTCATGACACATTCAAAGTCACTGACATCATGTTTTTCCCAATTTTCATGTTTGATGTGAACATCAATGGAATGTATCTGCATGATTTTAGGCACTGCTGCCACATGATTAGATGATTGGATAATTGCATGAATGATGCATATTAATGTTCCTCATAAAGTGTCCATGTGACAGTTCATCAGTAACAGAGACCAGTGTGAGTGCTTTTAATTTAAAGAATTTAAATACATTTTCTCATGCTGACGTTGTTCTGCTTCTGGCAAAAACACTACAGTGAAACAAACATTGTTTTTCATGATAAAAAGATGTTTTTCATGCACGTCAGTTTTAAGAATTTGGAATATTTTTCAGACCTGTTAAAAGAAAACATCCAAAATACACATTTAGGTGTTCGTTTTAATACATTTTTGACATTTCTGCAAATTAGGTCAGATTTAATAGAACTCATTAATATATATTTTTTAGTGTTCATAAAAAAAACACCAAACTGAACATAAAATTTCAGAAAATTTGAAATACAAAAAATAATTGCCTTAATGTAAATAAATATTTGAGGAGGGGATATCTATTAAGTTTTTACAATAAAAAATAGTTCCTAACTAAAGGAACAGGAATTTTCGCAGGTTCTAAGCCAGAAATTTTACTTCAGCAGCACTTACAAACACCTAGTGACATTTTATTTTATTTTTATTATTATTATTACTATTATTATTATTATTATCATTATCATTATTATCATCATCATCATCATTATTGTCTTATTCTAAAGATTTTCCAAAGGGATTTGTTCGTATATCACTTATAGCCTGATTTATAAAACATTTTATTTCTTAATATGTGATGAAAATTGTATTTTATTGGCAATGTTTTCTGTTTTATGGAGTGATCAAAAGAGAAATCCAAAATCTCTGTAAAAAACCTAAAGAGTAATATGTCAACCAAATGAAAGGCTTTATCAAATTTCAGATTTTTGTTCTGGGAATTCATCAAAAAGGCATTTTAAGCTAATATCTTATTTGGAAATTTAAATTTAAATTGTTATACAAAAAATAAAAATAAAAAGTAAAATACTTGCATAATTGTGACTAATCAACTGGGAAACCTCTGGCTCCTCCTAAACCCGTCCACTGCTGCTCCTCCCACTCCCCCTCTGCTCAATCTCTACCTGCCAGCTGTTCCCGCCACTGCATAGGCTCCACCCTCATGCACTCAGCCTGCACCACCTGTCAACCAATCAGATTGCTCACCTGTTCACCCCGCCACACACCTGGGACTCGCCCACTCACCACACTCTGTATATATACTAGCCACTTGACTGCTCTGATCGTTGTTGCCAGATCGTGATTGGTGCTCTTGCCTGTTGTTTGAATTACCTGTTCTGGATTTTAACCCCTGCCGTCTTGTATCTGTCTGATGATTTTGTGCAGTGTATGTAAGTATGCAACACATACGAAAATCCAAGATATATTCTGGAAGTAATATAAATTGCATATGTTGTGTTGACAATATTAACATAATTTTAGGAAGTGATATGAACACACTGAGTATATAAATAGAGTAGGTTATGGGTAAAAGAAGTGTGTTAGATAAATGACGATATAAAGATAAAAGGGGAAATGACAGTATGAACAATATAGAGCATGAACCGTGGATAAGAGGGGCAAGATATAACATATGCATTGTGATTTATTCTTTAAAAATTCCTACTGTTGATGTCCATTAACATATTCAATGCACGTCTTCATAATCGAGTGATTTCACATTGTGATGTTGGCACTTGAGGCGAAGTGAGGTTTCTGAGCGCTTGTCTTCCATTGAGACAGAGTTATCGCGAGAAGTAACGTTAACAAGCTGCGAGACATCGCGACAACAACAAAAAAACAAAACAAAAAAATAAAACAGCGATTTGAATCCGCACCTGTTTGCGCTCCTCGTACTTGGCTCTGAGCTCTTCAGTCTCTCTTTCTTTACTCTGTAGTTCAAAGAGGACACAGCTCCAGTCTCGTCCTCCTGCCACCCCGACACTCAGCAGCCTGTTACCGTAGTACAAACTTATTAGCATTGATCGACCAGATTGACTTTGGCTGAGCTTCACACGCGCCAACAGAGGAAACAAATCCGCAGAAACTCACTCTGAAAGCGGCTCCCCACGCGTGGACTCCCAGCTCATGACTCTTTGTTGTCTTTGGTGATTTTCTGGTACAATTTCCTCCAGTTTTATTCCTCCGTTTAGTTAATACAAGTTCTCCAGGTTTCTAACAGAGCGCCTCCCGCGTGCCTTCTCATCGTTTCTATGGCAACACATACCCGGAACTTTTAAAGGCGTAATCCGACGTTTCATCTCGAAGGAAAAACACATCAAGACAGTTAAAAACAAGATTTAATTCACTCAGAACGGAAAACATCGGGTAAATAATCATTTATTAGGTTTTATAATGATAAAATAATAATCTTAAATTGTTAATTTAATTAAAAAATACAAGTTATTATTATTATTATTATCATTATTAATAATAATAATAATGATGATGATGATGATGATGATAATAATAATAATAACAATAATAGATAATCAGTTTTATTAGGTTTAGGTTTAAGTTTAATCAGTAACTGGAATTATAACCCCCTCTAAATGCTTCCAAAATTGGTCCAATAGCCAAGCTCTTAAAATATATCGATTTTACCTGGAAACAGATTTAGAAATATGAATTTGTAGATGGAAAATAAAATGAAAAAATTTTTGATTCGAATATCATTTAAGACAGTGCTGCATGGTGGCTCGGTGGAAGGTCAAGAAGGTCTCCGGTTCGCATCCTGGTGAGGACACTGGGATCTTTCTGCATGGAGTTTGCATCTTCTCCCCGTGCAGCGTGGGTTCTCTCCGGGTTCTCCGGCTTCCTCCCGCACAGTCCAAAAACATGTTGAGGTTAATTGGTGATTCTAAATTGTCTGTAGGTGTGAATGTGAGTGTGCTTGGTTGTCTGTCTCTAAGTGTAGCCCTGTGATAGACTGGTGACCTGTCCAGGGTGTCCCCTGCCTTCACCCTAAGTCAGCTGGGATAGACTCCAGCCTACCGCGACCCTAGTGAGGATTAAGCGGCGTATAGATAATGGATGGATGGATGGATGAATGAATGAATGAATCATTCAAGAAATGTAGCTTAGATCACACAAAAAATGCTGTTAATGAACTAGTTCAAAAAGCACAGGTTTGTTGTGGTTGACTGTTTGTGACAATGCTTTGTATATTGTCCTACACCTTTTGTATAAAATAACTTTACGAATCCTTAAGGGCGTTTTTGTGCCCAATATTGCTCAGAAAAATTACAATGACACAAGAATGAATGCTGTGCATAATAGAATAGCAACAAGACAAGCACAATACTATGTGTCTGTAGATCATCTGTGGCTTTGGAAGAAAGACAGCTCCTGTTTGAACAAAATCCTGACATGTACATGCAGTTCTAAATCATGGTACTACAAGAAGAAACACAGCTCAGCCTACAGGGAACCTTTACTTTGTGTGTGACCATGCAGGGGTCCCATTGTCTCACAATCCGTCTGTGTACACCACCTACGTGATTAAAAACAACTGAAAATGTGTGCACAGCGTGGAACTCAGTGATGTGACCTCTGAGATGTGAGTTCCAGACATCTGATTGACAGGTGTTACCACAGGGAGATGTGTGATTTTTTCACTTTGAGCATAAAAATCACACTTAATATCACACCCTTCAGTGCTGACTCTCTGACGGCGCTGTGCAGCGCACGCTAGCACGCGCCTACACACCATGGTCCTCACCATGTAGCAGGCTGACAGACACAGGCACACATGATGACACTCTGCTGTAAACATGTCAGAAACAAGATCAGGTGTGTGAAGTTGTTCGGGCTACTTCAGATTGAAAGATGTAAGCCTGATTTGTGGAGTCTTGCAGGTTGCTTACATACTGAGACAACTCCTCTTATCTGTCATTAGAAACTCATGCGTTGCAGTCAGACATCATCATTTTGCCAATCTGATGATACCTAAAATGTAGAAATAGGATGAGAAAGGCGTGGCATTCAACTAGCAGCCTTAACTGCATTTTAGATCGCTAGGCCACAAGTGTGACAACATACTAACTGATTTTTATTAATGGCATTATTGTGTGTCCATGTACACATTTGATCTTCATTTTGAACTGTACATTTTTAAGGATTTTTGTTTTTACATTAAAAACCCAGTGAACTTCTTGTTATAAACATGTTTCCTTGACAAGTGTATTTGTGCTCTTTCTCTAATGTAAGTCGTCTTTGCTTTGACATTTTGTAATCTAATGCGATGGGATTTACACATTTTAGGTGTCTTAATATTTACTGGGCCTACTGTAAGAATAGTCTGGCAAGAATATGATTTCAACAACCTTGAAGCTATTTGACAGGAAGCAAAAGCAGGATGTAGATGTTCTGCATAACACTTCTTAGGGGCCCTGAGCATATTTTCTCAAGCAGCTTTTTACTCTCAGTCAAACATTAACTCTCTACTTTCTGCTAAAATGGGAAGAAATTAGGTTCTTTGACATGAGGGAGGTCTGGCCACTTCCATGTAACAATTAGAATCTGATTAGTGGATCAGTTTGATCAGACCACACCTGCACAATCTGGAGGAAGCCAAATGTGAGCGTTAATTAACTCTAATAATGATAACATGAGATGCATTTTCTCTTTGACATTTTCATATTTAGTCATACATATCCAACCTTGTCAACTGCTGTAGGAGAAATACCCTAAATTTGAATACATTTTTTCATAGCCTTTAAATTGTAATTATAGATAGCAACATTTTAACTTTGCACATTTATCTGGGGCACTGTGGGACAGATTTCACTAATAAAGATGTATTTCTGGGTAATCCATATATATAAACTGGTTGTATAGTCCCAAAGGATACATCTTTATAAAGAACTGATCTTGATGAGTTATGACGTTAATTCTTTAAATGAAAACTGCAATGATCTCAATAATTACATTCAAACTTTAAAGCAGTAGTTAAATGAACCTGATGTTGTTTTAGTGGCAAAATAAACTTGAATCTCATCTTTTCACTGTCAGATGATGAATGCTTCCTTTCTTCCTGAGCATTCATGACTTATTTCATGCCTCAAATATGTTCAAAGATGTGTTATCACCTTTAGTAAGTGCCATTAAGAGTGAAATGGTCCTGATTTGACATTTCATGTTCATACTAGTGGCACGGTGCCACATGATGACAGAAGAAGGTGGCATTAACAGACTTAATGGAAATGCTGTGTGCTGTTATTTTTGCATAATAATAGCCAGGTGTGGCAAAGCTGGCGACACCGACGGTGACAGCAGCAGCACCAGAAAAACGCATCTGATGTAAATGTGTGTCAGGCGTACACACACGCACACAATCGGCTGAGAAAACGAGAGGGGAGAGAAGGAAAAGGCATGACCGAAAGGCAGTGAAGGGGAAAAACAACAACACAGATAGCTGCAGGCAGAGATGCTGCTCGATCCATTTTTAATGAATGGGCCGCTTGCTGCACACACACAAAGTACTTTCTTAATACTAATGGAAAGATGCTATTATAATAAAAGCATGTTGTGTCAGGTGATGGTACAGTGTGAGGCGGTGGAGATAGAGGTATCACACCCGTGTAAACACCAGCAGACCTTTTAACAGCTGAGGAGGACGAGGAGAAGAAGACGAAGAGGTCAGAATCTGTTAGACACAAAGCCCACGAGGACAATAAAGATACAGGTAGCTCTGTCCATTAAGCCTAATGTTATCCATTCTCCCTGGTAAATGTCTTCTTAAGTTGCATCAATATCGTGTTATTTCACTGCCTCACAAAAGTTAAATTAGCAGTTCAAATATCCAAATCCAAAATGTTTTTTTTTAATTTTGGGGGGGGGGGGTTACTGCTATTCGATACCATTTTTCACACTTTTGTGCTTTATTGAACCTAATGTATTGGTAAATAAGGGAAAAGAGACCCTGAAGAGATGAAGAAAAACAGCAACTAAAGAATGCCTTGTTGGTAAGGAACAGTACGTGATGAAGCAAGAGTATGTAATAAATTATTGTTTTAAGGATTATAAGATGATATTGAGGAAACTGGAATCACATCAGTTAATCAGAGATTAATCAGATATATCTGCAATTCAAGTTTCTATCTGGCCCAGTTTTTGTTTTTTTGTTACAAGCTTCTTTAATTGCTTTCTATTTCCTTTTAACTTCACTTAACTTAGGTTTAATTTTATCTCTTGCATTTGTCATCTTCCTGCATTCCCTGCATCACCTGTGCAATAGTAGTCAATATGTTTTCTTTTGTATGTGCCTCTAGCTTTTGTGAGAAAATAAAATTAAGCCACATGTTCACATATGTTTCATAAGCATGTAAAAATATGTAATTGCATAGTAAATAATCAGAAGGTGGAAAATCTAATAAAGGAAGGTCCACATGTCTTAACAAGTGAACTGTCATAAACGGCTCTGATAAGAGAGGTTTTTTTCTTTGTGAGCTCCATGTGCGTCACTCCACCTGCTTGTAAGATACTGTATTAGGGCCACAAGATAAGCACAACAGATATCCATCCATCCATTATCTATACACCGCTTAATCCTCACTAGGGTCGCTGGGGGCTGGAGTCTATCCCAGCTGACTTAAGATGAAGGCAGGAGACACCCTGGACAGGTCACCAGTCTATCGCAGGGCTACACTTAGAGACAGACAACCAAGCACACTCACATTCACACCTACGGACAATTTAGAATCAACTAACCTCAACATGTTTTTGGACTGTGCGAGGAAGTCGGAGAGAACCCACGCTGCACTGGGAGAACATGCAACCTCCACGCAGAAAGATCCTGGTGCCCCCACCTGGATGTGAACCGGTGACCTTCTTGCTGCGAGGCAACAGTGCTAACCACAGCTCCACCTTGCAGCCCACAACAGATATATTAAGAGTTGTTGTTGTTTTTTTAACACAACCATACACAGAATGTGAGCATTGAAGAGCTGACAAGAAGAGAGACAGTCAGATGCAATACCTCACACAGGCTGATCAGAGAGATTCATGTGGTAGATATTTGAACTGTATTTATGAAAATAACAACTTCTACGCCTCAGTGGCTCTCGAGAACAGCTCAGTAAACAGACAAGTGGACTCTGACTCTGCTCATTTCCTTCTTCTCAAGTGTGCTAAAATAATTGAGAATCATTCAGTGAATGTGGCTGTCAGAAAATACTCCACAGCACTTTCCATCACTTGTTGGATGGTCTTTGTGCTCCTTGCACTCACTTTTTCCAACCACTTTGTGTATTCATGGTTCTGCTGTATTTTCTGGTGTGTGATCTTTTGCCCGTTTCCTGGATGTTCCTCGTGAGTCTTGCCTGTGTGTTGAGATTTTTGCCTCTTCCAGCTTTTTACCCTTTTTGCAAGCTCCATGTGTGTTACTCCAAGCCTATGATGTTCAAGCTTTGGATTATACTTTACCTGCCTCCTGAGTTTGCTTCCTCTCCCCTGAATTGTCACCTTCAAATGTTACATCCCGTGACTGTGAAACAAGTATGTTGTATGATCTTAGAATCTGATACAAAACATATATAGTGTCTAAATAAACATGTAAATTGTAATTGACATTTCTAAGATGTAAAAACTTTCCCTGACCGGCTACCTACCCAATTATTAGCATTTCAACACACACACAAGTAACATTTTTTATTCTTATATGGAAAAAGTGAGCAATTTCTTGTGTTTGTCGGGCTTCAGGTTTGTGTTGTTGACACCAGCTTATATTAGAATTGGTCTTGGATCATAAATACCTGAAGCAGACCATAGTTTTTTTGTTTTCTGTTGTGTTTTATTACAGCGAGTGTGACTATTTCTGAACATTGGCTCGATGATGTGATTTTTTTATAAGCGTCTATGAACGAGCTTTCCTCGCTATTTTTAAAGTTTTATAGAGTTCGTGACCAATGCGTCCTCTTCATATAGACCGTCGGGCTGCTTTGAAGCCCTGCCAGTTGCTTCATGTTGCTTCCAAAACTTTTTCTAAAAACATTGTTTTGCTTGTGTCTGCTTCCTATAAAAGCTGTATTTTAGGATGTATAGTTTAATTCTGCTTTTGCTCTCACGCCCGTGTTTAAATTAGTGCAAAACTACCAAAGAAAGACAGTAGAATCATCAGTCCTGTAACCGGTGAAAGCCTGTACTCTCACTGTACACACACACACACACACACTTGAGTAGGCAGGTGACAAACATTTATACATTCATAATTAAAGGTCAACAGTGTGGTGCAAACAGATATTGAGAGGAAGTCTGTGTTTATGCTAATGCCTTGTCAGACAGAGAGGCCGGGGACTCTCTGACACCATCTATTAGTAATGAGACACGATCACAGAAATGCACTGAGGACGAACCAAACAATGCAGCTCCTGGCAAACAATGGGACCTGACAGCCGGCTGAGTGAGTGCTCCGAAATCAGGCCCCGTGTGCAATCAGTGTTCGGAGGCAGAGGGGCCGCGCGAATGCATTTGTTTGTTTATTGATGTTTGTGTTTTGTGTTTGTCTCACAGCAGTGGTCTTGTCTGGCCTGTTTGCAAACACGTTTGTACACGAGTGGCAACAAGCCTCCAGGAATGTGCGGGCAACCGAGACGGAGAGGAGAGAGAGGGAGAGAGAGAGAGAGGGAGAGGGAGAGAGAGGGAAGCCTGGCAGGAGATGCTGAGGCAAGTACACTCTCTGGATACAACAGTGTGTGTTGTTTAATTCTGTTTTACAGATTCTGCAATAATTGGAGCTGGGGCATCTTTTAATGTAATCAGATGAGACAGTGGGTCAGAACAATTTGCCACATATTTCTGTCACACAGTATTTGGCTTTTTGGGGGTTATTTTATTTATTTAGTTTCTGTCAAATCAATTTCACATCGTTTGTTATTTGATATATTGTTGTGATAAAAATATCAACTGTGGCTGCATTAAGGCCATTAAAATAAAACAAAAGAAGAATATTTGTATTTCCCCACCAGGGCTTTACTCCAGACGCTGAGGACAAACATTTCCTTTAAATAATAATTTTTAAAAATTAAAATAATTAGAGCATTTCTTAATGAGGTTTGGTCTGAATTTCTGAGAGGGATGTGCATCGCGAGACTCATGACCGGAGTATTTTTAAACATCTGTGGCGCTGGCCTTGGCACAAGCACAACAATGACAAAGTTCCTTTGTTCAAAACTGGAAGAATGTGAGGCCACGAGCAGCCTGTACAGTGGGCAAACAGAAGAGTGGCAAAGTGAAGCCCTGCTGGTAGTGATATCATTATGCTGTGTGTCCAGTCCGGACAAGGGGACCAGAGTGAGACCGGGGTGGAGGGGATGTAATCTCCTCATTGAATGGGTTTGTGTGTGTGTGTGTGTGTGTGTGTGTGTGTGTGTGTGTGCGCATGTGTGTGTGTGCGCATGCGCGTCTTTGTGCTGTGCTGGTTGTGTGTTTTTGTCTCCAAGACAGTGTGTGTGTGTAAGTGGAGGATTAGCGTGCCTCTCCAGTCCTCTGGCTGTAATCAGATGGGACACTGGCTCCATGACGGCCCGCAACCCCCACCACCACCCACTGCGGGAGCGCCTCTATCCCTTTCACCCTGTCATGTGTGTTTGCCGGCTGGTCTTAGGACCCTGGCGGTATGTTAGGAGTTAAAACAATTATTCTTGCTCACATCACAAAGCCCTTTTTTTTTTTCTTTCTTGCTTTCTTTTTTTTTTTTTTCTTTACAAATTTTGCTTCCGCCAGCGAGAGTGACAGAAAAACCTCTCTTCATTCGAACCCAGTCCTGGGACCTGATGCCACATGGCATGTTGGACATGTTGCGTGTTTGTTTCTTTCGGTGCGGTTCTTCTAAGCTGAGCTGCTGAACTGGTGTAAAAGTGAGAGTCCAGCGCTGAGGAGGGGAAAGCTGCAGCAGCCTCATCAGTGCGTCGGTTAGATAAACAGCCATCAGTGATCAGGTTAGTCTGAGCCCTCTGACCCTGGTCTGGCCTGTCTGCTGTTAGTTTGACCCTTAACCTCTCCCTTTGTCTTTCAGACTCAACATGCAGGACAACCCAAACGCACTCGCTCACCCCCTCCTACCCCACAGTCATACACACACATACACACAAACACACTCCTACTTGGCCTCTTATCCTTGACAGCCCTTACGCTAATATTAAGATCTACTTCAGTGATTTCAGGGCTGTTTCAGCCATAAACTCTCATTTAAGGGAAAATTAGTTTGGGTCTGAGTCTTGCTACTATACTGTCCTTAACAGCATTAGGCCATTCTTGTGGCTTTTAAATACCAACAAGGATGGATAGTACCATTCAAATAAACCTCCAGCATCCTGCTTTGTTACAACATCTGTAATGGCCAAGCTTTTCATTGTTATACATTATTGTATTTCCATTGTGCCGTCCTCTTAGTGCCATACAGTGCCTGCTAATTCTAATTACAGATACACATGAATCCATCAAACATCTTACAATGAGGTCCGCTCAGCTACTGAACACAACCTGCTCCGACGAAGCTCTTAAAACAGCCATCGCTCATCAGAACAAGCTTTGGTAAGATGTTGGAGATTCTGGAAAGCCCCTTAGGAAAGAAAAAAAATCCCTCCAGGCTCAGACATGGAATTTTAATCTTTACTTTCAAACTTTTATAACATGTAAAATGCTTAGATCTTAGCCTTCCGTATTCTCTATGGTGTTCCAGCGTAGTAGCTGTTTTACTAGCGCCACGCTAGTCAGGAAGCACCAAGCTGTCGCCCTTTGCTGCCACAGAGACGGAGCACCATCAGACCCACAGAGACAAACCGTAATCAGCTTTACCAATTACGTTCCATCTCAGACCACTTATTCCACACAAAATGGCATCACTAATGCCAGACATCACACAAATGCCTCTCAGAGTTCTGCAAGAGACTCCGGCACGCATTTATATATTCAAACAAATAGTTCGGACTGTAATGAAAAAAGCTTTAAATAAGTCTTTGATGTCTTTTTTTTTTTTTTTTTAAACGTCTTTACAAGAGAAATTGCCCTGCACAGCTGGAGAGTAGCTTTAACATACAACACAGCAGAAACATGAGCTGTCCTCAGCAAGCCTCCCAGTTTAGTGCATGCAAAATTGCAGTTCTGCAGGCCAAATGAGTGACATTTAAAAATGTCAGTCTTTCCTGCTTTGAACATGGGCCGTCTCGAGTGAGCACAGGACAGGACAGACTTGTGTGTGGGTCTGTTAGAAACAATCATGGATGAGTAAATTTGAAATTTGGATAAGGATGAGAAAATGAGTCGATGAACTGGGCAGGAGGAGAGGAGTCAGTGGTGTGTGTGTGTGGCTGTGTGTGTCTGTGTGTGTCTTGGTTGGAGGGGGGGGCGCGTTGGGGAGATAATGATAAGCACCACTTAGGCTCTTTGATCACAAAGGTTCATCAATCTACCGTCCGACCAGTGTGTCTGAGAAAGTCCTCTACTGATGGATTAGGATCCTTTACACACACATACACAAGCCACACTGTTTAAAATTAACCAAAGCTTTCCTCTCTTAAGTCTTTCCCAGCCATGCAGAGGTCATCACAGAGCGCCGTTACTGTACGCGCAAGCATGAAGCGATGTAACCCACTTTTTTAGAGTTGGAGGCCCCCCGAGGTCTTGTTCTGTCTCCCTCTTTGTCCCCCCCCCCACCCTCCTCGTCCTGACCTAAGTTTGTCTGGAGACAAAGGGTTAAGGAGGACCAGACCCTCTGAAGAGCTGCCTGCTTAACCTCTGACCTCGTGGTGTATGAGAGAGAGAGGGAGAAAGGAAGAAAGAGAAAAAGAGACTGAGAGAAAGGCGGTTCTGACAACTTCTGACAGGCACAGAACTATGTCATTGAATGTAAATACACTCGTTTTGGAGTTTAACGATTTCACAACCTTTGCAAACTGCTCTTTGTCGTTAACTCTGAGGTGCAAGAGGTTGGCTATTTTTTTTTGTGAGAAACACACAGACACACGATATCAGGAAGTCTAAAAGAAGTCGGGGACCACCAGCACACCCCCACCTTTCTTTGTCCTCCACCCCGACAGGCCCCTCCTCTCTCTGGGCAGCAGGTTGCTGGTGAGTCGGTCCAGCTGGTGTCGACTGGAGATGCCAAACAACCTGTCAGAGATAAGAAGAGGTGGACAAGGTTTGCGCAGCACCCAGACCACTCTGAGAGTTTCACCGCTGAGAACAGTTAGAGACACTGGGGTCCGTTATGCTTGATAAGACAGTAATAGTAAACACTGTTACACTTTAAACAATCCTCTATAACACGGCTGAACGAGGCTACGCTTGTTATCAGCTCCTTCATATTCATACATGCATTGAAACTGATAACATGCACTGCACTTAAAAGAGTTTCCAGTCCAGAGGTGCTGAACGTACTTTAAATAACCCACTGGGAATGTTAATAGTTTGTCTCTGCTGCTTCATCACAAAGAAGAACACTCCAACCAATTGGCTTTCTCTCTAAAATTTATTCAATTTATTTTGTTTATAAATCTGTACTTATTTTCATAGAACAGAAAAGTTTGCTTGTTTTAATCACAACTATTTATCACCACTTGGAGATGGAGGGTGAAACTGGAAACAAACCCTCAAAGAGAAACGAATATCTCTGAACAATACCATCTTGTTTCACAAGTTAACACCAAACTATTCTTTACAAATCTAGAGTAATAAATACTATTACCGGGAACAAGGCTAAAAAAAAAAAAAAAAACAACCTATAAAACAATCCTTACATCCCGTTTCCACACACACACACACACAGACACACTCACACATACAAAATCAAATACATATCAAGGAATGATGAGGATCTCCTCTCTGCAAACTGATGGTTTGTAATGTTCGAGCACCTTATCACAAGTTACTGCATGTCAAAACACCTGGACAGCAATATAAAAACTGCATCATAACACAAAAATAACCCAAAAATCTCAGCTTGCTTCTATTTTGCACAAAAAGAGTCACAAATGTTTCTTTACAGTTAGCTACGAGGATGGAAGTGTCCCAAATCTGCAAGGAAATGTGCTGAACCGAATCTAGTCGAGGCAATTAATGGAGTAATGGAGGGTTATGACAGGGACAATTTCAGATTTAAAAATAAAGAGACTAATATGTGTTGGTGCGTCAACATTATCACATTTACAGCACTGTGTTTCTTTGTGTTTGCTGAGCAATCCTCACATGTCAAGGATCAACACTGGACTCATGAATAATTCACAAACGAAAATGGGCCAACGCACGCACGCACAAAACACGCAGCGCTCCGGCTCCGACTGGTCAACCGGGGACAAAAGAGAGCCGCACGCTCATTGGTCAGCTCTCAGTGAACAGAGAAAGCCGATTGGTCAGACGGGGGTGACTGAGAGGACAGCAGTGACAGCTGTGTGACGCTGAGTTGTGCATTTACCCAGAATGCAACGGAAAGAGTGTTTACAGGTCCTTCAGCCTGTAGCTCGGTCTAAACAAACTGTTTATCTCTATGGTGCAGCGCCTGCAGCTACTACTGCCTGTCTCATTGGAAATTAACTCATAGCATCCTTGAGCTGAGCTGACATAGGCTTTACATATACACAGCCGCGCACACACACACACACACACACACTCATGCAGACAACTCATGCCTTTTCTCCTTCACTGAGACTGAGCATGGAGCCGTGCTTTGCTCCACTAAAGAGAAAAAAAAAAATGTCTCCCTCGGGCTCTGCTGTGAGAGCTGAGATTATTTTGGTCAGTAAATGTTACTGCCTGTCTGACAATGGGTCACAATTTACATCCTTCACAATGCAAAAAGTGGGAGTCATTGAGAGGATAACAGCCTGTAGTGCTGTTCGTGGTCTGGCCTGAACAGGGCTCACAGTGCAAACATTTGGTTGACGCCAGTCTTTGAGTTACACAAAGACAATAGAATACAACTTTGATGTTCATTGTGCTGCACAGAAGGAGCAACACTTTTTTTTCTCAAACGTTTGATGCATCCTAGATGTCCAGATCCGGTCCTTAACAATCCGCTGCTCCTTCCAGCACAAGGGAGAGACATGACTAACAGATGAGACCTCTTCACATGGCACAAAAATCACACTTTTCACAATTATTTTACAAAAGTATGAGCATATTCAGTCCGTACACAGTGCAGCATCTTTCAGAAGAGCAGAAAGGAACCTCTGTCCACTCATCAGTCTTTCTGGGTCATCCTCTGGTTCAGTTAGGAGGCTGCACTCCATTCTGGCACTCCACACCGGATGTGTGTGTGCGTCTCTAGTGTGTGGTAGAGAGGAGGAGACAGGTTGGGCGTGTAGCGAGGATACTCTCTGAGAGGAGAGCTGAGCTGCCTGCTGTGAATGTTTTGGGAGCTCTGAGATGGAGGTCCGGAGCTTTGGGTCTGGTAGGGATCGTGGGTGATGTGTTCTCCCAGCGGCGGAGAGCTCTGGTGGGCTATAGCGCTGAGTCGAGAGCCCTGTGGGCTGGAGCTGTAAGGGGGGTGAGGAGTGTAAGGCGGGTAGGGCTCCATGGGGGTCATGGCGGCAGGAAGCGGGCAGGTGTATGACCAGGATGCACAGCTGAGTTCATCCATTCTGGGCTCCGAGCTGGCAAACATGCACGCCTGACGCTGTCCCAGGTCTGAGCTGTAGGGGGAGTCGGTGAGGCCCAGGGCAGGGTTGGTGGAGAGACCAGATGGAGGAGGAGGGTAGGAGGAGGGGTGGTAGTAAGATTCGCCCTCACTTGGGGAGCTACCAGCGAAGGGTTTCTTGTAGGGATGCTGGTTTCCTGAAGAGCAGTTCTCCTCCACTACAGAGACACAGAGAAAAACGTGGTTAATTTTCTATTTGACGTTAATGAGAAGCGAAAACTGGGAACGCTTCCGCTCGGAGTTTTACGACTTCCCATTTACGAGAGTTCAAGTAGCTGAGATGAGAACAAAATGTACACATGAAGTGAAATTGAATTAGTTTGACTGATTTTAGAATGTAAACATGATGTCAGGGTTAAAGTGCAATTTATCTGCAGCGTCGGTATCACAGTGACATGAAACCCAGAACTATTAGGAACAGTGACTATCAGTGCAGACTCTACTGGCTGTTACGCACAAAGAGAAATCCCTTAACGATTAGTTGACTGATTGTTTCTCCTTTGAAGCTGAACTTAGAAAATGTTTTGGAATTAACTATTTTTACATGTATTTTTTTCTGAGTTCTATGAGCTAAAGTATAAACAATGAGAAGTCTGATTCTCAGCAAGGTTCAGAAGTAGTTGTACAGTCATTGTTGCTGATTTTCTTCTTTCTGCTGCTGATTATTACGTCTGAATAGAACCATGCAAGCGTACGTAAACGGGCAGACATGAAGATAAATGATTTATTCATTCATTCAGCTGCTGCCTGAGTAAATCTGATGCTAATTAGACATAGTTTGCAAACACAAATTGTACGCTTGAAACCGCACAGAATAGTATAAAATTGTTTTGCTACTGTATAAAATAGTTTTTGCAGTGGCTCTGCTACTGCTCAGATAGAGATTGGTTTCTATTCATTTCAACAGACTATAAAAACAACCTGAAGAGACTTTAAATGTTGCATACATTTACATGATCATCATGACTCCTATCTACATTTTAAAAACCTGTTTTATGAAGACAGCAGTTTTGGGCAACTGACTGATTTTTTATAAAGTATTTATTCGGAAAGCTAGTTTGGTTAGTACTGATTGGAGATTATTACTAACATTAAATTCGTAAATGTGCATTTAACATCAATTAATAACAATTTTCTGCTACTTAAATTATATTTTTTCATTTTTTTATGAGTGTAGAATTATTGTATTCTTCTATATTTGTGTTGATTTGGGTATATTTTGTTTATAATTAATTTATATGTTATTAATATGTTATTACAAGGTTATTACTATGTCATTATGAGTCATTGCCAAGCTGTATTTTTTTGTGTGCTTCTCTGCTAATCTGCTATGTAGAGAAAGAAAATAATATTTTTTATTGTATTTTATTTTTTTAAATATATTGTGTCAAAATTACTTTAAAGTAATTAAATTTAAAAATTCAAATTAACCCTCCTGTTACCTTCAAATGTACTGACATCTTTTGTCCTTGGGTTCAATTTGACCCCAGCAATTTAAACCTCCACAAAATATCATCATATTTTATGTGTAAATAGTCCTTTAAACAAAACTGAAAAAATATATCAATGACTTATTTAGAGATATTAAACATTTAATGGAGTCAAATTGACCCCAAAGATAATAAGAGGTTTTAAAAAATAAGTAATTTTTGAAAATACTTTTATTTACTTTAAAAGTAATGCAATAAAAGAACCACCAAGTAAAAATACATGGATCATATCTGCACTACTAAGTCATTGTTCATCGTCCTTCTACCTTTTCTCTTGTTGCAGTGGTAAACCTGCGGCTGCTGTCCGCGCTGCAGGTGTGGATGAGGCAGGCTGTAGTGCGAGGACGGAGGGCTCAGCAGCTCCTGAGGACTGTTTCGGGTCAAGCCGTTCTCACAGCTGTAGGGGGACCTAACGGCCTCAGGGGAGCCCCGCAGACCACGACTCTCCCCGCTGAACGGACTCCCAGAGGAGCAGGCTCTCTGACGGACAGTGCTGCGAGGGACCACGGGGTAATCCTTACTGCAACACAAAGAAGCAACAGTTTGCATCAGGAAGGCTGCACAGAACCGCCTCTGCTGAATCTGTTCAGGTATTATTTTTTAGGAACATATTCTGCGTGGTGGTATTCTTGTTTTTTTTTTCTTCCCTTTACTTCAGGTCTACTTAGATATTCTCCATCCTTTCAGCTCTGATTTCTTTCTGTACACACTGGCCTCTTGGTGAACTCTGTGGTATGTGGAAGACAGCAGGCCACATCTCCCTGACTCCTGCTGAAATAGTGACACACACACAGGCATGCGCGCGCACACACACACACACAGCCAGTGCTGTTGTGAGATAATTCACCGCTCTAAAAATAAACATCCATCTGTGTGTCACTTCAGATAGACTCTCCGCTCCTCTCCTCTCCGCCGACCGCAGCAGCACGACGACGACGACGCAGGAGCGCTGCACTCATGCCGTCCTCTCTCCCTTCATTGTCCTCCCTCGTCTTTCTTCTCCCTCCCCTCAATAACGGCCTCTCCCATTGGCTCGCTAAAACCCTTTAAAGTGCCTGCCACAACACCACTTGAAGGGAGATTAGTTCAGCACGCAAACAGACACCATGTTGGGCCATCAGCTGATCGGCAGTGACAGCTTAATAGACCAGCAGCAACGTGATATCGTGTATTTATCAATGCGGCGCAGGAACCGATGCTCACGTTGGTGCTGCTTGTTCTGGACGAGGCTCAGATCAAGCTTCAGGTGACAAAGCCTCACATTTCTTTACAGCACTTGGCTCCACTTAGGCACACACTCACGTCTTAGACCATATGTACCCCATCATAACAGCCTCCCCCCCCGGCTGAGGGAGGGAGAGAGAGGAGACTAGAAATTGTTTCCTATGAATGCTCGCGAGCACACAGACAGCAATTACATGAACAAATCTGTACTCACCCTTGTAGCTTGGCCATGCGGTGCAGCTCATTGTCATCGCTGCCTCTGAAGCCCTTCGCAAAAGGATTATTCTCAATCTTCAGCTGTGTAATCTGAGGACAAAAACACAGAAAACCTTTGACTCGGGCTCAAGCGCCACACCGCAGCACATGCACAGGCCCAAACAATCAGTTTTTAACTGTACCCTCCATTGACTGAATCAATAGTTTACTATTAGTCAGAGGCCCTGCAGATGTTAAAAGCAGCTCCGCTGCAGCTCTCCACGGCCAACATTCCTCAGCCGCTGATGTTTCCATCGGAGCGGACAATGTTCTCGCCAGCTGACACAGAATAAACTGTTTACCCAAACAGTCGCCAGGTTTAGGGGTTTCAGGCCAAAGCTTTTAGAGGTCCAAAGCTTTGAGCTTTGATGTTAAGTCTTCAAACTTTTCTCAGTGATGTCATGAAGGTAAACCTTGGTGTTGTGAAGGATTTCATTTGGCCACAGACCAGGTCCATCCCACTGCAGGACACAGGCTCAGGTCCACACAAACTTTGAAGTGCCGAAAATACTGATAGGCTCAAGAGCTCTAATTTATATAGAAGATGCAGTGAGTACACAAGTGGCCTATTAATAGTCTTTGTTTTTCTATACATGGAATTCTGAAGTTTAGGTCTTTTTTAACACAAAAAAACAAACTTTATTGCACAGGCTGTAATACTGAAATAATCACTTTACACTATTCTGACTACTGCTAGTAATAATAATATAATAATATATAATAACTGTGATTATTCTTTAAGGTCAATAGTGATTATTATTATTGATAACTGAATTAATTTGGAATTAAAACAAACTGGCAAGTCCAACACAAAACTTTGTTCAAGTTCCCTTATTTATTTACGCTTTCTATACGTCTCACTATTTATTTGTCAGCGTTGACAGGCTGTTCCTCATGACATTTACCCAAACAGAGGGACAACAGATAACGAGGCAGCTGCATCAGAGTCAAAGTTAAATTTAATTTAATTTACCAGCAGTTATAAAAAAAAAAAAATATAGCAATGCCAGTAATCGGATTAAGGCTAAATATCAGATGCCATAATCAGCCAGGCCACTAATTTTTATTTTAATCATCATCATCAGAATTATTATTAAGTATTAAAATGTGAAATACGATATATGTTTTTATTATATTTTATGTATTATACAGTGAAGTCATTGTGATAAAATGGATAGTAAATAATCACAATAATTACATTTAAGTAGTATTAACTTTTAACCACTGAGTCGCACATCCAGTGTTTAATAACAATAATAATACTGTTGTTAATAATAGTGATCAATAATATTAATAGTACTTTTGTAGTTTATTTACAATATTTCTGCTGTTCAGAATAGAAATAAACTGTACAGTGCATGCTTAGGTCTAAACTACAAGATACATCTCCTGTTGTATAAAAAAAAATCAGGCTTCGTGATGGATTAAATTGGGGATTTATTTTCTGAGTCTGGTTTGTGCTTATTCATAGATTTTTATTGTAAGATAAATTCAATTAAATACTACATTTAAGTGGAGGATAAAAGTGTGCAGATTGGTCTTCTGTTTTAATTTTAGGTGAGATATAATATCTACAAATGAGGACAAAATCTGCTGCCAAACTGTGTAGAAAAATTATGGTTGAAATGTATTAATGTGATCGCTTTTTGTTGAAGTTATTTGTTGTGAAAATGAAATGTGATCAAATTGAGGCTCGCTCGTTGAAAAGCTAATTAGTGGACTGACTCAAGGCTGCAAGTCTTTCTAGTGAAAAAAAAAAAGGCTGAGAAGCCAAAACCAGCTGAGATCAAGGGAAAGAAACAGGTCGTTATAGACCAACACACACACACACACACACACACACACACACAAAGAAAAAGATTTTATGTTTACTTGTTTACAAATACCAAGTAAGGACACATGAACAAAGAGGATGAAAACTGACTGTCTGTTTACAAAACAGTGAATTACTGACAAACAGTGTGTGTGTGTGTGTGTGTGTGTTCACATTGGTGTGTGTGTGTGTGTGTGTGTGTTAGAGGTTGTTTGATTGTGACCAGTGACCAAAGTCCAAACTTTCCAAATAGTCACAGATTGGACATTAGCAAAGATCTGATTTGCCAACATATAAGTGTGAGATCCGTTTCCATAACTGTGAAGTAACATTTAACCCAACCAATGAAAGAGCTCTACAACCCAAACAACAAATGATGTCCAAACATCAGTGCTGAATTCTTTCAATTCAATATATTTCCATTGTGTCGACTTTGAGTGACCTCATCGTATTTATAGATCTGTTCAAACCACCAATATTTCACTGCATTAGTTTCATCCATAACCGAGGAGGCAGCTCAGACATTTTGAAGTGAGCCTTTGTATCACTTTTAGCTCTGTTTCACACTGTGCCGTGCACAAAACCTACCTTGTGGTTCTGATAGGACGTCACAGCGATGAAGGCGGTCTCGGAGAAGACGTGAGTGCAGAAAGCCGTGTTTTTGGAGCCGAAGCCGTTGTTCTCGTCCGCCTTGACGATGTGGAGCCTCGGCTGGTATTTGTGCATGGAGTTAAGTATTATCTGCACAGGCGAGAGATTGAGAGGGTGAGGCTGACAGGCCTGTCATGTTTGCAGAAACCCACCACCAGATGCTGGGACCTGGACGATAGAGTCCAGGTGGAGACTAAAGCCCATCTAGCTGCTTTGATTTCCAGCTTTGTTGGCTTAGATGAATGTTTAGGACAGAGGTTCATGGTGTCGCCTACATATCAGCAGGATCAGACTGATGTAAGTTGAAAGAGAAGTAATAATTGATCTGTGTTTATAAGGCCACCCTCCGAGGCTGCAACCCAAATCTGCCACAATACTGTGAGTCCTGCATGAGCAGACGGCTGGATATGGTGCATTTTTTTAAATGTGCTTTGGTCAGAAAAATTATTTTAAAAAAAGGGTTTGCTGTTATTAAAATTCAGACATGACACCAAGTAGCCACCACCTTAAAACAAAGTGACGTGTGGAGCACATTATTCATTATTATTTTAAACTTACTAATTTAATAATGGAATACATGTTTAAGAGAGTAGACTGCAGATCATGTGAAGTCTAAATAATAATTCTTAAAACTCACTGTGCTCAAGTTAGCAGACTATTTCAGCTGAGTGACAGAAACTCTGCAAGTTCTGGAAAGTTTGATGAGATTTACACTTTATTTATTCTGAGGCTGCAGAATGTGACCCAAACAGATCAGTAGCCTAGAACTATAATAACTCTGTGAATTCAACGCGCAGTCTAAACTGTTTCCCACGACACTGACAACTCCACAAGTGGTTTTTAATTGGATCGCGGCCCTCTGTGTATGCGCGTGGGCGCGAGCACGTTTGTTTATCCGGGGGGCTCAGTTTAATCGGAGTGACGTGTCCACCGGTGACATGCATTAGCTAATGGACTTTGGAGTCACTGAAATCATTATCTGTCACTTAAAAAGCCTCAAAGATCACATTTCTGTTTGCGTCTGCGTGCGCATGCGTCGGGCACCCAGACGCGTGCGTAAAAAAAAAAAGGATGGCCCGCGTTCACCTGCTCCCGCGCCCTGCAGTGTGTGTGAGTGTGTGCGAGTGTGTGCGTGCTGCTGTGGGGTAAAATGGAGCAATGCACGCCGGGAAAGAGTCTCAGCTCTTGCACAGTGTGTGTCCGCTGTGCCCTCGTGGTGATTTGTGCCATGTTGTGATGTCGGCTGAGTTATATTCAGAGGACTGAGCTCCATGTGCTACCAGCTGAGTGCAGGAGGGACCGGACCCGGGCAGCAGTTTGTATCATCATTTTTCTTACATTAGAAACACATCTCACGATTAATTATTTAAAACGCATATTACAGCCACTTGGTTTGGCCCACAGACCACTTTCATTTGGCGATCCTGCGTCTCTACAGGCCCCACCACATAAACGGGCAAACATATTTAAAAATATAGCGAACACAGATAAATGGCAAAAAAAAGGAAAAGGCTTTTACATTAGCAGAATATCATTAGGAAGACAGACTCACGTGTCCAAACGGGTCCAGGTGGTTGTTGGTGAGTTTGAGCTTCTGAAAGGAGACCAGCTGACGGCTCCAGTGCGCCCCGGTGGCGGGAGAGTCCGGATGGACGTAGAGCCTTCCGGGCATCGCGGGCTCTGCTTTTCCCGTAATCGACCTGAATGTCCAAAGAAATAATCGGAAAATGTTCAGACATCGACACACTCAACGGGTCGCGGTGGTTTTGGTCCAAGCGGCCGAGCTCGGGCGGTGCCGGGCGCCCCTCGTGGCGCGTCAGGCCTCCGCTGCCTGCCGCCGGCTGCAGAAGGCCTGAAAGACTGGAGCGTTAATTAGACGGACAAAAAAAACGCAGCGTTTGGGTGGAGTTGACCCAAACAGAGCCACATCTAGAGCTTGGGTTGCCCAGATTTACTCGATCACTTCTGAAAACCTCTCTATTGGACCAGAGAGGCATTAAGGTGGGCGCTGAGTGGAAAAAACTCAAATATTTATTATTATTTAAAAAATTCAAATCACTACAAAACATCAGCAAAGACCACAGACGTCTCCTAAAGGTGCGATATTAATTATACAATGTGTGAACTCCTGTTTTTTTCTTGTCTTTTAAGTGCAGGTTGGTGAAGCTGCGCACAGTCGGTGTGTTAAAGTTGTGCAGGTGAGTTTTTGGATTTTGTTTTACACCTTATGATAAATAAATAATTTAATAAATAAATAAATAACATCTCTAAATGAAGGATAAACGCCCTGATGAAATATTGATTATTATGTGTTCAGTCCTCCATAGCTGCACTCATGGCTTCGAGTAAAGGTGACATTACTACAAAAATAAAATACATATATATTTTTTTAAATATTGCTTCTTTTTTTTTTAAGAATTGTGCAGGCTGCTATAATGGAGGGGATCGATCATCCACGTAAACGCACAGAAATCCTAAACATGTGTCCACAGCTTGGCACCGGAGCGAATCTAAACTTTTTAGTCACACCAACTTTATCCACGAACTCCTCAGTTTTCATTCTAATAAGCCGCGTCTCATCCTCACAACACTGATGGATCTCAGAGTCAGTGGTCCGTTCGGATTTCCCCTCAACGCAACACACACACACACACACACACACACACACACACACACACACACACACACACACACACACACACACACACAGCTGAATGGGAGACTTTAATCCGGCCTGTCCGCCCCGTGAACCCGTCATATTCTGATGTAACCGGCGGGCAGACACGGGGGGAAACGCGGGGAAGTAGGCCATCCCAGTCTGCAAGAAGGACCCGACCTTTACTCAGAGCAGAGGCGGGGGGAGGAGAGGAGGGTACGGAGCCACGGCGGCGCGGCTTGCCAGGAGTTCAGAGGTTTCACGCATAGAAGCAGGAGTAAGATGTAAGAATGTGGAGAGGAGGGAAAAATAATCTCGAGGTTATCCTTCTGGCTGAATAGTCATGGATGTGTTATGGAGATCTTTTAGGACGCGTCCCGTGCAGATCAATAATGTTCAATAGGTGATCAAAGTTCGGATCCTATCCGTTGCGCACACAGACGTGACATATAGACTTTACGAACCATTTATTGTCTGCAAATTTGTAGCGGTGGTCGTCTCCGGGCACGATGTCCATCAGCAGGATGTACTTGGTTTTTGGGTTCAGTCCTGTGACCTTCACTTTGTAACTGGGGAACATCCTCCTGCAGGGACACATCCAGGAGAAAATATCAATATTGATTTTCTAGCACAAGGAGGTTTAAATGATAAAAACACATGGCGTTAGATAATAATTTTTAAAAATACACATATAGGCCTCAGAGGCGCTGCTCTGAGGTAAAACACCCCGAAGGGCCTCGTGGAATGAAGCCCACATTATTTTCCTAGAAGTATTGTTTGACCACAACTCATAAAAAATCGTTCAAGCCTCGGACAGCTTTGTTAGTGGAGACACAAGAGATAAAGTCATAAAAATGAAGAAAAAAAAATCAACATAATAAGCCAAAAAAATCTAAATCTGTCAAACAGTAAGGAGTGAAATTTTTACCTCCCCGCCTTGGTGATGATCATTTCAGTTCCCACTTCATCAAACTTGGTCCAGAGCTCCCTGTCATGAAGGAAAACTTTGATTCCCTCCATCCCCTGCAGCAAAAAAACACAAACAGGACTCACTGCAAATGGACCGCAATTCAGCTGGAGGCAAAATTCAAGCAGGACGCAGGCAGCCACATTTGCAATTTAATTTTGTAAAATTAACTATAACATACATGAAATTACTGTACAATATTTTACATAGTTGGAAAAAAATATGTAGTGGTTTATGACATAAGCCGATCCCACAGTTTATTGAACAATCCCTAAACAGTAACGGTTGCTTTGCTGCTCCGCGCTGCAGCCACACATCGTTCTGGCTCAGATTTTTTCTGAAGTAAAAAAAAAAATAAAATGTACAAAGTTGTACTGGCTTAGCGGCTGTTAGGAGTTCCAATTAATAGTCTGATTAATATTTACATGATGGTCCTCAGTGCAGGCAGCTACCTGCTGCTGGCCGGACGCTGTCTGCGGGGAGGATGGAGAGTTCAAGGTGAGGCTCGGGTTCTCCTGTTTGGTCTCTTTTGGAGAATCCATGCAGTCCGAGTCCGGACGCTCTGCAAGGCCGAACTGGTCCCCTCCGTTTGCCATGTCCCACTGACACACACACACACACACACACACACACACACACACACACACACACAGTGTTTAGATCTATATTTATTTTGGTATATGGCTTGTCGTTGGTTACCGGTGAAAAATATTTAATACGACCTTCTTCCACGACAACGATTTTTTGACACCAAACCAAACCAAAAAATAAATAAATAAATAAATAAATAAAATTAAACTCCATCTATATGAGCCACAGAATCGTTTATGCACGTCTGTTTAAAATTTTGCTAATTACTGTTGGTTCTAAAAATAAAACTCAGCTCCATTAACTAAAAATATTCTCCACTGTATTTATGCCAGCTGCAGAACAATAAAAGGACGCCTTTTTTTTCTAAAACCACGACAGTCAATAAGCAGATCTTTGTTAAAGGATGCACAAGGCCGTTAATACTGGCGCTTACGCACTTTGATCTTGTAGCGAAAACCACAATTTATGACCGTGTTTGCGCAAAATAAGTCTAATGACTAACATTAGATGACGATAGCTCGCAGTGACTTGCTCTGTAACTGATCCAATAACCTAATTACAAGCTTCCACTTAGCCTGAAAGGAGATTAAATGTGCATCAACATGAACTTCAGCCATTGTTTTCGTACAGAGTCATAACAATCGATCATGCACATTTATGTGAATTTAAAAAAAAAACCCAACTTGCAGAGTGCTCTCCAGCTGCCGTGCTGGTGATATTTTCATCAGCTTTCATATTTGGCATTTCGCTCTCGGTGCACAACATGTGGAGCTTTAAATTCTATTAATAACTGAATTATGAGTTAAACTCCAGCCTGCAGCTTACAAAGTGCATATCATTGACATCAAATAAGCCAACCGCAGCCTGTGGCATGTGCGTGTGTGCATTGTGGATGGTCTCTCTGAGGGCATTTACCTCAAATGCACTGCTCTGCTCTCCCCGCACAAAACACGCTCATCCTGCTCCTGCGCACTCTGCAGGCTGTTTGCGTATTTTTGTGGCTCGCTTTATATTTCCACTGAACTATACGTTAAAAGTGCAACTGTCCAAATGTTGCCACGTCGGTTCTCAGAAATCCACCATGTTCCTTTTGTACATCTGACATATCATCGGGTTGTTTCTCGCTTCAGTGTCCACCTCGCTGCTGTTGCTGCTGCTGCGCACAAACCGCTGCTCGTCCCCCTCGCTGGCTCCAGTCCACGGCCACAGAGGAGGCTGAGATTGGTTCAAAGCGGCGGTAATTTCTCCCTCATTTAGTCCAGCGCTCGCTCCTTATTGTCCTCACGGAGCCAGCAGCAGCCCTCATATGAACCACGCTCATCAGATCTTTCATTACAAATGGAGTCAAATCCACCTCACATGTTCTGCCCTCCCCCTGCTGCCCTCCCCGCGCTGCCATAGGTCTGCACGGTGCGTCGGTTATCTGCTGCCCAAATCATGGCTTTGACACTGGCCAATCACGCGCACAGGCGGACACACACATATACGCACACACACACGCGCGCTGACCTACGCGCACGTTCGCCTGCGCGCTTACTCGTTGCAGAATAATTTATTTAAAAAATATATATGTATTATTATAATGAATTCTCAGTGTGTCTTTGTTCTTACAGCATCACAGCCTCCTTATTCCATTGTGCCACACCAGTATGACTGTTTTCTATCTGAAAAATAATATTCTAACTGTTCTGATCGATCAGAGAAACTTGTTACTTGGAGAAGAGAGTGTAGATCTTCTATTTTATTGTATTTCTTTTGCGTTAATTCAGCCTTCTGACCGCTGATGCGAGTGGAAGGCAGCTCCAGCCAAAGGATGAAAACGACAAAGAAAAATAAGCCCAGATTTTGAGGTAATGCATCTCCACTTCCACATGCGTAAAGAAGATGACTCATAACAACTGACTCATATATTTTAGGCTCCAAATTAATATATAAGCCCTGCAGGTTGTTGTCGAACAAAACGCAGATGCATGTATTTGGACATTACCTATGGACTATCCATACGTGGATTTGTTTTGTACATTTCCAAGATAAACCTCCAAAGGTCTAATCTCACATGAGGGACGTACGGATTTCTTTTTATATGGTAGATTATAGATTCAGGATCAGGCCCCCGTTAGAGCAACAACATCGGGTTGACGCGAGGGAAGCATCACTTTGACTGGATTACTGTAGATCCTGATAACTGGAGGCATCCAGAGTTGAAAGTTGAAGAGGTCACTGGGAGGTCAGCATGCCGAATCCCTCCGTTACACATTTCTACCGATGTTAGTCCTTTCCCACGGAAAGACTCTTAATTCAGCCTGTTTGTATTAATTTCGGCATTACTGATGTTCTCTGATTAATAATTTATAGTGAGTTCCTGTGATGGTGACCACATTACCAGCTTGTGTTGAGATAAATGGCAGCTGGACATGCTCTAAAATAGCCTGGTGGACATTACAGTATCTTTAGAATGATCTTTATCCAAGGGTATAACGAAACACAATGACTATTAGATAATATAATAAATAGGCTACTACATCAAAATACTGTAAAGTACTATAGCCGGTAGGGAATTTTGCGCGTAAATGCGCGCTTTTACGCACGAGAATATCTCGATTGTTGTACACCTGCATGTGTCCACGTTTTGTTTCCAGAGAAGCGTTCATAATTGCAGGTCTTACCGTGTTCAAATATCCGAATCCCCGGTGATAGAGCTCCGGTTACCACGGCTCGGTGCACAGCCCTTTCCTGCAAAGCGCGACAAGCGGGTGCTGCAGTGAGCGCGCTGCCACTGGGAATGACAGGCTCTGTACCCTCTGTATGTCAGTGTGTGTGTGTCCGTGTGTTTGTCAGTGTGCCAGTGTGTTTCCTTGTATGTGTATTTGTGTGCCAGTGTGTGTTTGTGTGCACATCCATGCTCAGTTACTCTGATGCTCCACCAATAAAACCGTCAATTTATACGCTCATTTTTGCGCGTCAGCCACAGATCTTAAAAAGTATAAAATTTAAACAGATCAGCTTATAAAATAAATAAATTCTGATTTTTCTATTCATTATCAGGCAGATTGAAAGTTTATATTTGTATAAACAATGCTTTGCCAAACAATATTTTTTTTTAAAGAAAGCTTTAACAGCAACAACGTTGTACTAACTTATTTTACTAAAATCCATCAGACTGGAGTCATATTATAGGACATGGCAGCGTTTTGCTGCGACTTTACAAGCATTTCTCTGAGAAAAGGTTTATTACACTGTCCTATATTATACCATACATTATATTTATTTACAGTCTTTTTATTTATTTATTTTTTACATCTACTTTCATACTTTTATCGTCTACAGGTCAATTCTTTTACTTCTCATCCAAATAAAAATAATTAAACATGGCGATTCAAAATGCAAATTCAACTATTTTTTATATGAGGAAAAGCTACTTTACATTTCTAAAAACTTTAATTTGACGAATTATATAAGAAGCTTGTAAAATAAAAGCCCAGGTAAAGTAAGCAGGACAAATGGTTTGATGTTACAACATTCAGTTTAATTTCCGAGAATGAACTTCTTATTGTTCTGAGTTGAATGCGTTCAAATGTTGAGCCATATTACCGATTAGACTTTATGTTTTTTCCTCTAAAACAAACAAAACACACAGATTCTCTCTGACCAGCGTGATGGCACAGAGTGTTCTAGTTATTGGATCATCTTTATAAACACGTAATAATAATAATAATAATAAAACTTTCTGATAACTTTATATGTAAATAAAAAATGTTTTACGGAAAAGGACCCTAGAAGTGAGTCATGCTGCTTCACCACATACAGAACAAAGAAGTCTCTGCTCTCCGGTGAATACTCACTTTTTTTACTGAGCTTTTAAACACCAACAAAACGTGGAAGGTTCCGTTAATATTTGTGTTCATATCATTTTGAGAATCAGAGGTGTTTTATGTGTTCCTAAAACATATATATTGTCTCGTTATATAACATTTTCCAAGAAAGTTTTCTAAAACTTCCCCACAAATACACAATCGAAAGTCAGTGTAAATATAATCCAACAAACAGCTGAACGTTTCTCTTCTTCTTTGTCGCCTAAATAATAAAAATATGAATGAAAAACGCAAAAATGATTTGACAGATTTTTGTGGCCATGAAGGCTGTAAAACTTTATGATGAATATTTGTTGCCTTTTTCATCATTTGCCCAAATGGCATTTTTGGAGAAATTCTGCTTGATAATAGCTTAACGAAAAGAGCTAATTATGACTGGTTTTATTGTTATTATTATTATTTCCACCTTCAGAGAGGAGTCTCCTGGAACACACGTAGTAATAAACGGTGTTAATAAATAATACAAATATTCATTAATAATTTAAATATTCTATATAAAATGTTTAAATCATTTTTGTTGTGTATGATAAACTTAATATAAATGTTTTATTGCATTCATATTGATTCTCATTAAATTATATGAAAATTAACTCTGTAATTTTTAAAATAGTTTCTTCTATGGCCTTCTAAAATTGGGCTTGAGGCCAACACACACTATGAAGTTATTAACACACTGTGTTCATGAAGGTTGGTAGTTGAATATATATTTTGTTGTGAAATAGCATCATCTTTATTATGGAAATCTTTCGATTTTGAGTAATTAATTTAATTTTCAAGCTGCTTGCTGCTTTTTTGGAATATAACTCTTCATTATTTGGTCTCGTCCTGCTTGGCCTAAGCAGAAGAAAACGGTTTCAATAATACCTGAAATGAGGTGGTGGTGGCGGCTGGAAGGCTCATTATTGTCCCATCCTGGCTTCAGCTGACTGGATCCTCTGTTCTCTGTCTGGAGGAAGTGGTGAAGGGGTCCCAGACCTCCTGCACTCAGCAGGTCTGTCTCACACACCTCCAGCTCGGCCAGAGCGAGTGTGTGCATGTGTGTGTGTGTGGCATTAGAGGGCAAGGTCAACCCATTTCTCTGCAAACAATCACATCACACAGGGCAAAATACATTCCAACCCCCCCGCCTCCAGTTTGTAAGGTGGTCTGATGTGGGAACAGCGGACGGTGGGGGTTTGGCAGCGGTCCAGACGGGGGCCTCCGAGTCCAGATGAAGGAAAACCTGGTCCACATTAATATGACTTCATATTAAACATGCTAGAAAGAGTCAGCTTTCTGCACAGGCCCAGTTCAACGCTGCGCTCTTCTATAATCTCAGTGATAATCTGACTCGTTGTAAATGGGCCTTCAGATCAGATCACTTAGTGGTTTAGTGGTAAGTAATATCACACGCACTGAGGTCTTTTCTTTTCCCTCTAAAAACCCAAGACAAAAAAAATCAACACATCACTGCTCATTAATTCTGTCAGTTTAATCTGAATTATCACTATGAACTTGAGAAACTCCTGTGACTTGAAATCATAATTTGTTTTATAGAAATATCCTTTGAAATATTTAAAACACTGATTGCATCAATTTAATTGTATCAGCTCATTAACATGAAGGCAAACTCTTCAGGCACTTTGGAAAACTCTTTATAGCTCCAGTCACAGAGGTTTTCTGACATTTTAAGGGTTCACCTTCATGGATCTTCATGCTTCACAAACATTGTCGACTCTTGGATTAAACTCAGCAGCTGGAACAACTGACACAATTATTCTTTTTAGACAAATGAAAAAATTGCATAACGACTAACCATGAATGGTTTGTTTTAATGACTGGGTCTAAAATAGTCAGCAGTGTTTGATCTGTCACTGATTCTACATTTATTATCTGATGACTTTATGTTTTGATTTGACATCCCTATTTCATTACAGGGCTTTTATTTTGAAGATGAGTGATGTCAGTGTCAACAACAAAATATTGACTGTTTGAATTGTTTGGCTCATTGTTGTCATATTTAATCATGTGATTGTTACTGAATGTTCATTGTAGCTTCTGGTGAAACTTTTACTGGGATTTGAAGTGAGTGTCTGCAAGTGAGAAAGATGCTTCATGAGCTCACTTCCCCTCCAACTGCCTGCATTCATTGTTTTGACACACAGCACAAAGTGTGGTGACTCAAGTCATGTGTCTGGCAGCTCCCTCTAGTGGATTTTCTCTGCAAACAGAGGAACAACAATATGCAGCAAAGACATTAATGTGACTAAAGACAAAAAAGGAAAAGCACTCAAAGCTCAACTTGTTCCTCTTCATCATGAACACGTCTCTTATGCCAGCGTACAAGCAACAGAATGCGTCCTTTACAAAGTACTGGAAGCGATGACTATGATTTGTGCCATTTAAAAGAAGCAGAGTGTAACATCATCAGAAGAAGGCAGAGACACACACACAGTAATCTGGTGCAGATTCACTGATGTGGTAACATTAACATTTGGGCGAGCCGTGTGTCTGTCTGCCCTCAGAGCTGCCTGTCACTCACAGGCGTCAGACTGAAGTGCTGCGTGACCTTTACATTATGTTTGCGCAGACAGGAACAAGAAATTCAACCTCGAAGGCTTCTAGTGTGACGTCCTATTTCCAGACATTCATCTCTCTGTTTCTCAGCCTTAAAAATGCAAACTCTAGAAACCAGGAACTCACCAGAAGACCGGACTGTACGGATTTTACGTCTTAGCTCGATGCTTGTTCATTTGGTTTAAGCTCAGTCTTCATCAGCCTCATTTGATTTTTTCTTTCCCCAGCCTCCCCAAACTTTCATCACTGTCATCATCATCTCCACATGTTTCTGCTTGGGTTTCCCTCCGTACCTAGAGGAGCTCTGTCTTTAACAGACTGAAAACTCATTTCAACACAGCTGACATTTCACAAGCACTGAGGGCCTTTTTACCTACTGCCACAGTTTAAACTGTTCAGTGGAGACATTTTACTCTCACCAGTCCTGCAGCCACGCAGCTGCACTGGGAGGCAGAGGGAGACGTGGACGGAGGTCAGGACAGAGTTTTAGGCATTTTACCTAATGGACTTTGCACTAGATGTGTGAAACACTTCACTTAACAGAGCCTCCAGCCACTCGATGTGCATGTGTAAGCTTGTGTTTGTGACTTTACGCCGTGCGTGTGCTGAAGGTGACAGTGTTAAAGGGCAAATCTGTTCACCCTGACCCTTTGCATGTCTGGCAGGTTTTTTTTTTCTTTTTGCCCTTTAGAGAGAAAACACATAAAAGTTTAAAGTCCTATTGACATCACTTCTATCAAAACGTAGTTCATAAAACTCTTTCAGGTTCTTTTGTGTGGACTTTAACACAAGAAATCAATCCTAACTTGATCAAAAATGCTCAAACAAGACAATAAAAAGCATCATTTAATGTACAAGGAAGTACTTTAACATAATACGCAGGCAGATAAGTGCACACAGCTTCAGAAAACGCAAACAGGAATGAACACGGTACCACATCAATGAAGCCTTGAGGTGAACCTAAGAGGAGCTAAAACTACTGGTGTAACAACTCAAAAGTACGCGAGACATCGATACAAAAGAACCTGTAGTATCTTCGGCAAGAGCTATGACCAAAACATGAAAAAAAACGCAAATAAAAACAAGAAATGCAAAGTGCAGAATTACAGTTCAATTACAAAAAGTAGTGGCAAGTCTTTCCACATAATGCTGCAATAACAAAAATATCACATTTACCAAGTGACGAGCTGAACTTTGAGACTGGAATGACATATTACAACAAGTACCATGAAAACACTGCAGTATCGTTATGGTACCTGTTAAAACCCAACAGAGGAGTCACAGTTTCCTGACAATTGATCTTTAAGCAAAAGGATAAAAGGTCCTTTTCAAAGCATAGCGCAAACAAGGTGTTAGGAATAAAATGCTTGTTTAATTATTATTATTAACCTAAATCTGACGTGTGGCTTTTCACATAATGTGTGTATGAGAAAAAAAAGAAGGAAAAACACTGCTGCTCCCAACGGAAACTAATGCTGTCCAGTATATTTAAATGCATGTGGTGAAAATAAGCTTTGTGTAAAAAAAATATGGATACCAATGTGTTAAAATGCCATTAAATACTTTGTGAATACTTCTAGCCCAAAGGGTGAAAACAAAAATCCTGGGGAGTCCGGTGGCAGCCGAGTGCAACAAATCAAAAGCATGTGCCATAATTTTTAGGTCTGCAAGAACAATTAACAAGATTATTCAAGTTTTCAGAGGAAGTTGGACTAAAAATATCTCCATCATACCTTTTCACAGTCCTGTGAACCACTAACACTGCGCCTTCCTTCAGCTGGGTGCGTCCTTCTTCTGCAAAGCAGCTGCACCACCAGCAGGGGGCCCCAATCTCATGTCATGGCATTGAGGCAGACGGTCACAGTGTCACTTCATTAGCAGGGAACACAACTGCCAGTCACATTCATTTTAAAACAGGTACCAACACTTTAGTCCACGCAGGAGTCTGGGCAGACCTCTGAACTAGACGTCTGTGGTGCGGATGCTGTCGTCGTCCAGGCTAAAGGGGAAGCTGCAGCTGGTGTGAGCCTGAGGCTGCGAGCGATGCCTCCGACGCCCGCTGGCCGCATCTGCCGACGCTGTGAGGATCAGGGAGTTGGATGAGGAGGAGGCGGATGAGGAGGAGGAGGACAGAGAAGACAGAGTGCGCACGGAGCTGAACGCGCTGTCTCCGTCCTCTGTATCCATGATGGAGGCCTCGCACTGAGGGACGGGCGTCCAGGGCTGCCAGCCCGGTGCCACGGAGCAGGACTTGACCAGTGCAGGTCTGCGCTCATCACTCTGCTGACCGCGAGACGCAGAGGAGGCGTGACTCCGGTAGAGAGAAGATGAACGTTTGAATAAGAAGCCCTGCTATTAGAGAAACAAACAGCACAGTTATAAATCATTAACAAGAGTTTTCCAGTGTTCTTCCAACATATAGCCAGAAAAAAAGAGTAATTATTTGTTTGAAGGAATCTTTCCCCAGAAGGAAGACTTGGATAAGACAAAGTTACCTTCGAGGGACCTCTGAAATCCTGGATCTTCATCTCAATGTCCCTGATCCAATCATGCATCTCCTCTGGAGAGTCCGTCTGTAGAGTAAAGTTAGCAGAAGATGAAGACTCACAGAGCAGCATGTCTGCCTTTATTGTCCCACCAGCAGTTGCACCTGTTCTATAACACCTGCTGATCTTATTTTAAAGGATATTTAATATTTATAGTATATATAAACTTAGTTTGGCTGTCGTTTTTCCCCTCTATTTCATAGACACAGGGAATTTGTGGAAGGAGAGCAGAGGACTGACATGCAGAGGATGGTTCCTGTTCAGGAACACTTGCTGCTCAGGGCGTTTACTCTCATGTGATATTTACCCAAACCATATGTGTTAGGAGCACAAGTTTACATACACTTGTAAAGACCATCTATATCATGACAGTCTTCAGTTTCCAAGGACTCCTTTAACTCTTCATTTTCTGTTGTGATGGCCCCCTACTATATTGGTGGAACACATTAGTTTTCTGGACTGTGCTTTGCTGCCTCAGGTCCCTGGACCGCTGGAGTGGGCGGTCTTAACTACGTGGCGCGCTTGGGCAGCGCTCCCAGGCTACAAAAGGGCCAACCCCTTAGCTTGTTCTCTCTCTCCTCCTCATGCCCGTGAATTGTGGTTTGTGTTATTTTGGTTTGGTTCTCACATCCGACAACACCTTGCACCACATCACACCCAGGCATCCAGACATCTGCACCTACACGACTGATATCACTGACATACACATCTCACTTTAAATAAATTAATTTAACCAATTAATAAAACTTTACGTTAAAATATGACAACACCTGTGTCGTCTCCCCTCTTTTGCCACAACCTATTTGCTGGGTTGTGACAAAGTGGGGGCTCGTCCAATTTTGATTGTGGCACTCAGATTGGATTGTGAACATGAGGGAAATTTGTTTGGCGCGCTGCACGCTCTTTGTTTCAGGGGTTTACTCAGTGGTGCATGCTGCTGTTCATTTCATGTGCAACTGAGTGGGGAGAAGACACAGTGGTTGATTTGATGTAAGTAGGCTGGTATTTGGAATGACTGTAATGTGTGTCTTTCATTCATTTTGGTTCTTTTATAGATTTATTGCAGGTCAATATTTTCTCAGAGGTCAAGGAGCCAAACTCAAGACTTCCATGACATACATGGTGGATGTACATTTTCATTTATGATCATGTGTATAGTTTACTGAAAAGACTAAATATATATATATATATCTTTTGATAACAAGTTTTGACCAAGCCCCAAGTAGCACTGGTGGTGCTTGATCATAACAAAAGTAATGATTGTTGCCTTTAGCTAGAGTCTGACATCAGTGTTTATGTTGGCCATAGATAAAAACAACTACCTATGGATCTACCTACATATATTGCCCCAATCTGCCCACCCATTAATATTAGTCAACTAATCAATTAGTTGATTGAAAGAATTAATCGGTGTCTGTTTTGGCAATTGATTAATCATATAGAGAATTGCACTGAACCTCAATCAAGGGTTCCAGGGTTTCAAATCATTTGCTGCTGTATTCAGAGTGGACAATAGTTGAACATTATTAAATAATGAAAATAATCATTGTAGTAACTGTATTTTATAGAACTGTTTGTCTTTATGTTTCAAAATGAAGATGAGCTCAAACGTCAGCTAGACAACCTTTTACATTCAGGGTCTTTTTTTGCCATTTTTGCCGCATATCTCAGACAAATTTGATTTAAGTTAGAGATAACATTTAATTTTGGTAATGATTTGAGTTATTCAGTTGTTGTTTATTTCAGTTTACTAATGTTTGTCACACTTCCTTTTTTCCCCCTGCACAGACAAACATAAAAGCGCTGGTGTTTGAGGCCCTCTCTGGCTCTGTGTCTCCCAGTACTTCCTATCTGATCTGAGCCTCAGTCAGCTGTTCTCCCAGGGGGGAGGAACAGGATATTATTGTTGTTATGGTTACAGATGGCTGTGCCCATTTCACAAAAACAAACTTTTCATGGTCCTAAAAAAAGAGCCTGTGCCACACATCAGCAGCAGAGCATTCAGAGGAAACATTTCAAAACATCAGGACCAGCGCACCTGGAAATACAGACCTCTGTTCTTACTCAAGTGTCTAAAAATACAACAAGGGGCATCCTTCTGCCTGAGATACTGTAAAATAAACAAAGTACAGGAGAAAGAAATCTTACCTGAATGTAGAAAGTTCTGGAGCTGGTGATGATCTCAAACAGGTTGTCTCTCAGCAGGAGGTCCCTGACAGACACAGAAATGGGAAAAAGATCTCAGATTAACCTACAGTGGCTATAGGAAGAGGCAGAAAGTAGAAGTCATTTTGTATTGTTTCTGTGTTCCTCATATATAGGAGATAGATCATATTTTAACCATGTACCAAAAATTAATAAAATAAAGTACTATTTGTAACTGAAGCTCACCTTTAAGTTTAAACGAGGAAACTGTTAATGAGAATCAATAGTGGGGACGAGGGTCTTAACCCTTTATAGGGCACTCCTTGAAATACTTGGAAAATTACAATTTCAACCCTGTTATTGAAGGATATTTCAAGATATTTTTACTTTTGTGGCTTCAAAAAAAAAAAAAGTTGCAAATCAAGATGAATAAAGTTACCATAGATGGTAACTTGGCCGTCTACGGTTTAAAAAAAGTGAATTTCTAATAAATAAAAGAAACAAAATGCAAAAAACCCCATTTATTTAGAAACATTTTAGTTTGAGGTAATGACACACAACCAGTATAACATTTATAAAGCACTTGGCAAGTTCATTTAGTGACATTTTTCTTGGGGTAGTGGTTTTAGCACTAATCTGAAAAAAAGTAAATCAAAGTGGAGTTCAAGGCAAACCAGTAACACAGCGTTTATAAAGTGCCTGGAGCATTTGTTTAGTGATATTTTTCGAAAGGTAGTGATGTTGATACGAATATAAAAAACTAAATCAAAGTGCACATGGTTCTTCAAACTCAAGGAGAGGCACAGGGTGGGCGTATTGAATGTCCAAGGAAGTTACCAAATATGATCACTTGCCCCATAAATGGTTAATAGTGAGAAAACATAGGGTCGTGGTGTGGGATTTCTTAAAAAAAAGAAAGTTGGGTTGAAGTTTCTATGATGAAAATGACAAAACTAAAAAATAGTTTTATTTAATATAACTTTATTTATCCAGCACCTTTAACGTGGCTCATATGGGGATCAACGTTACTACTATGTAAGTCATCAGTAAAGTCATAACGACTCCATATTGTACACATTTAGGGTTTTTTTTAGGGTATACCTTATATGTTATGGTGCTTGAATGTTAAAAAAAAAACACATTTTCTGATGCTGTACATTGCTCCAGCACCTCTTTGAACGCTCTGTTGTAGTCCCTGTCTCTTTAAGACCCCTCCTCCCAAAAAGCCAAGTCTGCTCTGATTGGTCAGCTAGCTAATGAAGTGATCCAATTCTGCTTATTTACCGTAACCCCAGATCTCTAAACGCAGGGATACAGCGTAGCAGGACTGGCCAAAGTGATGACATAATAGCAGACTGCGAGGAAACTGTTCATTCTTTGTTGGGTGTTCCGAACTAACCGCGAGGCTGCAATTATGCAAATGTGTGGCATGATGACATAGATAAGTAACAGAGGAAAAGCATGCACTTCAAACGAGTTGTTTCAGGCTGCTAAGAAACACAGGTTAAAAAAAAAAAAAACTGTGGGTGAGAATAACTCCCTTTGAGGTGGACTTTGGGCTTTGTATGTTTGCAGACCTTTTACGTGCATAAAAAAGCCATAACACACTGAAGGAAGGGAAAACCTCATAAAGCATAGATTAACTCTAAAATGAGCAGGGAGCCAGTAGAGAGAAGCCAGGATTCAGATGATGTGATGTCTTCTGCTGAAACCAGACCAGAAGCCAAGCCAGAGGCAAGAGAGTGACTTTTGGTAGAAGCCAGAAAGGAGGGAGATAGAGTAGTCGTGCATGAATCACATTTTCCAGGTCAGAGTTTGAGAGCACTAGTTTAATAATGGAGCTGGTGCAAACAGCAAGGGAAGCTCTAAACAGTAAGACCATTAGTTTGTAATGTCTGCAAAAAATTTAAGTAAAGTATTAAGAAAAAATCTGATATTGCATGTGTTTTTAAGATAGTCCCTGACTTCAGTTGGTCACTTTCCCTCTACTGTCAAGTCACGCACTGTGCTTCAATATGAGGAGTTAATTTGCAAAAACAGATAATTCCATTTTTGTAGATTTTCAGAAAACTTTTGTTGTTGTTTTTGTTTGTTTTAGTAAATTTCAATCAAAGTGAAGTTGAGTGGATGTGACGCAGTGGAAATGATGTGACAAAATTAGAGATAAGGTAGATTGAGACGATAGAAAAGTGGGTTTTCTGAAGGTTTGTGAAGATGGAGTTATCTGAACTCTTCATATCTAATCATGAGGGGAAGCTCGCACCTGCACAACATGAGAGAAGCTTCAACCTGCACAACATGAGAGAAGCTTCAACCTGCACTAAACAACAAATCTGGTGAAAGCTGATGAAACACTACGGAGGATACACTTGTTTATGTTCATCCATACTAGATAGATGGGAGAAAAAGCAAAATGGTGGGAGAATCTGATTCAAAGTTGACTCACCCGGACTTGACGAGACATTCATGGACCTTCTGAATGTCCCTCAGTGGAACAGCTCGAAGAGGCTCCTTGTCCTGGGAGACATGCAGACACGAGGAGACAAAGACCACAGTGAGTCGTAAGGATCAGCGGGAGACAGCAAAACAAAAACAAAAACAAAAAGTCTGGCTCATACACTCTCGGACTTGTAGTAGCTGACGGCGTTGTCATCCAGGACGAAAAACCGCCTCTTCCAGCTCTTTCTCTGAAACGCACACCACAGAACAGTTTCCACACGCGCTGTTTTTAGTCAGGCACACAGTTAATCGGTTTTAGGTTGCTGCACACTCACCACATTTCCTTGTTTAACACAGTAACCACATCTCAGCACGCCCGGCCTGTTGCCCTTCCTCTCTCTCCCTTCGGTGTCTTCACTCTCATTCTGAAACGTTTCATCACAACCGCCTTCACTATCATGGTCACAGTGACCACCGGCATCAGATATCTCAGCCTACACACGCTTGTGAACGCAAATGGAAGATAGTGCTATTTTTGTTTTTTAAATAAAGGGTTCAACCAGATTTTCAAAGTCCTGGCCTCATGAGAATCTCTGTTGGCAGTGTTATGATAGTAACCGGGTTAGTTTTAGCTTTGTTTACCTGGATGGGAGTGTGCACCACCACACCGCCAATGATCTCGGTCTTGTAGGCCTGTTGTCTCTTCCCTTTCTGAGTGTCACGGATCACTGCGGTCACATCAGACCTCAGAGGTGCAGGGCAGGACTTAGGAACCTGTGAACCGATGGGATAATATTAACAAAACAGACTTAAGCAAGTGGAGAGGAGCAAGTCGTTTAATTTCATCTGGGGCTCTTGATTAAAGCCTGACTGACACACTGTAAATAATCTGGGATTTGCCAAGATTTAAAATCTTATTTTTAGACACAGTCGATAATTTTGCTTGTTTTAAAAGTTAGCTACTCATTTTACAGTACAATCTTAACTTAAGCATTAAAAATCTTATTTCAAGATTTCTTATCCAGTAAAATTGACTTGATGCATGGGCAGATAGTTTTACTAGTTTTAAGTCATTTTCTTCTTAAATTTAGTGTTTATGTCTTATATTTGGGCTACCCTTTTTTGCAGTGCAGTATCAGGTGACTGATATTATTGGACCGTATTTGCCTGTCACAGATATACTGGTATTGGCATATACGTTGCCTGATGCTAAAACTATATTTTATAGATGTTACAGAATAAGATGCTTGGTGTAATTAAGGAACTGTCTCATCATAGAGTTTGTCCAGCAGCAGAGCAGCTCGACTCCATTCTTTACAATGCTCACATCACTGTCTGCAGCACATGTAGTCGAGTGGTGCGGAGTCATTTTTGCAAAATGCTCGGCTGGAAAGTTAATAAACAATGACCTCATGAACCTTTTAAATATAAAACCACTATAAAATCAATATTAAACAATGTTGGTTGATATATCAACATCATAATTTCCTGCACTATACAGTTGGTATCGGCCCCAAAAATCCAGTATCGGTCAGGTTCTGCTCTGGATGTTTTTTTATTGAAACATCCTGCTTGTGTGGTTCTGTGTGTTCTAATGCACAATACAGTGAAAAGCTGTAAAGTGCTTTGTTATGAAAGCTGTACTTGTTTCCATTAGAAACTTAACAAATATTTTTAAAATGCATTGTATATGTAGTATGTGGTGGATATTTGTATCTTTTGGAAGGCAAAAAAAGAAAAAAGAAGACATACAATGCTGCAGTGTTGCATTACACATTCAGCTGCAACATTAAAACCAGTGAGAGGTGAAGTGAACAACACCGATCATCTTGAGATAATGCAATGTAAGGCAACAAGACAGCAGCAGCAGCCTCCTCCAGAAGGACAATGCACCCCAACATATTGCAAAAATTGCTCAAGCATTGGCTCGAGGAACATGACCAAGAGCCTGAAGCGATGGTCGGATGTGAAGTCTAGTCAGGAGGTCGACAGGACACAAAGGATTCAGACATGTTTTGTCTGCACAAGCGTGACTGACACAATATTATGATGGTGGTTTTAATGTTGTGGCTGTTATTTAGCCGACCATTGTTGGTAGACATGGAGACCAAATTGTTTAAACAGATAATGCACAACAGTTCAGCAGCAGCCTCCAAACTGATCATATGGTGGGGTCATCATCAGAACAGCTTTAACAAAAACTGTACAACCTTCATAAAAGTCGGATTTACTGCAGGATTATAACAAATTCTACTATTTGAAGCAACGTGTACCGAAACAGTGGCAACCGAGTGTTGACTAAATATTCAAAGTATAACTGGGTTCTGCCAACTAAATGCTAAAAATACAACCTCATCCACCTTAATGTGGCTGAGGAAGAAAAATAATCTGATCATTTGAAGGATCCATTTTAAATCATTTTAAGTTTTCCTTAGTTAGCATTTTACTTTTCTGTGTTTTCACACGTTTCATCGAGGCCAAGGAAGTTCAGAGAGCGCGGCAGAGCAGCCCTTCCCTTGATGGGGAAGTGAAAGAGAGCGTGAGCAGCGCTGCTTCCTGTGTCAGTGTGCAGGTGAAAGAGACAGAGTGTTACTGTGTCTCTTTCACCTGCCGTCATCACACATCTGGACGTCAGCGGTCAACAAAGCCTCTGTCATTGCTCAGACTGCACATACAGATATTATGCAAATGTTCCCACTGAATGTTGACACCTTCACCACAGTGATGTGTGCGTCTGCTATCACTCATCTTCTTGCACATTCACAATTTCCTCATTCACAAAGTGTGCGAGAGGGTATTTGTGGGCAATGTTCTGGCATCAGTGTACGCCTGGGCCGGACTGGTTTCAGTCTTTCCACCGCAAATTGCAGCTTCCTGCACTCAGGTGGAAACAAATCCCCCATCAATAACCGCTAGTTTAGGCGTTATCTCCCTGCTCATTAGACAAACACATGTTGATATAACATCAAGTATGTGTGCAGGCATGTGGGTTGCACTCACAGTGATCTTGCTGGCCCTGTTGAGAGCAGCCACCCAGTCCTTCATGTCAGTCACATCGTTGGCTTGGAGGAAGTACCGCCGTGATACTGCATTAATGACTGCAGAAATAGACATCGGCATCATGATTATCCACAGTAACCACATTATACCATTCTATCACATGTGTGAATACAGTCATTGTGACTGCATGTTACTGCATCAGCATGACTGTGTTTCCCTGGAAAACTCACCAAAGCAGAACTCTGTCTTGGGCTTTTGCTTCCCTGTAGCTTCACTCACCTGAGAGGAGGTGAGAAGAGAAGAGAAGAGAAGAGAAGAGAAGAGAAGAGAAGAGAAGAGAAGAGAAGAGAAGAGAAGAGAAGAAGATTCATATGTTTCACGTCCAGGGAGGAGCTGTCAGCGCTACGGTGCAATGAAGCCAGATGTCATTATCTTTGGTTAGCTCAGCGAGCGACATCTGGAAAACTTCACAACGTCTGCTCCAGCTCTGCGGCTGCATGTGACCATTAACTATAACAACAGATAACTCTGAGATCTTGTGTATCTGGAAACTCTTGAATGAATCTGCATGTTATTCGTGTGCATTCTGTGAATTCCTGTGTCCACACAGCTCGAACGTCTAGGCTTGTTCAGTTCAAGGGACTTTATGTAACTACAGCGCACAGCCGAGGGAAATGACAGGCAGACGAGAGAGTGGTTTACCTTAGAGATGTAAGTTAATCTCAGGCTGCCGACAAAACTGGCTCCACTGGGCAGATTCTGCATGCAAACACAAACACACGGACTCGTCATTGGCTCAGAGTCCAAGGTTACATTTCCTCTTGCTGTTTGTGCAAGTGTGTGTCATGCATGTATGAACCTGAGGGTTGTCCATATACCACAGCAGAGCATTTCCCTGCGTGTCGAGGATGAAATATCGTCTCTGGAAACGGCAGCTGTTCTCCTTCTCTTCGATATCTAGGAAGCCGCACACACGGTTCAGCCGATCCACGTACGGCATGCTGTCGCTATCACATATCACTGAGCGAGAGAGACACAAGCGAGGTGGACAATGAGAGGCGAAATATGGAGGGAGCAACAGAAGCAGGCAGACTAATAGGACAAAAAGGCAAAGACAGGCAGATGTGGAGGATAAACCATCTTTCATTTAGTGTTCAAATACACACACACACACACACACAGAGGAAGAAAGAGACCCACTCGCACTCAGCAGTTTTTCATGTGACGTGATTGAGGCTGAGCAGCAAACCCTGAAGCCTGAGGCTGAGCTGAGGCCCTCCACCACAGCCAAAAATTACAGACTGCACTCAAGATCTGCACACACGCACATTTCCACTGGCCAGAGAAGAGAGAGGAGAGGGAGGAGAGGGAGGGAGACGGAGAGGAGAGAAAGGGGGGACAGAGCTGCTGAGATGTGTTCATTATAATGATGCCATGAATGTGAGTCACCGAGCTGCTGGCTGATTCCTCAACACAATCAAGACCTATTGGGCTCAGACATGCTGATGATATTTCAGTACTTTTGGCTTTCCAATGGGATTGAATTAATTGGCACCTCACAGTAAATTAAAAGTTGTTTTTAATTTTAGGAGGGGTTTCTGGCTCCATTTAAGTTGCAGGGGGAAGCTGTCAGTTGGAATGTTGTTTCTTTTGCATCTGAGCAGAAGAGACGTGAAGTGATCACAATGACAAATGTTGGATGCACAAAATACCAAACAAAAATTAAAAAATCAAATCTAAATCAGATCTAGTGCACATTTTCCACTTCACAAGCCTTTACTTTTCCAGATATCTGAATTTATGAACGGACCTGAACGCAATATGGCCACAAAGGTAATGTGGTGGCTAACTAGGCCACATCTGTGACTGATTTTTTTTCTCTCTCTTTTTTTTTTTTTACATAAGAAGAAAAATTATAACGTGACTGTCACATAAAATATATAATCAGGACTGGTTGGCTGCCCCCTTCTGCCAATACTTTTACAGCACTGTCTTGGCTTTCAGAAGATGGAAATTATCAACATTTCCATGAAAGCTTTCGCACACGTCACCAAACAGAGCACAACACAAACACGAGAGAATGCCAGGCTGCATCTTCACCGTGCTGGTGCGACTCCTGTGGAAATATTTTGAAGTCGAAACTTCGTTTTGAAACTGCTTTGAAAAATTTGTGGCTTGAGCTGGTGATGCATGTTTTCTTCTGCCATTGAAATAGGTCAAAGTTACAGAAGAGTTCTGCAGAAACTCCGGGTGCAATGGAAAAGTGCAAATGATGCCGCAGAGGTCACACAGATACCAACAGTGAGACTGGCACACTCCACACACACACACACACACACACACACACAAACCAGAAAACATCTGGTTTAACCATTACAGGGAGAAACAGCGGTGAGGTTGTGGCATCTTCAGCTAAACTTTACCAATAAATATAATTTAGACTGTTTAGCACAGTTTCCAAGAACACAGGCTTTGAAATGTTTCAGAATCACACCCAGACAGCAATTAACGTCGACAGAGTTTGCGTGTATGAGGGCAGAACATGATGTATAGATTGCAGCGGCGATATCAGAGGTGAAGTCTGTAACCACATCCAGGGTAACGAAGTGAAACCCACCTACAGCGCACAACTGCTTTACTTGTGGACAAGGTCGACCTCTTTACAGATTAACAGAAACTAAGAATGTTCAAGAGCAGATTCAAACTGATCTGTGGCGTGTGAGGTTTCAGATAGAAATTTGAAATCGTAACCTTCCAGCGCCTTGTGAGAGACATAACAGAAGAATGGCGGCGATATCTAAACTCTTAAACCACAGAATGAGTCAAACTCCAAACACCGCCCATCCTTCGCTTCCCTGAACACAGCTCAGCACTGTAGCATCTTTTGTTTTGCCTGGTAAATGCTTTTCTTTCTTCCCAAACTTGACAAAGTTCACTCCAGAGCACATTATATAACTGCGTCCACAGGCTGAATAGCACCGTCTGTGACAATTAAGTCGACTTTGACATGTTAAATAGGTGGATCCCTGTTAAACAGAAGCAGTTTGTATTGTCAGTCAAAAAATCCTCCCCCCCAGGCTTCTTCACACGGCCCTGGGGTCATCATGTGGTGGTTTCTGGGTAAAATCTTGACCCCAAAGTTTGAGGATTGCAGTAAGGAAGCACAAAGTTATAATAACTGAACAAAAAACGTAACATTTGGGGGATTTTGGACTGTTGGTTATACAAAAGAGGTTATACAATGTTAAGAGTTTTGGGAAGTGGTGACAGACCTTTTTCAACACCCGATGGACCTCATGTAATCTAGAGAATGACAGTTTGATTAGTTGATCCTAAAACTTAGCTGTTAACTGTAAGCAGTCTGATGGCCACGGTCATGTACAACGTGATTATGAGCATGCAATGAAAAGTTTAAAAATGTGACCAGGCAGCGTTACTCAGCAACACCTGACTGACATTACATTTGTTCAGCTCAGATGACCTGCACTGACTCACCAGATCCAACGACTCAGCGGCCTGCCACACCTACTGTACCATCCGCACACACCCGCACACACACACACACACACACACACAGGCATGCATGGGGCAACACACACACAGCCACAGTGTCCCTGTCGACTGTCTACTCACCCGCTGTGGAGACTCAGTGTGCGCCACAGCCAGCGCCCCGCAGGGCTACGAAGAGCAGAGGAGAGCGCCGACTTTGGTAAATACGCGCATGTTTTACGCAAAGTTTTTAACAACTTTTCCAAACGGCGGACATCTACAAAACCGGCGTGCATGAGACTGTCGCACTCTCGCCTGTTTGTTTGTGCGCTCGGATTACAGAAGTCTTCTCTTTTTTTCCGGGTTGGACGTTTCGTTATTAGAATAAACCAGCCCCGGATGTGATCTATGCGTCCTCCGGCCGGGTCCTCCTCCTCCTCCTCCTCCTCCTCCTCCTCCTCTGCTGCTGCTGCTGCTCAGCTCTCAGATGAGGAAGCTGAGTTCAACAGGCTCGTCTGTCCTTCTTTAACCTCCATTTGTATAATTACAACAGCCTGAGCGATGCAACTTTGGCCTCTTGCTTACTTCTTTCCCCCCTTGACAGACACCAGGCGTGTTTTTATTGAAGCTTTTCCAAAAAAATAAAAAAGAAAAGAAAAGAAAAAAAAAAATAGAAGTAAATGCTGCGTTTCTCTGTCTGCAACCGCATGCGATACGTTATCTCTAGTTTTCTCAGGTGGCAACTTGAGAACTGGGTCAAACACACAGACACACACTCAGCTGAATCAGGTGGTTTCAACAGAAGAGCTGAGCTGAAGTAGGCTTTAGATTTGCCAGTTAAAGGACAAGTTAAAGGAACTCAACTTACAGGCTGAGTGTCAGACTCTCCTTTCCCCCACATTTTAATCATGTAAAACTGTATTATGATGTCTAACACTCACTCTCAACTTTGTGATTTGTGTATTCAGCTTTGTGTGTCTGTCACAAAAGTGAGTACACCCCTCACATTCCTGCAAATATTTTTATCTTTTCATGGGACACGACTGAAGAAATGATGCTTTTCTACACTGTATAGTAGTCAGTATGCAGCTTGAGGGCCTTTATGGCCTTTAAAATAATGGATTCTAGAGCTGACCAGTCTGTATATAGTGGTCTTAAAGCGGGATCTGATCTAATGTGATCAACATGCAAAAAAAAANATCTGATCTAATGTGATCAACATGCAAAAAAAAAGCAATAAAGGGGCGCTGCTATAGCTCACCTGGTTGAGCTGGCGGCCCATGTGCAGGGCTCCAGTCCCAATGTGGAGGTCATGAATTCGAATCCTCCGCATGACCCTTTCCCACATGTCCTCCCCCCATTCTTCTCCCCTACTTTCCTGTCTCTCTCTCTCTCACTAACACTATCCAATGAAGGCACAAAGGCCAAAAAAATAACATTAAAAAAAAGCAATAAAGCATTTTCTTTGCCATTTTCTCAAACAGAATAAAGGTGTCACAAATAAGAAACTGTGTTTTACAGACAGTGTTTTGATCTGGACCTGGTGTAATGTGGTCTAGATCATGAAATAGGAATGAGTTGTCCGTTATTTGAATTCTTTACAAATAGAATACAGAGTTAACCAATCAGAAACTGTGTTATATAGATCAGTTTGGCATAATCTAGTCTAGATTTAACCAGTATGTATACAGTAGGTCACAAAAGTCACGTTTCCGCAAATATTTTATAATATCTTTTCATGGGACAACACTAAAGAAGTGACACTTTACTACAGGGGGTGTCCAATCCTGGTCTTCGAGGGCCACAATCCTGCATGTTTTAGATGTTTCCCTCTTCCAGCACACCTGATTCAAATGATCAGGATCGTTATCAGGCTTCTGCAGAGCTTGATGATGAGCTGATAATTTGAATCAGGTGTGTTGGAAGAGGGAAACATCTAAAACATGCAGGATTGTGGCCCTCGAAGACCAGGATTGGACACCCACTGCTTTACTACAATGTAAAGTAGTCAGTGTACAGCTTGTATAACAGTGTGAATTTACTGTCCCCTCAAAATAACTCAATACCCAGCCATTAATGTCTAAACCGTTGGCAACAAATGTGAGTACACCCCAAAGTGAAAATGTCCAAATTGGGCCCAATTAGCCATTTTCCCTCCCCGGTGTCATGTGACTCGTTAGTGGTACATGGTCTGAAATGTGAATGGGGAGCAGGTGAGTTAAATTTGATGTTATTGCTCTCACACTCTCTCAGAGAGTTCTTTGCCATGAGGTGCCGTGTTAAACTTCCAGTGAGCAGTAAGAGGATCTGAATAAAAGAATAGTTGCTGTACATAAAGATGACCGAGGCTATAAGAAGATTGTCAAACTGAGCAGCAGCACGGTGGCCAAGAGCATACAACGGTTTAACAGGACAGGTTCCACTCAGAACAGGCCTCGCCACGGTCTACCAAAGAAGTTGCGTGCACGTGCTTGGGGTCATATCCACAGGTTTTCTTTGGAAAACAGACGTATGAGTGCTGCTTGCATTGCTGCAGAGGTTGAAGGGGTGGGGGGGTCAGCCTGTTAGTGCTCAGATCATACGCCGCACACTGCATCAAATTGGATTACAGGAACCATGTCTTGTGGTCTGATGAGACCAACATAAACTTGTTTGGTTCAGATGGTGTCAAGCGTGTGTGGCGGAAACCTACAGTCAAACATGGGAGTGCCACAGTCTGGGGCTGCATGAGCACTGGGGAGCTACAGTTCAGCTCAGAGTTACAGTGTTGTAAGAGCTGCACACTGACTACTTTACATTGCAGCAAAGTGTCATTTCTTCAGTGGCGTCCCATAGAAAGATATAATAAAATATTTGCAGAAATGTGAGGGGTGTACTCACTTTTGTGACCTACTGTATATATACTGATTAGATCTAGACTGAATTATGCCAGAGAGGCAAACTGATCTATATAACACAGTTTCTGATTTAACTCTGTATTCTATTAGTGAAAATGCAAATAAAGGACAACTTATTCCTATTTTATGATCTAGACCACATTAGACCAGGTCCAGATCAAAACTGGTCAGCTCTGGACTAGCTTGTCCTACAGAGGGTAAAGAGTCTTTTAAAAAAAAAAAAAATCTCTGTAAACACTTTAAAATGAAAATTCTACACTCATATAGTGGTTTTCTGCACCTACCATGAGAGATGATCATTAGACAGGTGATGTGCTGAAAGCAATCGGTACTAAAAAACTAAATAAAAGTTGTGCACATAAGTGTAAAGCAGGAATTAAAAGGATGTTAAGCAGGACTGTAGCCAGGATTTTTTTTTTTTTTAACTACGGTCTGCTACATCTAAACCTTAGAAGTTTCTCACTAGCCACCAAACCAAACTCTATAAAAGTTCAGGAGCATTTTACAAAGTCAGACATTTTTAAATTGTATTCATTCATTCAGCTGTTCACTTATATTTTCTGTAAACTGCTGCTTTTAAATGTCGTTTCAGAGGCTTTTCTACACTGTCAGGCAGTGCTGGTGAAGACATGCCAACCAAACTACATCCCTTTCATTTCAGTGTGTATGTTTATGTCTGTTATAGAACATCCTCCTGAGGCCATTAAACTCTATGAATCCTGAGAAATGTCACATGACATCAGCGTTCTGGATGATAGCTACGGCCCTAAATAAATGCCCCACATTCACTTAATGTACATAAAGAGAAGCTGGCAGTTATTTTAGCTAATGTGGGAAATATTGGAGGGAATATTTTCTCCAATTACAGCTACTTGTTTTTGTCTTTGTGCAAATCAAGTCCACTTTATGCAAATATGCTGATGTAAAACAAATCCTACAAGCGTTGTGGTTGCAAATGTTGTATTTGAAACTATTACAAATGACCAACCTTGCATCTGTCTTGTCAGTGCTGATCATATTTAAAGTGCTCTGAGGTGACCTATGGTAGGATTTAGCACTATATGAATAAAATTGAATTGCATATTTAGCCGTGACACTTACTGGACTTAGCTATAATGGCATTGTGGTCTGTATAAATGAGCTTGTTGGATTCAGTTTGACCACATATGTACCAAGAGTGTCAACCATATAGCAACACCTCTAAACAAAGCACTACAGCTCACCATCACACAGAAACCTCAACACAGTCCACTACAAAGAGCTACATTTCTGGCAGGTTCAAATGTGTACCTTTATATTGTAAGTGGTTCACGGTGGTGCTTGGTTTGATTACCACATAGTTTAAATGTCAGAACAGCATCTTATTTTTTGAGTTTAAACTCAATTTCTATGAAAAAATAGCAACTTCAAGATGTGTAGAATATTTCCCTGTAACATTCAGATTGTAAACGACTTAAATACACGCTGCAGAGCCTGTCCCCTTTTGTAAAGGCTAAAATAGCAAATATCTGCATTTACAGAAGTCATTTTGTGTTTTGTTCTCTTTCTTTTAGAAAAAAAAATATGTGTCCCCCCGTTAAGAGGAAGTGGTTGCACGTCATATGACCTGCCGGAGGACGGAGACCTACCTCACTGATTTCATATCCTGTGGCGACTGCACAGGATTCAAGTCACACAGTTGCAGAAGGAAGTCTTGTAGTTTCCACAGACCCACTGTTTCTGCTAGAAATCACAGTGTCTGAATGTTTTTTTTAACTGTACGCATGTTTCAAGACAAGCTTTCACATCAAGATTAAAAACGTCAACACAAGTTTAACACAAAATGTAAAGTATCAAATGCTATACAAATAATGAGGGTGTGATTGCATCTTTATTCAGACAAGCTCGCGTGCACACAAGTGAACAAATAACACACTAAGCACCTCATTATTAGACATTTTTATACTTTTGCTTTTATGTTTTTGGGCCTACCATGGCAGCAGCACAGACAGATAATGTGGTTCTCTGGTGTGAAGCAAGCTGTGTGCTACATCTACCCACACCTACGAAAACCACACCCGAGTCCCCCCCCCGGCTGCACCCGAGCTGCGAGGAGGTGTTCGTCACTTTATACACATTTATTCACCACATACACTGTCAAGGTCACAGTTTCATAGCTTTATGTGATCTGAAACTGAAGATACTACCATAAAAAATGAAGTTACTATTCAAGTGTGAGGAGATAATAAAAAAAAACAATAAAAGAAAACGGAAGCTGCTGAAATGCAGCTCGTATTTGTGGGACGTGCTGCAGAAACCTCATTATAACACGTTTTGTTGTGATCTTAATGTCAAACCACATAAAAACTCTTTCTCTTTTTTTTTTTTTTTTTTAACTTGGATGGCTAATATAACGAATAAGAGGAGGGGATGAATCACTGGAGGGAAAGACGAGGTGGAGGAGTTTAGAGCTGACTGAAGGCCATACGCAGCAGCAGGGCTGTGATCAGCAGGACTGGGCTGGAGGCCAGAGCCCCTGCACCGCTGTGGTGGTGATCCCCGTGGCTGTGACTCCGGTGGGGCCCGTTGCAGTCATCACCGAAACAGCACTCCATCTTGGCTCCGGAGCTGCTGCCATGATGAGCCTTGTCGCAGAAGGCCTTGTACGTGCACGACTTCATCACGGTGCCTGAAAGGAAGCGAGACGGAGTGGTTCAAACTGAAGAGCGGCCACTTGGGTTAATTTGACTCTGTGAACCTGATGAACTCCCTCCCACAATCCCACTCCTCCTCTTTCCATACGGAGACGGCCTGCGGTTATCAGAAACTGCTGGGAGAACATCCAGCAAACGATGAGAGGATGCAGAGGCCGGATTTATGATCACACACAATCTCACACATTCACTGATCTGCAAAAAGTTTAAGGTACTTCCTTTTTGTTTTTAATCATCTGAAGAGTCTGATGCTACATGAGAACAACCACAAACATCCAGTCAGAGTCACAAAGAGCTATCTTCAGAAGCAACTGAGAGAGTTTTGCAATATATTCCAGACACTATTGGTTTGTGCATTAATGAATTACTGATTGGGAATGCCTTTTAAACCTCTTTTTGTCTATGGAAACAGCTTGAGCGCTATTTTAATGATTTCCTTAAACTGCAGTTGGTTGCCAGTGTTGTGCTGACCTCTAGTGAGACACCACTGTATCCATCCAAATCACTCATGTTTTCCTGGTTGCATGCATGTGTGTGTGTGTGTTTACTCACTGGGTCCTGTGATGGTGGAGCAGGCATCAGCGTACTGAGGACATGAGGTGGATCCCTGTCGGTTGCAGTCGTCGTCGTTGGACGCCACGCATGTGTGACATTTGAGCGCGTGGCCTTTGCAGACAGAACAGGAGAGAGCACCTGACTTAAGACTAAGCGTGTTTATTCACTGACGTAAGCATATGTTCCAATTAGTCCATCCTGCATCACACGGGCACACGCTCGATCGCAGGTAGATTGAGCAGTCGTGCATATATGGCTGTGAAATGTATGCACACAATGAAGATATTGCTGCTGAATAGATTTGTCCACCGTACAGGCTAAATTGATTAAGCTGGCATACACTGTACATCATTTGCACCTCTTTAAATCTGACTTTAAATCTGAAGAATAGAATCTTAATCTTAAAATTATTTCTAGGAGAGAAAAATCCTGGATTGTCCATCTCAAAGTACCTCTGTAACCTCTCATTAATCAGTCTTGTAAGCTGCAAATCAACAAAATTTTCCACCAGTGCTAAAAAAAAAAATCCTAAAATCTAGCATTTCAGAAACTTACTGTGGCAGGCCAGAGAGACGAGCAGCAGCAGCGCCAGAGCGGTCTTCATGGTAGCCGGCTGATGGGTCACCGTGTCTTCAAGAGTCCAGGGAAAGAGTGGATGAGCTGAGATGAGTCTCTGATGGAGGGAACACCGGGGGCTGAGGTGGAGAAGGAGGGGGTTTGGCTCTGGGAAGGTGTCTGAGGGCATTAAAGTCTTATCTCTGTAATCTCCATCTATGCTGCACAGCCAGCATCCTGGAGTAATGGACTTAACCGAGCGAGCTTTAACAGGGAGACGGAGTTCAGTCTTGTGAAGCTATCACAGAATTTTGAGGTCATTTGTTGGTTTAGATTCTCCAACACTGTTTTTGTAGCTGCTGATGGTTTCCGAGGTGTAGAATGTGTGTAAAATGGAAGTACTGAGCACTTTTAGCAGCAGTGAGGCTAAATCTGAGGCCATGACACACATACTGACACACACACACACACAAACACACACACAATAGCAGTTAGGAAAGTCCCCATATGAGGTGTGAATCTGTGGTGAATGTGTTCATGACCAGCTGTAAAAGCACAAGTAAAAAGAAACACAATATAGCGGAACAAATTATATTTATTCACTCAAATGTACACACATTCACGCTGCTTCGACACAAGTGTGAGATCGCCATTTCTAATTCACAAACTGACACAAATAATTAAAGAAAGTGGCTAAAGTTACAAAGCAGTATCTTATAAAACAAAGCCGAGTAACAAGAGTGAGCACGACATTAGAATGGCGCAAATATTAACTGTGGCACATCAGTGGGTTTGTGCCCATAGTGGAGGCTGTTTTTCACACATTTGAACTTTTACAATAGTGACTGACTCCACAGAACTGAGTACTGACAACGTCAAAGAACCAAACATTAGAACTAAATACTTGTATTTTTATTTACTTAAGCAAAAACTTGCCAATTTAAAAAAACAACAACATACATTTGCAGTTTTTAAACTTTGCTATATTTAGGCAAATAGTTGTTTCTGTGAAACCTTCATTTTTGTTTCAGACATGTTCAGCCTTATTTTAGTGGAAAGGAATTTTCTTCTATAGAAAAAGGCAAGAATTAAAAAGGAGATTTTTTAAAAAACATAGGAACTAATAATCATCAACAACCATACTGGCAGCATGTTCTGAAATGTTCCCACTGATAAGCATTTACTAAGTCAAAGCCACCTAAAACATGACAGCACTGTCTCGAACACAACTAGTGTTTACTGGTGTGTAGAAAAAACTATCAGCATTTTGAGAAATGCAAAGTTGTGAAAATAAACATGCAAAGAAACAGATGTATTTGTTGAATAACTTGTGCACTGCTGTAAATACAGGCATGAGGACTCACATCTTCATCACACATAAGCAACGGAACAAAAAGCTCTCAGTCTCCAAGAGGTAAATATGATTAGTGGAAACTGATGGTTTTAAAAAAACAAACAAAAAACAAACTGTTGACATATAGCAGCACTTGCTAATCATTTAATATTTGTAAATATCCTCACCCACAATATAGTCACTATGTTTATATTTTTGTCCAGTTGTTCAGGATTCTTAACACAGCAGAGTTAAAGGTCCAATATGGTGAAAAACTACTGTTATTCTGTTTTGTACATGTAATAAACTTGGTTTAAAATAAAAGCTGTTAAGATAAAATGTTTAATTCTGCCATCTTTGCAATATTTTGAGCTGAAAAACTGAAAGACAGAAGACAAGAAGTGTGGGAACGTGAGAATTTGATAAATTTGTTGAAAAGGGACACAATATGGGACCTTAAACATACAGCAGTGGAGCTGAGTTTGCTTTTTAAATTTATAAAGTTCTCTCTGTGCTGATTCCATGCACTGGACAATACAATGTCACAAAATGTATATAATCACAGGAAAGTCTATGATTGTCAGGTTATTACACGTCTCTGTGACTGATAAACATTGTGCAGCACTTTGCACTCTCCAGAAACCCCAAATGTATCGCAGTGCTGTAAACCAGATAAAGTAAAAGCTATAAATCATTTGCAGCTTGGTTTCAGTGTCACTCCTGAACAAACCAAGGCCTCTGGGAACTCGTATTTCCTCAATCCTAAATCCTTTCCTCCAGTTCTTGTGCAGTTTGACTTGACCTCATTCTGGCCCAAACAATACCCCTGAGCTTTGCTCTTCCAAAATAAAATTCCTGTTTGCTTTATAGAAAAATACGTTTTAAGGATTCTTGCTTTAATATAAAATAATTCTGGTCAAAAGCCCATCAAAGCAAAAGCCCAATGGCAACTTCAAAACAAATCCCGGCCTGCATTAAATCTGATGTCATCCCACAGGAGGAGTTGCTGGGAATTTAGCTGTTAAGCCGCTGGGAATTTAAGTTGAGTCACAAGCGGGTTGTTGTTCATTGGCATGATGGACAAAAGCTCAAGGGCTCCAGATGGCCGCATAATGGCCACAAACAAAACAAAGTGATCACATATAGTTAACATGTATAGAACCGCCTTGGTTCTGGTCACACGTAGTGCAATTGTAGTACACAAGAAGTTACTTCAGACATCTGTACATGAGCAGGCTCTGAGATGCAGGGCAGGCACAGGGGACGAGCTGCTTCTTGGCTGGGGGCATGCACAGGGCATCACTGTAGGGCTGGGGGCAGAGCCGGAGGGACTGTAGTGGCTGATTCCCATGAAGCAACTCTCAGTCTATTTTTCCCATTTTGGCAATCAGCTCATCACAGATCTTTGTGAGTTCCTCGATCTCTTGATTCTGTGAAAACACAGAGAAGGAGGATACAATCTCTGTGTGCCAAATTACACCACAAACGTACAGTGAAAATAGCATCAAATTACATGTTGTATTACTGAAAAGTTTCATCTTGACTCATTATGGCGGTGCCTGATACCTTCTGCTGCAGAGCTTGTTCCAGAGAGTCGTTCTTCATCTGCTCCTTTCTCAGGCTGGCGGTCAGCGCCATGTTCTCTGAGCTCGCCTTTGTGCGTACCTGAGCGATCTCCTCATTGGCCCTGTGAGACACGTGGAATGAGGAAAATTAACAGATGTCTGAAACAACAGCATCTCTAATCAGTTTTTAGCTTTTAGTTTTCACATACTTGTCTAGTTTCTCCTCAGCATGGATTTTCAGTGTCTGATATCGCTGTTCCTCCTGTTTGACTCTGGCCAGATACTCCTGAGCACACTTCTTCAGCACTTCTTCATTCTGTATGAGTAAAACACAGTGTTGTTTATCTGTCACGCACACTGGAAAAAAACAGATACAACATTGTACATCATGACATTATTCTAATATTTGTCTTGACTTGAGTCTCTCCTAATTCTTTTTACATTATCCACTGAGACTTTTTTCTAACCATTGTGAACTTTTCTCCTTCTAATCTTTCAGAATTCCTGCAGTTGCACACATTTACTCCTGGAATCTTCCCATTACAACCACCACAGCTGTCCATTCCTTCATAAGCAGCTGCTGTGAACCAGTTCTGGGTTAACTGGAGGTCAACATTTGGGCCTAAACTATTGTAACTGAAGAGTTTTTGTGTTGGATTTGCTGAAAGAGAGACAGAAGCGTTTTTAAGAGCCAGACTTATCGAGCGACCTTCAATCTAAGCCCTTGTTACGGTTCTTACGACTACTGCACCTAATCGCTGGATACCTTCCAACCTTATTCTCACCTTAATCCTCTTACAACCCTTGAATTTGTGCAACTAACAGCTGATCATCTCTGCACCTGAATATGATACTTCTTGCAACTAACTATCCACAAATAAACTTCGTTAACTGCTTACTTTTTTAAAGCCTTCAAGAGTGCTCTTCATAGTTTCATAACGCCGAAACACGTCCGAGAGAGAGCGTTCAACGGAGTTCAGGTCTGCCAGAGCGGCTTCCTTCTCCATCGTCACTGTGCGCAAAGCCTTCTGGGAGCTCAGGTTGTTGCGCTGCTCATCCTCTGAAAGGACAAGATATTATTATTGAGTGCGAAGTCACTTCTTTTTGCTTCAATCTGGTAATACTGATTGTATGAAACATTGCATTTACAACACAAACAAGTGTAAATTAAAAAATAAAGAGAAAAGGCTGTTTCTGTAATACAGGCCAATGTGGACTAATGTCATTGTAACAGGACACTCACAGTGTAAGATGACACGAGTCACCTTCACCGTAGCAACGCATGAAATTCACAGTTACACAAATAACAGAAGTGTGTTCTGCAGCCTCGACCACACAGTTCAGAACGTATCTGTAGATTGCATCTGCTGACGTCTCAACTCACCAATCATCTGAGCAATAGTCTTCTCGTATTCTGCAACAATCTTCCTGTAATGAGACACAATACATAGTGGTTGATATTAGATCACATTTCTATCACAGCACCAATGCCTCCAGTCGAGTTTAAACCCCCAAACAGCTATTACCAAAAACATTACAAGTGGTAAGTTGGTATATTTTTGGGATAGAAAAGTGTGTTGCAGCATCTCCATGTAACCAGTTCAGTGTGTCAAAACCTCATGACTGCTGTCATGGTGATGGTCTCCATGACAGTGGAGTGAAAGCACACAGCATCATGTTTTCTAACCTCATCTCTTCCACTTCCTGCCTGCAGTCCTCATACTTTTTCTTCCAGTCACTAACTTCGACTTCTTTAGTGATGATCTGAAAAGAGAGTTGTGTGCATCAGTTAAACCTTGTCATTTACCGACGTAATCCACTGAGGCAAAAATAAACACGCCGATAACATTTTACTTTGTGGATAAAAGTGCGTACCTCCTCCCTGATGAGGGTGAGAACTGCCTGTTTTTCTGCCTCACTGATGCAGATGGAATCCAGGACCTGACTTCCCGTTTTCTGCATCTCACTTCCCCCCGTTTTGTTCTTCAGTTTGCACGTGTCTTCGAACTGTTAAGAGCAGAAGGAAATCAGTCATGTCCTCCTTCATCTTTTTTTGTACACTCAGTAGTAATGAAGGGTTCACCTACTAAACTTCAGAAGAATTTATCAGGTACCTAGGACAAAAACAAAGCCGCTATTTTAGCAAAGAGAATTAATCACTCTTGCCATAAAAATGAACTCTATAGTCTAACTGTACGGGAAAACTTCTTGTTATATATTTTCTTATTTTCCAAATTAGTTAAATTCAAATCAAACTACTGTCTTTAAAAAAAAATCACAACATGTATGATTTTCTGTTTGTCTTTATATTAATATGTTATATTTTCTTTTCTCTAATTTTGCCTTTATTCTGTCAAATTCCTCTCCTCCTCATCTTTTAAGCCCTTTTGATCAGTGTTCTTGCTCATCTCAGTCCCTCATCTTCTCCTCCCCGTGTCTCCCTCCTCTCTCATTTTGTCCTTTCTTGGATTATGACAGTCATATTCTAATCTCCTGAATGATAATCTAAATCCATCTGTCACCTAAGTAGATGAACATGGTGGTAGACAGTAAGTACCCCCTCTGCTGCCCTCCAGCACAGTGCAGTCATCGTATCAGACAGCCCATCACACTGCAGCAGCTTTACATATAATGTAGGCGGCTCTAAACCCAAAACTGGGTGGTTAGTTACACCTTGAGGTCACAACATCAGACTTTGCTTGCACTATGTCTTTTCATTACTGTATAAAAATAACCCAGCAGATGGAGGTGAAAGGGTGACTGTTCATATTGTAGTGACATGTAATGCTAGAACAAGTCTCGACTTGTCAAAGCTGTTTCTGGTGCTGGTGGTGACATTTCGGCTTGACTGATAAAAGAGTGCTTAAGCCCCACCTAGTGGTCACTGATGGAGTCTAACAGAGTGTGCAGGACAGTGAGACACATTGATGATGAACACAAGGACTGTATCTGGTACATACAGAAGATGAAGGGAAAATGACTTGTGATAAAGCCTCACCGCAGAGCAGCAGTCTGACTCCTCGGGTTTGGATGTCACATGGCAGTCTTGCACTGAAAGGAAGCAACAAAGTCACATTAGAAGAATCGGGTTAATATGTTGTGGAGTATGGTGTATAGTTCAATGACATGACAAATTAGGTTGTAGTCAACGAGAAGTCAATGCTACAAAAACAACACATGACAAAAACATTTTTTGAGACATAAAACCGGATTTATTTGGAAAAATAATTAGATGCTTGTTTTAATAATGATGTGAATATTCTCCTGACTTACTGTAATTAACATAATATTGTTGATGATTTGTATTTTGATGATTCAAAGAAAACCTCTTAAATTAAGCTTCTATTCTTTTACCTTTAACCCTCTGGACCTCAAAGCCCCTTGACAGTTCTGAGAGGGACGTTACCTCTCTTTTAAAAACTGTCAAAATTAAACCATTTATCAGAGGCAAAAACTGTGAAAACAAAAAGAATGATCAAATTTAAGCATAAGTCCTTTGTATATACACACATGAATTATATATGTATATATATACATGAGCTAAAACCAACTGGGAACGATTTAAAAAGTTGAAGAGTTATGTTGTTTACATTGCAATATTGTTGTCACATTGTTCATTTTAAGATACAGATAAAGACAATGACAGCAAAGTTAAACAAGATGCAAAATTGTTTTTTTTTTTTTTTATCTTCGAAGTGATGATAGGAGGAATTATCTCCCCAAAGCAACAAATATGCCAATTAAAAAGGGACTCAGTAGAACCACAAAACCCTGCAGCACACCACAACACAGAGTTTCTGATGAGGATGTATAATTACCATCAGAAAGGCAAAAGGGCCACTCAAATACCACCCTGATAAAAGCAGATAACTTGTGTAACCACACTGTCTGTAAACAATAAAACCTTTCATCCCCATCCTGTCTGTCATTCAGTTATTCAACCTTGAGATGATTAATGAAACCTCTCCTTCTCCCGCTGAAGTGATTAAAATGTCTGGTGGTTTAAACTGAAGATGACTTGTGTGATCGTATCATCTGAACATGTTTTCAATATTTGCAACAACACTGCTGTGCTCAAACAGGCTGAGCAGAGCAAACAACAACTTTCTCATGACTGACAAAATAACATGTTTACAAGCAGGACAAAATTATATAAATGTAAAGTTAATGATTAATGCTGTATGTGTGTGCGACCTCGTTGCTGTCCGGTATTGATTGACCATGGCATTGACCATTGTTTGCCCAGAGGGAATCTAAAGCATGCTGACTAAACTTTAACAGTAATCTGATCTCTGTACAGTAGAGGAATGACTGAACGATCCACCACTGTAATAGTGTGTATTGCTGATGAGTGGCTACAACACAGTGAAACATTATGAGTAAAAATAAATCTAAATTGAGTCCTTTACTCACTGTTCTGGTCCTTTTCTGGTTTGACCCCGGCACTGCTTGCCAGCTTCTCCTCATCTGTGGCGTGGCCTCCGTGATGGTCATCCTTCAACAGCAACAAACTTCATTATCCACACTGACTGTATGTAATCCTAAAGAGTTAATGCTATACCTCATGGGTTAGACGAAGCTCAAAAAAGGAAGAAAAGGAACATTATCGGTGCTTACCTGTCCGCTAAAGTCCTTCTGCACCTGCTGGTTCTGCTTTACTTTGCAGGAGTTCCTGCGGAGAAAGGTCAATAAGAACAGCAGTGTTAAGACAAACCAGATCATAGCTCTGTGTATGTGTACTTGTGGACAGGTGTAATGATGAGAAGAGAAAGCCTCACAGCTGGACCACATAGCTTTGCTTTGTGTGTGCTGAGCTCGCATGCCCTGCTAAAGGTCCTGAACTACGCAGAAGAAAAAGCAGATTAATGAAGAGGGTGTCTGCCAAATTGAAATAAGAGCAAGAATATTTGTAGGAGAGCATTAGCGGGAATTATAGGCTTTCCACTAACTCTCTCTTCTCTACTTTGTGAATTTATTCCTCACACTTTTTTTTTTGCCACCTTTAGTTTGAGATTGAAGGAAAATTTAGGTTGGGTGAATGCATTTAGAGCTTGAAGAACCGCTGTTACGAAACACACACACACACTTCTGCAAACATAGTTATGCAGTACTTACAACAGAACACAGAGGAAATGGACTTGCTCAGCAGTCCTGATGCCACACAGAGAGAAGGGAAACAGAATGACAGGTTTTGGAAGGAAAAGGAAGGACAGACACAGGAGAGGACGGGACAGGGTTTAGGTTAAACGCAAGGTGAGTGCAGGGTTATTATTGTTTAGTAAACCAAAAGCCACGACTAAAACTAGACTGCTGAGAACAATGAAACAATGAAACTAATCTTTGATGAGAACAGAATCCTGAAACTAGACACATTTAATTCTGTTGATTAAAGCAATACGGTAAGTATTGTCTTTTCATTTTCATGTTGCAAATGTCATAAATCAATCCCCGGATTAGAAGTGTCACAATAAATGACACATTCAGAGTTCTTCTCGTTGTCTTGTGTTTTTTCCCATACAGTTTGAGAAGTTAGGGACTACTGTTGTCTCGTGTCACAGAATAAAAAACTACATATTTATTCATTAGGATCATTTTGACTTATTTATTAATAAAACAATGGTTAAAATACTTATTAAAGTACTACCTTACTTAAAATACTCTTTGGGGTTCATCCCTCATAGCAATTTTTCCAACAGGAATTATGCTTTGTTCCCGATTACCTTGTTTCAGTTGCAAAAAGTCAAGTATTAAAATTAGTATGCAGGTCTCTTATTATTTTTATTTAACCTTGACAAACTGAGCTAATAGAAATGTAACTTTCCAAAAGAAACACAAGAGGGCGTCGTTTGACACTTTAAATCCCTCTTACCAGCCAAAGAAAAAAACTGCCAAAAAGTCTGCCAACACTTAACATTTGTTAGAAACACTTCATGAATTTAGAACTATAATATCAAGGCTGTCCTATATCAGTATCTATGCATAAAATGCAAGCAAATCTGACAAAAATTCCTAAAAACTAATCAAAAAAATAAACCTAATCATATAACTTCAAGTGTAGAACTATAATAACACTGGTGAGTAATGAATGGATGAACAGGGGAGGAGCAACAGCTGACAGGCCTTTTCAAAACACACAACAGGCCACCACGGTTGGTTAAAATGGGAACACTTTGATCACTTCAGGTTCATTGTGTAACACAGAGAGCATTCACTGCTGTTCTCTATAGCCATTAAAAGAGAGAAGCGTTTGTTCCACTTGAAAATCTCTGAGTCACATTAGTTCAGTTTCAGCTTGCGTGTAACTGCAGCCGCTGACCGGAACAAGGACGATTGTGATTGATGACTGGAGAGGACTGGCCTTTGTGCATGTGTGTCTGTACAGGTCTACTCACGTGATAATTGTGTTGGTGTCACAGGTCAGCTTTGTCTTTGACAGCACAGCGTCAGAGTTCATGTTGCCATTGAGCAAATCAGCATCGCCACAAATGTCATTACTGAGGGTCAAGTTTGAGTCCGGGCTGGAGTCAGATGTCATTGGAGCCTCGTCGTCCACCTCGGTAGGATCAGGTTTGTTCAGCGGGGAGACGACGGACAGTGATGGAGGCCGGAGAGCTTGAGGCTGAGGGCTGGATGGGGGGAGGCCCTCTCCAGCACCAGATTTTGTGCATGGGGTCAAATTAAGGTTCTGGTCGAAACTGAGGGCGCTGTTGTTGGGCGAGGAGCCAGTGAGGTTGTTTAGGGAATCAACCCCTTGTGATGGGGGTGTACTGACATCTTGGTTGGAGTTCTGGTCCAGAAAGTTGCTTGTACCATCAGGAAGACCTGTTGAGAAAAAAAAAAGAAGAAAATTAGGTAAGGTTGCATTTTATAAGAGCAGACTGTCACAAATACTTGAGAGCAAAGGATAAGGCAAACGGACATATAATAAAGACTTAAAGAATAAAAACGTAAAAAACATAAATAAACAATGCCCAAGTGCAAGTCTATACGAGTGGGTCTATTACCAAACCTGATGAGAGGACTTTTAAGACCTCCTGTAAATGATCTCCAGTGACCCCAAAATACTAAGTGATCACAATAATTTGGAAGTAAGCTCTGAGTATGAGTGTATTGAAATCAAGACGTGCCATGTGAGACCCTTTAGAGGACCCTGCTGAAATCTTACAGAAACAGTAATGTTTTGCTAAGGCAGGTAAAGTGGGACGTACAATAGCATTGGTAGGACAAAAAAAAATAAAAAAAAAAATCTCAACTTCAGACACAGTGGGACTGAGATTTACAGTGTTTTCAGCCAAGAAAAAAAATGGAAAATGAAAAACGTGTTGTTGAGGAGTCAGTGCTTGGTGTATAGTGATATCTACACTTTAAATAAAAAAATAAAAGAGAGGAAAGACAAGCAAGACCTTCATTAAGGGTTATGGATAATGTTGGCCTGCTACCAAGTTATCAATTATACACTGCCAGAAAGATTTATGTGTTTTTTCTGCTGTTAAACCAATAAACTAGTCATTTTTCAGCCTGGAATAACTGGTTTTGTGGGCCCCTGGGGGCAGCGAAAACAAGTTACAAACGCATCACTCTTCAAGTTGAAATGCCAGACTTCTTATTTGCATGCACAGAATAGAATTTCAGTTACTGAGCAACGGTATCTTAAATTTATGGCTGTATTCCCACACTTTTAATTTCGGTTATTGTGTCAACAACGCCTTTAGTTAAACATCTTGCTCTTTTACTGCTAAATTTTCCATTGTCATTTTAAGAACAGCTAGCTTCTAGTGAAAAGTTGAGGCCCAGGCAGCTACAGCTGAGCTGAAACCTGCTACAAAAGATTTGAAAAGCCAAGAGAAGCTGCAGATTCATAATTTATTTTTTATTTTTTTTGCGGGTTCATGAATTGGAGTTACACTGTTCACATTATCACATAGTTTTCACTCAAAATATGGATTAAAGAAAATGGCACGAGAGTTAGACGAGATGCAAAATTGAATATCATCTACAAAGCACTGATAGGAGGTAGCTTTACTATCTCTCCAAAGCAACGTGTACACCAAGAAAAAAAATCTGACTAGGACCCTTGCAGCTCACCACAACACAGAGCTCCAGATGAGGACGTATAATTACCATCACAAAGGCAAAAGAACCACCCTAATGCAGCCCTAAGAAAAGCAGATACCTCCTGTAACCTCTCTATCTGTAATCCATGAACGCTTCCATCCTCATCCTGTGTCTGTCATTTAGGAATTTAACTTTGAAATGATTAATGAAACCTCTTCTTCTCTGTTGGAACACTTAAAATGGCTGCTGGTTTCCTCTCAGAATACTTCTCTTCCTGTGTCCCCACACATGCTGTCACCAGCTAGCTAACGGGCACAGCAGCAGGCCAGTCCCTGTTGAGTCACGCTGTTGCTGAAACACAGAAATCTCTGTTACTGACAAAAATCCCCCCCCCCTCTACAGACTGTAAAACTCACACAACTACACTCAATAATAAACCGACAACAACCTCGCCTGTATTTCTCCTCAACATGCACAGGACATGAATGAAGTCATTGTGGTTTCACCTTGGGTGGGTAATAGTTTCTCACATCGTTTGTCATGATCACATACTAACGTGTGACTTATTACATAGCACAGTCAATTAATGTAAGTTTAGCTGGGCTTCTGCTCAAAGTCAGGGTACTTTCAGAAACACAACATACACGCCCTGTAGAGACAAGGAGCAGATGTAGAAGAACCGCACCCAGTCATGCAGAGTACACTCCACCACGTGGCCTAGCAACAAAAACAACATCAGGCTTTATTACAGTTTCACAACTCAGCTAAAAAGAGGAAAAGGAGACAGGAGGAAGTAAGCGAGTGTCAGTCAGAGAGACACAGATACTAGCAGACACATAGCTGTCTAATGTTTCATCTTTGTTCAAAGGTACATGAGCTAGATTTTGGCATGTGGTTGTTGCCTTAAACAGGCAGTGATTCCACCAAACCATCTTCTAATTATAGGGAACCCGAGTATCAGTTTCTCCACACAGTCGATCTATTATTTATGAAACTAACCCAGATTTTGTACTTAGCGTGTGACTGCTTTAGCATGAAAAGGAGACAGTTATTGTCTGCAAACTAGCCGCAATAATAAACACATAAATCTTTCTGTTATTACCCAGCACAGCTCCTCATATACTGTGGTCAAAGCATATCTAATCACGAGAAGCTGAGATATTTAAACCATGCAGAACCAATTTAGTACAATTACAATCAGTTACTTTTATTGATCACTGATGGAGATAGAGAAAGTAAGTTTGCAAACATCAATGATAATCCCATTAGTTTCTGCACAGAAAATGGACTCTGGACTCTGCATTACCATGGTAATGTGTGGTACTTGTCTCTGTGGGTGAAAGCAGGACAGCTGAAGGAGAGGGGGATGAGGAGGGGGCCACTGGAAACCAGTTGACCTCTTTGGCAGCTTCAAAAAGACAGGATTCAACTACCACCCATTTTATTTGCAAGCCTGTGCCTGACCAAAGAAAACTCATTTGCATTTTGAAATTACCTTTCATACACACACTTTGTGATAGATGACAGTGTGTGCTGAGCCAACATAATATTCAGTGAGCAAAACAATGGCGCCCATATAGAGTTACACAGAGTAACAGTGCATTGTCAAAACATCATTTACATTTCAATTTAGAGACATTAGTGCAATTACTACTACTGCAGGGTGGCATGTGTGTGAAGTGGTTAGCAACAGATGGACTACTATTACAGTAATAGTGTTAGTTCATATAAATTACAAAAGAAAGAAAGGAACTCTAACACACAGCTGGCTGAAAGTAAGAAAATATTTGTTTTTAATGCTCACAACATAAGATCAAGTAATAGAGTCCAATGGCAAGGAGCTATTAATGTAAGGAAATAATGATAACACTTCAGCTGTGGTAAAAACCAACATGTATGATATCATCCATCCATCATCTATACACTGCTTAATCCTCACTAGGGTTGGGGGGGCTGGAGTCTATCCCAGCTGACTTAGGGTGAAGGCAGGGGACACTCTGGACAGGTCAGCAGTCTATCACAGGGCTACACTTAGAGACAGACAACCAGGCACACTCACATTCACACCTACAGACAATTTAGAATCACCAATTAACCTCAACATGTTTTTGGACTGTGTGGGAGGAAGCTGGAGAACCCAGAGAGAACCCACACTGCACGGGGAGAACATGCAAACTCCACACAGAAAGATCCTGGTGTCCCCACTGGGATGCAAACCAGCGACCTTCTTGCTGCGAGACGACAGTGCTAACCACTGAGCCACCTTGCAGCCTTGTATGATATCATCTTAGTGAAAAATACATTTTTCTATATGTGGACCTGTCTGACCTCACGCTCAGTCCTGATGTAGGTCCGACACATTTTATGAGGTAAGCTTTTCCCACTGAGCATTTTAGCACCAAACACCCCCAGAGTATTGGCTTGGATATGGTTTAGTCTGACTTTCAGGATGTAGGATGCCATTGGCTGCTTATTTAAGGTGGCTTTGTCCTTCCCTTCTGCTGTCTGCATTTTACCGTTTTTCTTACAGGGAAGAACAGCAACAAGATCCAGGCAGCAGCCTATCGCAATGAAAATTTAGAGTTTTGCAGAGGATTTGAATCTCTGCTCGTTGTTTTCAGAGGATTATCCATGTTAATGACTTGTCTCCACACATGCAAACGTTCCCACCAAAACAAATCCACCTGTCACCATTTTCAGGGATCCCTGAAGTTGCATCCTGAGCTTAGCCTCGCCCAAGACTGTGAAATTCAAGTCTGCACTGAAGAGATACAAACTAGCCAGAGCATTTTGTTCCCTCATAGAACAATAACAGTGAGTTGCAGCCAGATCATTATGTACAACAGAATAGGCTTGCAAAGCGAGACTAGGTATTGTTTGAACTCTTTCCTTTGTAATGCCAATACATTTCCTAAGAGACCCACAAATACACAGCTTAACAAATACTGAGAAAAAAAACAAAAACATTTGCTGGAGAGATGTACAAGTGCACTAAAGACACGGTGATATCACTCTGTGAATTTAAGCACAACAGCGGCACGCCCAACCACACCCTTCTGTGATGCTGCTGCGGTCAGAGATGAAACGAGATCCAAGCAAACAGGCAACAGAGCAGCACTGCTTTTCAGCATTGTGTTTGGACATGGGTGAAACCCGCGTTGGACGTCATTCTGCATAGATCAAGCTGAGCCAGTTGACCGTTCTCTCTGTTTAACAGCGTAGAGTCACGAATTACACTGCAGCCTAATTCTCAGTCAATAGTGAGAGGTGGGGTGACAGTCTCAACACATGCTGAACACATCAAGTATAGGTCCATGTTATATCAAGCACATCAAGAGTCTGAGAGATGTTTTGCTCTTTAATGCCTAAACACAAGCAGACAGACAAATACTTTGCTTGATTAAAATAGAGACTGCACTTGGCAACATTATTGAATTATATAGAAGTTCTTTGACCAAAAAATCCCTAAACAAGATTATCAAACTGACAAGACATTTTTTGTTTGCTTTGGTAGTCTAATGTAGATGGCAGACACAGTTCAGTTAACAAGTATTGCAGCTTGACATCCAGCCCTGCCTCAGAATATCTAATGGTACCATTCATGTGTGAAAAGAAACAGCTGAGCTCTCTCACCTGTGTGATTGGAGTTGTCCAGTTGTCCCAGCAGCTTCACAACACCTGGAGACTCGGCCTCTGGAGTCTCGAAGGTCCCCTCAGAGTCCGAACTGTCGAAGACAAGAATGAACAGATTCATTTTATGTTTGTAATCTAAGTGATGTTTAATCAACAGAAAGCAGAGACAGACACTGAAGCTAACAAACAGATGGAAAGTAAAAGGTCGGAGCTACAACTGAGCTCAAGCGTTTGGGATTTTATGTGGAAACACAGATGGACTCTCTGCTGATACTGAGAAAACCTACCCACAAAACAGCAACAGCTATACTCACAAGTGATTTGCAGCATATGAGGAAAAACTAGTCTGAAGTCATTAGCTTTTCAAAAAACAATCAACAGTTTTTGATAACAGAGAGGTATTCAAATGTTTATTAGTCTAAATAACTACACATATATACTTATGCATAACTGTGAAGGCTCTAGTCATGTGTTGTAGTGTCCTTCTAACAAAAAAGTCATGACTTTCCAATTTCAATCTTCTGTTTTCCTAAAGTGACATGAAAACAATAGATTTCGAAGCTGAAAGCAGCTGAACATAAACAAGCTGCCTTTATTTTAAAGGAAGTCAGAGGAAGGGAGAGGAGAGGAAGCGAAGCCTTACAAGGCCACCTGCATCCTTTGCTCCTCAATAAGGACACACTGTGTCCCACAACAGTAATTCACACACATACACACACATGCAGTCTTTTGGTCTGCTGTGTCAGCTGCCTAGACACCCAGCCCAAATATATTTCCAAACTGAGGAGAGACAAAAAGGAAAGGGAGAGACACTGGCAGTGAGAGTTTATGTGCGTGTCCTGATTCCCAGGCACTTGATCACACATCAAAACGTCCGCAGTCTAATGAAAAACAGCACAACAAGGAACAGAGCTCACAGTGCCAATACCCACCCACACTCCATCTCTGATAACTGCTTCACACAAACACATCCACACACTCTGGGGCTCTATACAACACCACCGTCCAGAGCTAATCCTAATATACATACCCACCCTCCCCTACCCTGCACACACACATACACACACATAGTGAATCACATCCCAGTGATGGCCCCAACGGCTGCAATCTTGGATGGTTACTTAGAAACTAGAAATGGATGGGGGGAAAAAATCCAAAGCTTTGGAAACTGTGGCTTTTTTCCCCTTCCCCCCAGCTTCCAGCAACTGTTCTCCAACTGCCAAAGAGCCCTCACACACACACACACACACACACACAAACACTCAAACACACATAAAAACAGACCTAGACAGTCATATCCTGAGTGTTTGGCATCTCAAAGAAACAGGATGGTGCCTATAAAGCAACGACTCACAAAACAGCACTTTGAGTGCCTGTATTTTGACTAAGCGTCTGTTTTTAGCCAATGACAGCATTACCCAGCCACTGGATCCACAGCTCAGGAAAGAATCTGAGATTATACCACAGCATCAGTCCGTTTATCTCTGTGAGTGTGTGATGCTCTGTGTGTGTGTGCATATATCCACCACCTGTCAGTATGACTCGGGGGAATCTGCAGTCATCACACAAACACCCACACTCCCAATCAATCAATCTCCAAGTCACAGTGGTATTGGAAAGCTTTCTGACTGCATTTCTAACACAGAACCAGCTATCATGCTCGCTTCACTTTCACACTTTACTGTGTCCAAACCCTCTTACTTGTCCTCTCCGTCATCCTTCGCTTTGGGCTGCCCATCTTCTCCTGTAGCTCCCGTCACTGCTGACCAAGTCCATTTGGCCCACTGGACCGGAGACAACCAGGACATCCCTGCAACACGACGAGTCCTAACCCTGATGCCACCTCTGGTATATAACGGTAAACTTCCCCTTCCTCTGGATCAGTTTAGATTGTTCTAGCTGTCAATCCAATCTGCAATTCTGTGATGTTCCACACTCACAAGCCGTCACAAAAAATACAAGGTTGATCTGTCTTGTTGATTTTCTCCCTGCCTTCTCGCTTTCTGTATGGCTGTCTCACTTCCTCCTCTCGCTTAGCCGCTTAGCTTTCCCATCCTGCTCTTCTGTGTTGTTGACGCTCGTGAGCGAGAAACGTGTCTCACGCTGCTGCAGCTGCTTCTGTTGCCGCTTTGCTCACCACAGCACTGACTCACACAGTGCAGATTACTGGAGCATCAGTAGTCACTCCCCTCCCAGCTCCCCTCCTCCTGCCCCTCAGCTCTCCGTCTGTGTGGACGATCAGCTGGTTAACAGACATCGGCTGCTGCTCCCACATGTTTGCTAACTCGCCTGCTTGCTCTCAGGAGTTTGCCTCTCCCCTCCCTGATTCTTTAAGGGTTTTGTAAAGAGAGGGGGAGGCAATGTTTCCTGTTTTAAAAGGCAAGAAGAGTCTGGTTTCTCTGGGTCAGACAGACTGCCAGACATTTATGTCTCCAAGAGAGAGAGCAGATGAAAGGAGATCAGGGTAAGAGGTTAGAAATGATGTGGCATATGTAGTATGTTTTAAAAATATGAGGAGGTTGTTTTTAATCTGAAAAATCCTGAACTTAAAACACTGCAGAATCTGACATTTCTACAATTATGCCCTCCTACATAGTCCAATAAAACAGAATTACACAATCCATCATTACATAATATATTAAACCACTTTTATTGTGTGGAATACCAGTTTCCTAGGTGTACTATGTTCTTGGTTGCTTTTAAACATTCATGGTCTTTTTTATTTCTCCTGGTCTGAAGGAATTTTCTTATAAATGAAGTGACTGTGCCTTAGCCGTCACAAGGCCACTGGGATTTTGAGAGGTAATTTAAAGGTAACCAGAGTTGTTCCTAGTTTGTTTACTTACGTGGCAGTCGACACAGTAGGCAATTGTGACCATGACAAAGACCTTCAATAAGCGCAAGAGCAATTACTCTGTGTTTGTTTTCCCAGGAAGAATGCTCCTTTTATATATACAACTGAAACTGACAGAATGTAAATGTCAGTACCACAATGTGTAACCAACCTAACTGCAAATCTATTGTTCACTGAAAATATCCAGGCCAGACTGGAAACAAATCAATACAACAAACCCAGATTCAGCAGTAATTGCTGCCCATCACAGTAGCAGCGAAAGTCATTCAGATGAAAGCTCTGATCGCTGCTCACACATGTGCCTGTAAAACTGGTCATGGGTGGCTTATGTAACTCTAAGTTAAGGCTTTTACATTTATACCTCTCTCCCTCTCTCTCTTGGTATCTAGGCCAGATGAAATGTGTTCGTTCAAAAAACATGGAGCATGACTAATCTAATAACAGGAAGATGGTTCAACCACTGTGAAAAGGGTAAACTGCAAAGACGCTCCTCTTTTTAGCTTCACTTTGAAGTACCTTCACTGCTGTTTACTGCTCACACATGAAACACATGGAAGCAAAGACAGAAGCTACATTATCACACAGAGCTAGCCCACAGAGACATACAGGCAGATAATGGATAATGCATGCTCCAGTCCCCTCACACATGATGTTACACACTGGTGAACACAGAGAAAGAGGCCCTGTTCAGTCTGTGATAGTTGGAAAGAAAAACAGAGTGAATTAGAAGCATGAGCATGGCAGATAGAAAACAGCAGAAGGGGGAGGGAGAGACAGGAAGATAATGGGGATGAGGATGTATTGGATATTGAGGGGAAAGAGAAAGAAAGTGAGTTTGGGTTGGGCTAGAATCTCAAACATTTGTTTGTGTTTCTTTAACATTCCTAAAATGGTCTCCTTTCCCCTCCTTTGTTTCCTTATCTGTCACTCAGAACAGCTGAGAGGACGAACCGGTCTGTCTTACAGAGGAGGACCTGCCTGAATCACACAGTTCTCACAAAGGTCAACACATGAGGCAGGTCGTAAAACCAAATCGTGAGCGTTACCTGGCACTTGCAGGTTCAATTTTACAATCAGACATGCAAGCAAACAGTAAGAGCAGGCTGAAGTAGAGGTCTTTTCACTTTATGTACTACAGCTGCCCTCACAAAGTACGCATTGCTTAATTCAGTATGCATAAAAAAGGGACATGCTACCTTATCATAATATTACATCTTAAACTTTGATCATCACAGTCTGTGACATGAAATAAATCTGTGCACTCTCATGTGAGACACTGTGACATGGGACCTATCTGTGGAGGATTGTGGGAGCAGAATGGCCAGAAAAGCAAGCTAGCTTGTATACTGCAAAGTGAGATAAGATGCAGTAGGACACCCAAGTATTTCTGGCATACTGCATTGACATGTATTGGGACACTAAATCTTTTTCAAGCATACTATATAGCACGGCAGTATGGGCACTGGAACACACAACCTAAAACATTCTTCAAGATCAAGATTGATTTAATGGTCGCAGACAGGAGGACAGAGGACAGGGGAAACAAGGAAGCCACAGCAGAGAAATGAGATGGCTGTTAGGAGTATATTGAGGGGCAGATTAGCAGAGTAGGAACAGGTAAGGTTGGGATTTGGCTGCTCTGAAGAGGCAGAAGAATGGATCATGAAAATACAAAACCCAGACGAACTGATAGGAGGACTGAAAACCATGACAAACAAAATGTCAGGGCCTCCACCGATTCGTAACACAAAACCCCTTGAGCAGCACTCTCACATGCAATGGACATCCTGTGTTACACAAAGTGTTTACCCCACTACACCTTCAAGTTATAAACTTGCCTGCCAGCACGCACACTAACAACACATGTTTTTGAACAGGACAGGGAGACAGCCTGCAGAGATGGAGTGGGAATATCCGTAACTCTCTCCTTGGCAGACTCATGAACCTCAGACAGAGAAGAAGAAAAAGAAAGGGAAAAGAAACAGCTCTTATGTAATACCTTGAAACCACAAATAGCACACAGACTAACAGTAGCAAAACCCACACATACATCCATATAAAATCTAGAGATGCCATCTTAGCACACACACAACCTCATATGGCAGATAAATAGACACATTGCTCCAAATGGACTGGACCTATTATGCGTGTTTAGTGTCAGTTAATCCAGCAAGAATGCACATCCTTAATCATCAATTATATTTTGACTGATAGCAGCATGTGCGGTTATGAGCTAAAAATAAATCGGCCATGATGAACATGTCTCTGAGCTGCAACAGAGGTGATGTGATGCTGGATGAGATAACTATGTGTGTGCACACAGGGAGAGAATTAGCGAGGCATCTCAGCTATCACAGACTGTTTATCTCTGCTCTAAATCCCCTGCATGATGATATAAGGTTATCCAGCCTGAACTTCACTTCAGTGCAACTATAATACCAAGAGTCTCCTCCTGACCAATACTGTGGCTCTTTACAACTATCTTAAAATTAGAATTAATGTCCTTGAAACGTACTCTGAATATTCTTAGATGGTGAATGTTTTTGCTCTAGTGCCACCATCAGACATTTTATTTTATTTTACAATAAAATAAAATAACAAAAATCTAATTCTAATGGGTGGATCCCTATGACATTTAGTTTACAATTTTTTATTTGTACATTCATGTGTCCTCCTCCGAATCAATTAGGCATTAAGGTCAACTTTTCACATGAGGTATTGAGAAAGTCCTCTGCTGCTCCAAGTGAGCAGATTGCAATGACAAATTAAAGTGAATGATGGCGATGCTGTCCCAGCCAATAATGACTAGACCGGATGTCACATGGGAATTTGTTTTATGCATAGTACATGTTTTTACATTTTTATGCCTCCACACCAGTAAGAGACGCAGCTGGCGACATCAGGTTTTCAAGTCTTCAGTCTGTACATTCCGTTCTTGTTTAGGTGATGTCTCAGGTACACCATGTGGAAATTTCTTTAGCTGATAAGAATTTGGTGGTCAAAGTTCACTGTGTTCATCTCAAAAATGTACTTGTTTTGTACCATAACTCAAGAATTCATTCGCTAACTGTGACTCAGTTTCACACAAATACCTAATAGTATAAAATGATAAAGTAATTACAGAGTACACTGGTCATTGTGTAATCATCCATGCTGTTTGGCTAGTTTAAAGTCACGGGTACTCAGTTAATTTAATTTAAACTTGTGTTTCAGTGATCACAAGTGTATTCCCTTTTGTTGCACTGTGTTGCCACTTCTATTGTATTCTAAACTATTCATTGTTTATTTCTTAAAAGAGGAAAACCTTAGGAATAATGCAGTTATTGAGACATGATACAATGTTGAATCATTTGTCATGTAAGTGATATTGCACACATGCATATTGCTTTTGTTGACACTGTAATATATGTGACTGGATTGATGTGTGTAAACTACAACTTGACTGATTGGTAGATGCATACAACCAACATTCCATCAATCTACTTATTTTATGGATTTTATCTTATTCTATCTATTTTTTGTTTGATTATTTGTGTTCTGTCTTTCACTTTACAGTGTAGACATTTTTTTCTTTTGGACACAAAAAGTTAAGCTCTGGCTAAATCACATCTGCCTTTTGACTTTCAAAGTCATCCCGACTTTTTTATGTTGTGCCATCTTCAAACTGCCATCCACAAACTGTACAATTTTATCCCCAGCACAGCTAAGAATAACAGATTCGTCCGTATGTTTTCTGCCCAACATTTTCATGTTGCGGAGGATAATTGCAGCTTTCCTTCTTTTAATTTTAGGCTTTGCTCTAGTCTTCTTTCAATTAGAGGTTACATTTAAATAAATGTACAAAGTGTTGTCTCCAAATGTTTCATGTTTGATCAACATTTACACAGCACAAATGTCAAACAGCAGAGATGCAGTGTGATGAACACATCTGTGTCAGCAATTACAGCATAATTGCTCCTGGATATGGGCCTAAACCCAAGTGCCTATAAAGTGAACATAATTAGCCCAATTACACATGTTGGTTTAATTTAAAATGTCAATTTAACTCTCAGGTTTCTTTTAAAAAAGTTTCCTCTAAAAAGCAAATGCTACATATCAGAATCTTGATCCCCTCTGACTGAAATTTTCCATGGACTGTTGAATAATGAAGTATTGTATAACACAGCTTCTACACATGAGCATGACTCATGCTTACATGAATAGACACATATGAACCAGCTAACATACCATTGGTCAGTCTATGTATATGATATTATCTAATCTTAGGCGAGTAATATGGCTAGGTCATATTTGTTAGCTTACTATATG